TATCAAAATTGAAAAAATATTTTTAAGATTTCAAATCAATGCATGTACATGAATTACATGTATAACAAAATTCCTTGGTCTAAAATTATAACCTTAACATAAATTAAAATTGTGTCCTTGTCCTTACCCAGAATTTACCCTCAACCTGGTCGACAAGAGTTTTGATGACCTCCCCGACCTTGTCATAAGGCATGATCTGTAAGACACTACTGGGTCCGTTCAGCTGCAAATGATGCCTGATTTCAGTGTCTAGCTTTTGTTCATCTATAAATAAACTGCAATTCAAATAAAAAGAAGTTAACATTTTAAATTAATTGCCAAATAGAAGAAGACACATTTCTGGTCTTTTAATCCTGTCAAAACAATAGTATGAAAAGTTTGAAACAGAGATTCTGTTTAGGTGGAAAAATAAATAGTGGTGTATATATTCACTATATTCAAGGTGTTAATAAATCAGTTTATTTAAGAAACAGTAAATAAGTTTTCAAAAAAGTACAGTTTTTGTTTTAAAATTTGAGTTCAGGCTACTGGTAGATATATATTACAGTCATTCATTATTTACAAGTGGTACTTGAGTTGTCATTTATCGGTAATTATTTTAATTACCATGTTTTTCTTAAATTTAGATTAGCAGGAATCATCTAACAGCTGTTTAAATAGCAGGCGCTACTTGTGTTCAATCAAGACATAAGGGTCTTCAGTTTAGATTACCCGTATGTAATGATTATAAATGCAGTGTTGATATCATTGATATTTTGTGTAACTCAAGATTTTTTATTTCCTCCCCCCCCCCAAACTTGAAAAGCCTATAGCAAAACATGGACTTATATGGGAGTGGGGGTTTCATTTTGTAAGCTCAGTGCTCACAGTACCTCTAGTTTAAATTTCATTCATTCAAATAACTTCATTTATTACAAATTTAAATATCAAAATGTAGAATTTTTTCTGAAATTTCATTTGCAGCAGAAACCATAAGTTAAATTTTCTGCAAATCAGGGGAAATTCTGAAGTGGGGGGTTGAAATTAATTTTTGCATACATCACCCATTAAAACCTTAGTCAAATTAGTATGATGAGTGACCAGATGTACTAAGCACTTAATACTTAAACCCTGTGAGTATATTTCATGTAGTCAATTTATCTCTCTGACGAACCCTAAAATTTCTTTGAGTGATACGTTTACCGGATAATACCAATTTGTCATTCTTTCTATACAATGTAATAATACATGCAAAGGGAGATGGGAGATTTTACTTCATACAAATTCTGAGAATTTATCCAACCGCAATCGTGTCAGAAAAGAGGAAAATGTGAAAATTACAACCATTGGAATTAATCTCCCATACAGTATTCATATTTATGTTAATTAACATAAAATGTAAATAAACAGATATTGAATTTTAAATAGATGTATACACCAAATATCTCTCTATATAAATATATACTTAAAATAGAGATTTTTTACACTTTTAAGAACATACAATATGTTTTCCAAGGTAACAACAGCATAGGCAAAGAAGACTGGATTGTACTCAATGTCTGATCCCCGAAGGTTAAACAAATCTATGGAAAGACAAACAGACTGTAAAATAGCTCAATATTTATTATGTAATAAAGGTCCTTTTTATAGAAATTAAAAAAGACTTATTTCTTGCATTATTTATGTAATAGATTTCTTTATATCAATGCAATCTGAAAACTGTTGTTACTGATACAATGTACATTACAGTCTATACATTTACAAACATTGAAAATTACTTGCATGCTATTTCATCCAGAGCTGAGATAACCAAAACTCCACATTTTTTGGCCAGCATTTTTTCTCGTACTTTTTGAATTTTCTCTGGCCAGCTCATACCTAGAACACATATAAGTAAGAAATGCCATATGGTTAATGGAACCTACAGGTAAAGCCCGGAAGAATCAGAACCAGCTGCTATCTATGTAAAGTACAGATATCCATCATTTGTCCATTATTTCTCTTAAAATGGACATTTATTGAGGACAAAGTATTTAAAACCTCTTACCTGTGTATTTTTCTGAGAGTGTCAGGAGTGGATTCATTGGGGGTGGGGGTTGGTCCTCCCAGACTAGATCAATCAGATTATAAGGGACTGCTATGATACTGTGACCAGTTGACTGGAGACTTTTTTTCAATGGTTTCCAAGTCTCTGCAAAAAAATTATCTCTGATTCAAATCAACAGGTATTTTTATTGAATTTGTGAAATATTACTAGATGGAAATCAGGTAATTAACTGTGGGATCATTATATTCCAAGGAGGTTCAATTTTCATAGTGGAAATTTATTCCATAAAATCATGCCCCTCAAATCTATAAATTAAAAGCAATGTACAAAAATTGGCCCTCAGGAATTAAAAGTATTCCACAGTATAATCAATATGTTTATTTTTTTACCTGCAGAAATCAGACAGGGGTCCACACCTACTGCTCCGCCCACAGGTAATTCCTATAAATAGACATTACATAATGACAAGTTCTGGACTGATTCTCCAACATAATATATAAAGAGATGTTATTATTCTTAAATAATTTCTTTACTACAAGTATCAGTTTCCATTATTTCTGTTGTCCAAATTTCTGATTTCATAGACTCAGATTTGAAGCCTACCTTTGCAAGCCAGTCTGCCTGTGTGGGAGTATTGGGTTGTCCTAAATGTTAACCAAATCAATACAGAGTCAGTGTATGGGAGAGATAGAATCTAAATACACACAGATAAAATATAACAAAAACTGTTAAATTTTACCATCTTTCATCAGAATCCAGTTTTCGTCCAGTTGTTTTTCTGCCTGTAAGAAGTACCTGCCATCTGTCCAAAGGGCTGCCTTTTCTGTCGTAATCACTGCTGTCCCTATAACAAAGATTTGAAATGTTTTTGTCCATTATTCAGAGCAAAGAGATAAATGATCTTTTATATGAGTGTGTTTATCAAGCAAAAGCATTATGATTTATAATTCAAGAACTTTGTTCTATGAATGTAAAAATGAAAATAATAATTTTACGAGTATTTTTACACAGATCAGACGATAGCATTTTGTTATGTCAGTGCTAAATGACTTGCAATTTAAGATTTTTTTATTTGTAAAATAAAAAAGTGGTGAAAAGTAAAAGAAAATTTACTATGAAACTTTTTAAAAAGTATTTTTGAATACAAACCAGCTGATCCTGTGAATCCTGAGATGAAAGCTCTTCTACAGTCACAGGGAGCTATATACTCACTCTGTAAGTAATAAACTGCTCAGTAAAGAAGATGACCATTATCTGAAGTAATTCTATTAGTGGTCAACATAGGTTGCCAGTTGCAGTTAGAACTGAAAATGAGTTGGAAGTGTAAAATAGTTAAATTTCAATCTTTATTCCCCAAATGACTTCTTCCCATAGAACTTATACCTGCTCCCATTAATTTCATTCATAAATGTCTACTTTCTAAAGGACTTTATCCCCCACCTTCTAAATCTCCTTACTGTCCCCATCCCCTCAATTAACTTGTTCTCTATCAATCAGATACTAGTATTTTTATGGGAATAGTACCACTTCTATTAATGAGACTTAAAAAGATCACAGAGCTGAGCAAATTAAAGTTGAATAATTGATCAAGATTTTTTCTTTGAGAAATTTGATAACTTTATTCTGATTTTTAAAAACTTGCAATATTTTTATGCCCATGTAATCAAAGATTCGGGGGCATATAGTTTTTGCTCTGTTTGTCTGCAAAAACTTAAACTTAACTTTTGATTAGTTGGAGCTATGGCTTTCATATTTCACTTGTGTATTCCTTGTGACAAGACCTTTCTTTGGGTACCAACATTTTGACCTCCTGACCTTGACCTTGGAATTTGATCCACTTTTGCAAAATTTTACCCAACTTTAACTTTGGCCATAACTTTTGAATGGTTGAAACTAGGGCTTTCATATTTTACCTGTGTATTCCTTGGATTACAACAGTTTTGAACTTTTCTCCATGATCTTGGATTTTGACCTACTTTTGAAAAACTTAAACCCCAGTCATTACTATTGAACCTTGGTCCTACGGTTTTTATATTTTATAGGTGTATTCCTCGTGACAAGATCTTTCTCTGGGTACCAACAATTTTGATCTCTTGACCTTGGAGTTTGACTTGCATTTGAGAAACTTTAACAATTTCATTTTAACCCATTGTATAATAATCCCCAGAATCACACTCATTTACACTTTCAGAGGAAATGCATTTCTCTGAAAGTGTAAATGAGTGCGATTCTTGGGAGGGGGAACTCCATGTAATTTTGAGTTGGATACCTTGTGTTATTATTATACTATGGGTTAAAAAATTTATTACTGAAACAAGTGCCTGTGGTTTTTACGGGTTGGTTTGAACCCGGTATGATCTCACCTGGTGTGAATCTCCTGAAGGCACGATGTAAGCCTGAATGCTTTCTGGGACATACTTCCTGTTACACATAAGTGTCCTCAGTTTCTTCAGCAGTGGTCCTGTTCTATTGTGTGCCAAAGGCATTGTGCATATATTTGTCTACTTAAACTTAAATAAAGACAGAAAAATATGCATATACAGATATGCCAGAAAATTTCTCTTAGATAGATTATCCAAAAAAGTTTTTTTTTTTTTTACATTTGGATGCCACTGTATATCACCAGTTTTGTCACAAGTCTGTTGCTTTCACTAGTATAGTTTCAGTTCAGTTCAAGAGTTTTCGAGTCAACTCGGGAAAAAATATTTGAAATCATTAGAGGAGTTCGATCCCGATCTAATAGCTGTATATATATGTGTTTGTCACCGTTTTTATTTTTAGTCTCGCACCTAAACTTTCCACTTTTTATTTCGAAAAGAAGATTTCTATGATCAGGGACCTATATACTAAGTATATAGGTCCCTGCTATGATTTTATTTCAAAGCCTTTGGAAAAGCGACATTTCAATGAGAAAATAAGGAAAAAAAAGATATTTTCTTTTCCGGAATCATAGATTATGGGGTAAATTTTTGTATTTAGTCGGCATCTAGTAATTTCCTGTAGCAACATGTTGTATCCGTGAAGGAGCAAATACATGACTTATGCCATTGATTTTAGTCATATCATGGCGCCTACTAGGTAAAGAAATTATTCAGTATAACCACCTAGTTGTTTTGAGTCATTTTTTTTTCATTAGAGAACAAGTCCGACACAGTCTTTTGATTAACAGGTCCAGCACAATCTCTTGATTTAGCTATATAGCTTGAAAAAGCTATATAGCTTTATTAAGCTATTCAAAATAGCTTGATAAAGCTATTTATGTGCAGTTTTTCAGAAAAATGTGTTTTGTAAGAAATAGACAAAAAGTCGGAAGTATTTGACTATTCATATATGTACTATGGGCTATCAAAACAACAACCTAATTCAAAGATGGTTCTAACATTGCAGCATTTGAATACTTTTAAGCAAAAGATGAATTTTCATTATTTGAGTAACTGTAGACCACCTTGTGTGCATTGAGGCATGGATAAGTATGATTGCTTCTCATTGTACTGAATTATTACCAATCAATTATCTTGTTGACCATAATTGGCCTCTTTTATAATTTCAATGAAGAAGTAACTGTATCAATTGCTTTATATAGCCCCAAAACTTTTAGAACTTTGAGTACAAAGTCTCTTAAGGAGATGTAATTTGATGAGTGATTTTTACATGCATTATTTTCAGAAGAGTTCAAGGTTGAATATTATCACTGCACCATGGTGCGACTTTTTGTGCATGCTGAGAAAATAACACATTTAAGAAAAAAGTGTGATAAAATAGCTAAATCAAGCTATTCTGAATAGCTTAATAAAGCTATATAGCTTTTTCAAGCTATATAGCTAAATCAAAAGATTGTGCCGGACCTGATTAAACTTTACAGCCTGATAGCTGTATCAGGTCCAATACAATCAATACAGTAGGTAATTCAAGCAACAGTAGCTAAATGTACTGATTGTACTGGACCTGTATATAGCCAGGAACCTATAAATAGTATTTAGGTCCCTAATATAGCTCAGGCACTTGTTTCTTTAATACCATTTTTTACCCTGTAGCAATATTTTTATGGTGTGACTGTTGGGGCGAGCGCAGTTGTGTTTATTATTGGATACAATTAACAATTTTACATAGCTCAATTACACTTTTGACTCTGAATCGCCTGTTCAAACAGAACAGAATATTTATTTTCAATTTAGAGCCAAAATAGACAAATATGAAATTATTACAATAATAAGGAAAAGACATGCCAATGGAAAGTATAACAATTATAGTACATGATATTATTTAGTTTAACAATGATCTTTTAAATATCTAGTCTAGACTGTGATGTCACATGACATACTATGCTAGTTGCATTTCCATTACAGAGTCTAAATAGTGCAATTTTTTTTAACCAAAGGCATTGTAGAGTAGATGCAATTACAGTTGAACTTCAGTATCTCGAACACGATATCTCGAATACCATGGATATGTCGAAGTGATTTGGATGTCCCAAACTCATTTTTGCCCTGGATATCTCAAAGTTTTGTCCCAGTCCATAACGAGGTTTGACTGTATTTGCATCTAAAATCTTCATGAGAACTACTGCAATATTCCCCATTATTGCATGAAATAGTGGTAGTGAAAGAATTCTGGGAAGGTTTCACACAAAAAATTGCTTGACAAATGTAAAGATTTCAGTAAGAATTTTCTCTGTTCTTACACAGTAGTCTATAGAGCTTACTTTGTGAGCGGTGCTTTGAGTCACTTTGAGCCACTTGTTGTGCTCCCTATAGTAATAACACAAGAGATCTAACTCCAAATTACATGGAGAACCCTAATCTGCATAACATTGCTCGTTACTGGGGAACTGGTTTCACACTACAAAGTGCTATATACTAGTCTTGGGCAGAAAGTAAACTTTAAAATCAGTGGTTAAAGATTCAGTCCCAATATTTAAATATTGTAGTTAATAAATATAAATGTTTTTACTTTTCATTTTCCATAAATACATTACAACATTTTCTGATGTTATTTAGAAACAGTCTCTCAGGCACTAATACAAATCCAAATCGATATCTACCAGAGACTAGTACACTGAAATTGTGGTGTGAAACAAATTTTCCAGTCATTGAGCAAAATTTGGATGATGGTTATGGAGATAAAAGAAGATAAAAACAAGCATGCCATGTATTTTTTTGTATATAAATTATCCTAGAAGAGAATGGTAATAAACAATTTGTCACTCACCGTGGTAGTTTTCTCTGAATATGTAATGAATGGGGTTATCTTGTGTTACTATTATACTATGAGGTAACAAAATTATTACAGAAACAAGTACCTGTGATATAGCTTTAATAAGTTATCGTAATAAACTTCATTAAGCTTATAGTATTTTAACACATGCCTTCGTTGGTGTGACTGTTGAGTGAAAACAGTTGTGTTTTACATCAAAAACATTTACCGTACATATACTTTTAACTTAAATCCATATTTTCATACTGTATGATATACATTTGGAAGGTTAAAAGGTTTGATGCTCTAAATGTAGACTATGAAATTGTATGTTAATTGCATTTCAAAAATGGAGTCTAATTTGTGCAAATTTTTAACAAAAAAAAATTTAATCTACTACATGTATCTGTATGCAATTTCCATTGAAGCAACGTGACTTTCCCTTTGTGTACAATTGTTTCAAAATCAGTATTTGCTTGGACAATTTGGATGCCTCTTTTATCAAGTTTTTTAATGCTTGATTTTAAGAATAAGTTTTATTTTTTCAGAGTAGTTCAGGCTCAGCAGTGGTTCCTAGGAGTCCTCGGTATCACTCTTGTCTTAGTACTGGTTTATAGTACTCAATACGATGGAGCATTTAAACTCGAACCTAAACCTCCACCCATTATGCCTGATCCTGACCCCAGAAAAAAAGTGACAGTTACATTCTGGGGGAGAAATGGTAACCATATGTTTGAGTATGGCACACTTATAGGAGCCGCTAAGAGAAACAATATGACGCCCATTCTTGTTGAGTCCACAACAATCTGGAATATGTTTAAATTACCAATACCAAAAGGCAGTGTAGAAAATTTAGATAATTTCAAGCGATACAGAGAACAACTTCCTTCTGGTTGGTGTAATATGACAGAGAAATTAGACACATCTCAGGGAGCTTATTTAATGGGGTATCTACAATCCTGGAGGTATTTTGAAAATGTTCGTAAAGAACTGCTAAAAAAACATTTTGTATTTCATGATCATCTGAAAAAGGCTGCCATGGATTATATCAACAATGTTAGAAAGGAGCGTAAGAAGCAGGACGCTGTGTTAGTTGCAGTGCATGTGAGACGAGGGGATTTTGTCAGACAGAAAAGAAAGGGATACACAGTGGCCCCAATTCCTTATTTTTATAGAGCTATGAATTATTTCAGGAAAAAATATAAGAATGTATTATTTATTTTATGTAGCAATGATGTGATATGGTCGATGGATAATTTAGATGATTCGCCAGACGTCCATTACTCACACAACACTGATGGATATTTAGACTTTGCCATCATGGCTTCTTGTGATCACATGGTGATGAGTGCTGGGTCATACTCCTGGTGGGCGGGGTACATGACGGGGGGAGAGGTCATCTATTACCATGGATACCCACAGCCAAACACCGTCATGGGGAACAACACAATAAGAAAGGACTATTATCCTCCATGGTGGATCCCTCTCTGAGCTTTAATTTCTGTGCTTTGTTTTATTCCTGTTTAATCATTTTTGTTTTATTGCTCCTTCATTTTTTAATCCTTTATTGACTCCACTTTGTTGGCAGATAGTTATGAGTTGACAAACTACAGTAAATGTTATGCTATGTAAAACATGTTTACTAGATATTATGAAGTGTGTGTAGCTGATATGATGAACAAACTGCTTTTTCTTGTCATATTTACCTATTTATTTAATTGTCTTTTGATGTCTGGTCAAAGACTAGAAGAACTTATGCGAGATAAGGTGTCCCCCCTTGTCCATCTGCCTGTTTGCCTATCTGTAAGTCTGTCTGATTTCAATAAAATTTGCTACACAAGTAAAATACAATTAGATACATAAGTCTTTATATTGATTTTTGATGTTGATGAACAGTGTTGCCATGGTTACTTAAAATAGAAATTTCTGTGGATTTTTTCAAAACACTGCTGCTCCTAGTTTTGGTCCAGTTTCAATACAATTAGTACACATGTAGATTTACTCCACTATGTACTGGTTTTGATGAACGGTGTTGCCATGGTTACAAAATATATGTAGTCATTTCTGTGAATTTTTTTTTCAAAATGCTTCTCCTCCTACAGTTTTGGTCTGATTTAAGTAAAATGTACTACGCAAGTCGATTATTCCAAGGTACATAATTCTGTTAATTAATTAGTTTTTGATGTCAATGGATTGTGTTGCCATGGTAACTAAAAGTAGAATTTTCTGTGAAATTCTTTCAAAACACTACTCTTCCTAAACAGTTTTTGTCTGATTTCAATAAAACTTACTTCATAAGAAAACTATCCCAAGATCCATAATTCTGATATAAAATTGGTTTTTGATTTCTATAAATGACATTGTTATGGTTACTTTAAAATAGAAATTTCAATGAAATCCTTTCAATTTACTTACTTTTCCTACAGTTTTAGTCCATAAAATGTATAACACATAGAGAATTAATCAAGGATCATGATTCATTTTATTGATGTTGCCATAGTTTCAGGTCCAAGTGCTACTTTTTTCTTCCAATGTTTAGAATAATTTTTGTTACATGAGGTTACCTATATGATAGTGTTTACAGATACAGGTTTTTCAGTTACATTTCATGGATTGTGGATATTTTTAATTTTTATGTAGAATACAAGATTTTTTTTATTCTTAGATTCCAACACAGTACATTGAATTTCATTTTTTATAACTTTACATGTTATAAATTTTCTATTCCAAACTGTCATTCATCTTTGTATAAATATCTCAATCTTTATCATTTTTCAAATCAAACTTACACATACTATGTAATGAATCCAGATTGAATGTTATGATATTCCTGAATGATTAACTACACCTCTCAAAACAAAGTTTTGGAAAGGTTATATAGGAAATGTTAGTCTGTATGTCTGCTTGTCCATCCCAATTTAATGTGCTATAAATTGAACTGTGATAATTTTCAGTGTCATTGGAATTGAGCACCATTTGCTAAGACTTTAGAATAGTTTAATGAATGAGATTACAGAAACCAAAAGAACAGTGAGTAATGAAATAATTCTTTTCCGTCTCCAATATATTAGATGCTAGAACTCTGAGCTGTAGTTTTCTACAACTGCAAGGCAATTAAATTTAAATATTGATGTCATTAGTTTTAATAACAGCAAAAAAAATTGTTGATGTTTATATTTAGATATAAAATCAAAAAGCAGGTGGATTGAACAGTACAAACTTGAATAAATCAAACTTACCAAAGTATTCATATGATGTTTGTATTTTTTCACAGATTACTATGCATATGCTATATTACTACATATATCAGAATTCAACTGTACTTTGCTTCAAATGCTGCAGTTAATTAGAAGACATTTAAATTCTGAAAGTAGTTCTTACATCAACCAATCACGCATAGATCCTACATCTGGAAATTCTTGTACTAATGTACTGATGGAACGGTGTACTTCCGATACTTCGTATTAACTTTATATCCAGATGAGTGATCAGGTATTAAATTTTGTACAGTCTATTCACAAGTGATAATCGGTTCAACGATGACTGAACTTGCATAGTCTTTGTGTGTGGGGGGGTTACTTTCTACAATTGTGATGTTTCACGTAGAGGGGAAGGTACAGGTTTAAGATTTTTGTGTAACTCTCTATTCAGAGGCCTTTATTATTCAGCTATTGGTAAGGATCTGATCTTGAATCTTCATTACATATGAAACCTTATTAATGAATGGGTCTTTAAAAGACAGATTTTCAATGATCCCACTCTAGAAATGAGTATGGGTATTACATAGCTGTTATTCTTCATTTTAAGTCAATAACCAACTTCATATACATGCATTGTACACTGGTTAAGATACCTCCAGTAGGCAGATGTTTTTAGGAGGTAGTGCATATGTTATAAAGTATTGTTTTGCAATTTTTTCTTCCTTTGAAACTATCATTGTGTTGTTTTCTTGAAAGTACACTTTATTGATAATATATGAGTTGGTAACCTTCTATATATTTATCTACGGTAGATGTATGACTATTGGCATCTTTGCTAGCCGAGGGCAACAATCCACTCCTCCTTTCTTTTCAGTCAAGACAGGAGTGGGTCACCACCCTTTTCTAGTGAAGACAGACTATTGGCTACAATATTTTAACTCTAAATGGGGAAAAAAGTGATGAAACATATTTAAATATTGAGAAAGAATAGGCGATCAATTAAACAAACAAATATTGTTTGTCAATTCTCACCCTTCAGGCTTGTAACATAAACAGTACAATTTAATTCATTGTCAATATGGAGCATTATTTATTCAATTTATTACCCAGTATGTTGTCTTTTCAAAATAAATCCACCGATTAAAACAAGAGTAATAGTGAGAAAGAAATAAATATTTAATATCTCGATAAAATTTCTATATGACAGAATAAGTCACAACACATGATGCAGATCTATAGCAATAAAAGTTACATACTGGTATATATGTATGCAGAGCTAATCAAACCATGGGAGTTACTTATTCATACACATGCAGGATACATGCAGATATGGATAACAACTATAGATAAACAGTGTCTTGTGTAAGGATCTATAAGAGAAAGTCATTCATTGGATTTGTTTACACTGTAAAATGCTACTACACATGAAACAGATTCTTAAATTTGATTCCTACGATACAAATGAAAATACAAAACAATTTCTTCATCATAAACCCAATAAAACAGGAAAAGTGACACTAAATTTAAAAAAAGTCTTGAAAAATGTATAAAATCCATTAGTTAAAATCAGAGCACATATAAAATTTTAAAAAAATAGAAAAAAAAAAGAAATGAAAAGTAAATTGTTAAATATGATAAAATACAGTGTATAGTTATCTCAGTAGCAACAAATGAAAATAAATAAATGAAAAGAAAAACGTATTGAATTACAACAATAAAATTAGCCCTTTCACGATAACTGCGGTACTACTCTTTTGCAGGGCAAATTAATAACTTTTGGTGAAGTTTTTGATGACAGATAATTAAATGACGTATATTAAACAATTGCTTTTACGTCATATTTCACCAAAATTTATCATTTTGCCCTGCAAAAGAGCAGTACCGCAGTTATCGTGAAACAGTCTATTACAATAATAAAATGATATGAGTAAACTGTACAATAAGCTTTGGTCTCTGTACAAGAATAATGCTGCAATGCCTACTAAAATCTATATACATATGTACCAAGGAACTGTACATTTTATAAGAAGATACATGTGTATAAGCTAACAATTATGTGTACAAAATTCATTAACAAGGTTAGTATTCTATCCATAAAAATTAATAAATCTTGGTAAATTTAAGAAATTAAAAAAAACAACTGGTGCTTTAGATGTGTCCTGCATTAAAAAGAAAAAAAACCTGTGCTTCATTTTCTTGATTACTTTGTAATATCTAAATGACATGACCCAGAACTTCCAGAATGATTAGTATCATATTGGTATACTATATTTAAGTATATATAAATATCAGGTTATATTGCCTTAAAATTTTTACACATGTACTACCATAAGAGAATTAAAGTTCTTCAAGTATCACTCCATTACTAAGCAGTAAACACTGGGAAAATCCTTGAATATCTTTACAATATTCAAATCATAATACTGTTAATTACTCATTAAAGTGATTCTTAGAATTAAAAACCCACCAAAGTTACATTACAACAATACATACACATTGTATATAGTCTATCAATTAAAAAAGTGCAAAGACTGTTTATATGAGTTTGTTCCACTACAATTTAAATCGTTATCAGCAGTGATGGAGGTTTTATGACTGCCTGATACCCTGTGGTTTAAGTTGAACTCCTCCCAGCCATCTAGTGGTGGTCATGCTTCTATAAGAATTAAATAAATAAAAATCATGAAAGTAAAAAGTGCTATAATTTGTTTTACATTTTATAAAGAAAATAACTCTTTGGATTTTGATTCTGTTGGCCATCTATTTACATCTAATAACCTTCACAAAGACTGAGGCTATTTTTGTCATTTTCATAAACTTGCAAGTGTTTTGAAAATGTTGACAAAGATTGAAATTAAATAAATGGTTTCTTTAAACAAAATTATTGTTAGTAATTGCAGAGGTCAGATCAAGAAAATGTTTATTAAGAAAAAATTATCTTTAACTGCAATGAAAGGATTACTTTAATATTTTGCATTAATGTTAAAGATCTTTAAGCTGATCACAATAACCTTCAGAGAAACAATTTAAAGAATAAAATTCTTGCTGGAGTTTTTAAATCATTGCCATAGTTTTGCTGTTTGAACTGAGTTTTAACCATTTGTACAAAGGGACACCACTTTATTATTTAACGGTGAGAAAACGTAAATGTTAGATTTTGTTTTAATGAAAATGAAGTAGAAGTTGATTGACAGTGATATTATCCCTGGTGCTGAGGAGACAATTCCACAAAGATTCAGAATCTGTGACCATACTCACCTGCTTACGTGTGGTGATATCAAATTTAACATACAATTTATACAAACCTAATGCATGCTATGCTGATCCTTAAAAAATACACATTTTTTTTTTAAATACAATTTTTTCTATTGTACATACTATAATATATTATCATATATATTATTCATTATCTGGATAATGTCAAATCCTAGCATCTAGCATGAGCCCAACACCATTTATACAGAAACAGGATATATTAAATCTAGCCTAGAAAACAAAATACATTGTTATACCTTTAAAAATTAGTTCCTGTATAAAATCTATACTAAAAAAAAGTCTAACATTCCTTATGTTTTACTGAGCGGTCATAAAAAAATCGAGGTTTGACCGCAGAGGGAGATATTGGACCCGTGGACGAGATATTGGACCGCTTTTGTCACACCGTGGGCGGGATTAGCTAAATCTTATTTGCATTCGTTGGTATGGAAGCCAGCAGCAAAAGATACATGTATAACCAAAAAAGTAAATAAATAAATAAAAAGTATAACAAAACATTTATCGACTGTGTTTTCAGGCAAAATGCGTTTTGTCGACCCCTCGAACCAAACTGTTTGCCTGAGGCCTAACGGCCTCAGCAAACAGTTTGGTTCTTGGATCCGACAAAACACATGTTGTCCTCGAACTCGGTCAATAAATGTTTAGTGTCGTTTTTTTTTTTTTTTACATCAGATCATTGGTACACATGTATGTTAAAGTTTTCAGCATTTTTTTCTTCCAAAATAAATTCTTGAACCCTGCAGTTTATGAAATCATGAACAACAAAGCAAGTTGCAGTTTATATTTAATTTCACTTAACTTGCTTATGAGAAACTCAATTCTGAGAAAATCTCAGTTATAGGAGGGTGAAAATTATTCTATAATACAACTTTTATTGGATAATTTGCTGTTTTTAATGAAGTCAGAGATCTTGAGTGAACAAGTCCATGAATATCTTTTATCACTTTTCTTAATGCATGTAACTGTAGTATCTCTCAGTATTGTCAAGAAATTATAGTATATCAACTATAAAGGTTACAATCTGAATACAATTATATAACATATAATCACATACATTCTTGTTATACAATGTAAATACAAAGACTCCATTTTAGGTTACAGAAACCTGGATTATAGGAAACTTCAGAAAGGTCTTAGCTGGAATTCCTTATAAAGAAGTCTTATAGTATAAAGATATGTGCTTACCAATTTGATTAATTAATGCCCTGCTAATATGACCCCCCCCCCTCTCCAAACACATAGCATATACACCATTACTTGACTATAAGTATAGTATACATGTAACTATAAGTTTGTATGAATACATGTATTCCTATAAAATCTTTGATCAAATGACATGACAATGTGTTCATGAATCTCAGATGTTTCTCTAATACAGTGAATAAAGTTAGCCCTGAACATAAATTTTATGATTTTTTGGTCAGTGACCTTGGATATGCCACAATGATCTTTATTTACCAAGTGGTAAATCATTGTAAACCAAAGGTTATTATCAATCTTAAGGTCAAGTATCTGTTCCAAGTCCCTTTCTTACATAGTTATGACCCAGACATGGTATGAAAAGAGTCAAAGTGATACCTATATAACTCCCTCCTCATCATTTCAAACTTTGCTTGCAAGGTTATAAAAGAGAAGGCAATGTTTAGAGTCATTACAGAATGAACATGCCATAAGGTAAATATCATGCATAGTAATTTTAGGTAAGACTGATCAATAAACATGCAGGTCCATTCATACTGTTTTCATACATATACATATTTCCCTGTTTAAGACTTTTTTTTTTTAAATTACACAGGTTCTTAAGTGTAACAAGCCCTAGCTTTTAGGCTTTATAGCTAGCATTTCTCAAAGATAGAGGCTAATTAAGAGAAAAAATAAACTTACACTCATCTATATCCAGATTTTGACTGAACAAATTAAATATAATGTGTAAATATACATAATATTAAAAATGAAATGTGTATATATATTTCAATATATATATATCATATTGAAGTCAACTTTTTAGCTCATCCTAGCTGATGTGTATATTCATACTTATATATTCTGGGATTACAAAGTAAATTACTGTGTTCATTAATACAGAATTCATGCATGTACAGGTGAAATACTGTGTTCATAAATTAATATAGTTGAATATTTTTTTTTCTAATTTTGTGTAGCAAAAATGAAATATATTCTCCCACTTATAAAGCAAATAAAACACGAGCTGTCACTTGTGACAATGGTACCTTATGAAATGTAAACACTAATCAGCTGATCTTTTGTCAGAGATCAATTGTTTACAACACAGAGCCTTAACATCATGTTAACTATTATATAGATGATCATTGTTTAGTAAAGATCAAGTCAATTCTTTACGTTATCAACCTACCATTTTGTCGTCTTTCTTCGTGTTGTTTTCAAAGAACATGAAATCCTGTAGTTAAAAAAAAAAATGAGAAAATTTAAAAACATTTCGTTACTTTTTGTCAATTGGATATTGGTTCCATTTTGTCGTAGACGTTTCCACTCAATATGCTTTTAATTTGTATAAAACAGTGTTGCAGATAATCAGTGTTTAAGGAAAATGACCTATCATGAAATTATGCCATTTCTCTAACAGAAGATGGGAAGATAAGTGACTTTCAAGAAAATTCAGTATACAATAAAGGGCAAAATTTTAAACAAATTATGATTGAATATGAACATTGAATAAAAGAAAAGTAATTTATAAATTTATAGTTTTAATCTCTTGTGATGCAGAGTCCATTCTCCTTAGGTCATTACAGTAAAACATAGTTATAGTGAACACACTTATAAAGAATTCACGCTTATAGCAAAGTGATTTTGGGTCATTTTAAAACGTATTGAAAACTACATACATAAGGAATTATGTTTATAAGAAATAAAAGTTGTTCATATCTTGAACTTCACTATAAGCATGTTTTACTGTAGTAACATTTAGAATAGAGAGATAAAAAATCTGACTTACCAAAAGGAAAACAGCCCCGAGGAGAGTGGCCTTGACATTGACATCTAGATCCAGAGGGAAGGAGATTCCAAAGTTGTCAGCATCAGTGAACAACTCCTTACCCAGACCAGACCATTGCTTGGTGACACGACCAACATATGTTTCCTCATCTGGGGCATAAACCTGACAAACAGAAAGAGAAAGTTATCAAACAGAAAATAGAGAATGACAGACAGAAAGTAGAGGTTACCAAGGTTACCAAACAGAAAGTAGAGGTGACAAACAGAAGTAAATATTTAACAGAAAAATTAAATGTTTTAACATCTGCTTACATCAAACTCAATGTCTCCACAGATGTTAAGCTGACAACATGGTCCTTTGATCCTCAGCATGGTTTCACCATTAGCATTCTCAATCCTCATACGTGGTTTACACAAACTCCAGGACTGAGCTACATATCCTGCCAACTTTCCTGGAGGTGCCTCTACTGTCACTTTCTAAAAATCAATGACATATAGCTGTAAAAATGATTCGGTGCCAAATAGTCATTATCACTTAACAAAACAAAACAAATATGAGAGAGTATACTGACAAAGTCATACAGGGTGTTGAAGTATGCTTATTTCAACAATTTTTTTTACCTTTTCACCTTGAGCAACTGGCCTTCTGGCCCTTTTATTAAATAAAATGTTTGCATGTTGAACTATACTAAATTTTTTTGTACCACATGTGACCCTGCCTTTTGAAAGAATGACCTAAATTCTGTGTATTCCTCATAGTAACACTCACCTTTGTAATAATAATGTTCTTTTTGTTTAAAATATTTAAGAGTTACTTTACACTTGCATCACTTGAAAAAGGAGTAACCATTTCAATAGTATTGATCCTTTGCTCGAGGAAGGTGAATGAAACCAGTCTAATTGATGTAGTAAATTAAACTAGAAATATGTCCATAGGATATGGATGCCCCGCCGAGGGTAAATTAGTAATGCAACATTTTAACACAAATTGAGAAAAGTCAGGTCAAGATCAAAGGAAAGGTCAAGGTGAAAAAATATTAATGCAGTTGAATAGCTTACATCAGTATGTATCAGCATATTAAGTTTGACACTAATTTAAGAAAAGTGAGGTCAAGGTCAAAGGAAAGGTCAAGGTCAAAAATTGTTGATGCAGTTGAAAAGGTTACATCAGTATGCATTAGCATATGAAGGTTGATAAAAGTATTATGAATGGTTTATTTAAAACTGAGCTAAACACTAATTTAAGACTAGAAATATGTCCATAGGACATGAATGCCCCGCCAAGGGTATATTAGTAATGCAACATTTTAACACAAATTGAGAAAAGTGAGGTCAAGGTCAAAGGAAAGGTCAAGGTCAAAAAATATTGCTGCAGTTGAATAGCTTACATCAGTATGTATCAGCATATGACGTTTGATTCAGAAACTAATTTAAGAAAAGTGAGGTCAAGATCAACGGAAAGGTCAAGATCAAAAAATGTTGATGTAGTTGAAAAGGTTACATCAGTATGTATTAGCATATGAAGTTTGATGAAAATATTAAGGATGGTTTCTTTAAAACTGAGCTAAACACTAATTTAAGAAAAGTGAGGTCAAGGTCAAAGGAAAGGTCAAGGTCAAAAAATATTGATGCAGTTGAATAGCTCTCATCAGTATGTATCAGCATATGAAGTTTGACACTAATTTAAGAAAAGTGAGGTCAAGGTCAAAGGAAAGGTCAAGGTCAAAAAATGTTGATGCAGTTGCAAAGGTTACATCAGTATGTATTAGCATATGAAGTTTGATGAAAATATTATGAATGGTTTCTTAAAAAACTGAGCTAAACACTAATTTAAGAAAAGTGAGGTCAAGTTCAAAGGAAAGGTCAAGGTCAAAAAATATTGATGCAGTTGAATAGCTCTCATCAGTATGTATCAGCATATTAAGTTTGACACTAATTTAAGAAAAGTGAGGTCAAGGTCAAAGGAAAGGTCAAGGTCAAAAAATGTTGATGCAGTTGAATAGCTCTCATCAGTATGTATCAGCATATGAAGTTTGATAACACTATCTTGAATGGTATCTTTAAAATTGAGCTAAAAACTTATTTAAGAAAAGTGAGGTCAAGGTCAAAGGAATGGTCAAGGTAAAAAATATTGATGCAGTTGAATAGCTCTCATCAGTATGTATCAGCATATGAAGTTTGTTAAAAGTATCATGAATGGTTTCATTAAAACAGAGCTAAACATTAATTTAAGAAAAGTAAGGTCAAGGTCAAAAGAAAGGTCAAGGTCAAAAAAATGTTGATGCAATTGAATAGCTTACATCAGTATGTATCAACATATGAAGTTTGATTACACTATCTTGAATGGTATCTTTAAAACTGAGCTAAACACTAATTTAAGAAAAGTGAGGTCAAGGTCAAAGGAAAGGTCAAGGTCAAAAAATGTTGATGCAGTTGCATAGCCCTCATCAATATCTATCAGCATATGAAGTTTGATAAAAATATCTTGGATAGTTTCTTTGAAACTGAGCTTTGAACAGAGCTAAACGCAAAGTGTGACGGAAGGACAGACGGAAGGACAGAAGGACGGAAGGACGGAAGGACGGAAGACGGACATGACAAACACTATATGCCCCGGCCATATTCATGGCGGGGCATAAAAAGTGAGGTCAAGGTCAAAGGAAAGGTCAAGGTCAAAAAATGTTGATGCAGTTGCATAGCTCTCATCAATATCTATCAGCATATGAAGTTTGATAAAAATATCTTGGATAGTTTCTTTAAAACTGAGCTTTGAACAGAGCTAAACGCAAAGTGTGACGGAAGGACAGATGGAAGGACAGAAGGATGGAAGACGGACATGACAAACACTATATGCCCCAGCCATATTCATGGCGGGGCATAAACATTTAGCATTAAATAAAATATCTTGAGTCATTGCATCAAATCATTTAACAACCTAGATCTTTGACTTTGACCAAACTTTAAATGTATATGTCTTTTTCCAAAGCATTCTCTACATAGATGTAGTGTATATAAAGTCTACAGATTACAACATGTTCAAGCTTCGTCTTTGACCTTTGATAAAGTGACCCACATAACTTTCTCTAACAATCATTCACTTATGTAGTAAATATGAAGTATGAGTTAGTTGACAGGAACTTGAGTTATCACATAAAAGTGTAGAATGAACAGACAGGCAGACAGACAAACCAGGTGATTATTATAGGGCACCCACATCTTGATCCAAGGCTTTTAAATATTTTGAAATTGCAAAGAATAGATTTGGGTTTCAGTCTGTACCAGTAACTTACTGTAATAAAATTGTCTAAATAAGTATCTATCACAGAATCAAAATGTTGCTTTCATAAGGTCATGTTATAAAGAATTAAAAACAGGTGTATAAATTACATGAAGATTTCTTGGAATCAGTTGTACATCAGATAAGAATATTGCCACAAGTTTATCTCCTAGTAAACAGGTCTGGATAGCTTCCAGGTTGTGTACAACTCACAATTATTATAAATAAGTACAACTGGAGAACTACATACATATGCACCTCTTGGACACAAAACTATTGTGTACCTTGAAATTCAGACTTTTCCTGTAAACTAAAGGGAAACCAACATGAGCTACACCTGAATAGTCAGGACCTTACCTGTAAACAACAGGGAAACCAAACATGGGTTACATAAGGAGTAGGCAGGACAGATGAATCAGACCTTACCTGTAAACAACGGGGAAACCAACATGAGCTACACCTGAGTGGTCAGGACAGGTGGATCAGACCTTACCTGTAAACAACAGGGAAACCAACATGAGCTACACCTGAGTGGTCTGGACAGGTGAATCAGACCTTACCTGTAAACAACAGGGAAACCAACATGAGCTACACCTGAGTGGTCTGGACAGGTGAATCAGACCTTACCTGTAAACAACAGGGAAACCAACATGAGCTACACCTGAGTGGCCAGGACATGTGAATCAGACCTTACCTGTAAACAACAGGGAAACCAACATGAGCTACACCTGAGTGGTCAGGACAAGTGGATCAGACCTTACCTGTAAACAACAGGGAAACCAACATGAGCTACACCTGAGTGGTCAGGACAGGTGGATCAGACCTTACCTGTAAACAACAGGGAAACCAACATGAGCTACACCTGAGTGGTCTGGACAGATGAATTAGACCTTACCTGTAAACAACAGGGAAACCAACATGAGCTACACCTGAGTGGTTGGGACAGGTGAATCAGACCTTACCTGTAAACAACAGGGAAACCAACATGAGCTACACCTGAGTGGTCTGGACAGGTGAATGACTTCCTGGTTCTGATTATTCAAAATCTTCATATCAAATGGCCGGGAACTCCCACAACAATTACGTGTACAGCAACAGGTGTCTACAACAAACACATTGTACATTTTCATTTTCAGTGACAAAAAAAAAGTTCATATTAGGGCAAAAACCTCCTAGAGCAATGCCTTACAAAAACATATATACAACTTATATTCTAGTATATGCCACTGAATGTAAGTTTCATCCAAATGAAAGCTGATCAAAAAGTGAATTGAAAAAATTGCTACTGGAATGCTATTAAATAGGTAAAAGACAAACAGATTTTGTGATATTAGGGAGTATGACACAAACCCACACCCAAAAAAACTTTTATTTTTTTTATTTGGAAATTACTCAACATGGCACTGTACACCCTTAAGCACAGTGTTTACCCCCTACAATATCATAACAAATTCCCTTTTTTTTCTCTACAGGAAAATGCCCTCCAAATCGTGATAAAATCTGTTTCCCAGAGTACCATATTCATCACAGGATGGAGCACTCATTGTATCACAAAGTTCCTGTTTCATTAATTCAGACTGTTAATACAAGAGTTCTTAGAAAAATGACAACATTTATATTAATAATCTTGATCTTTCAGTAACGGTGACCTGTATGTGTCCTCTCAAAGTTAATCCATTCTCTACATATGTTGTAAATTTGAAATCTGTAGCCTACAAAAGGTCCAGGTTATTGCATTCCACTAGTCATACCAATTATCTTGATTATTGGCCCTGTCCTAAGAATGACCTCAGAATCTATAAGAGTATTCTCTATCTACCGGTACATCTAGACCAACTCCACAGTACCTACCTTCTACAGCATGGTACACTCTCTGTCCAAGAGAATTCAGAATCTCATACTTGTTGTTTGTCTCAAATCCAGTAAAAGCTGAAAATTTAATAAGGCTTTTAGAAATATACCTCATGTTTAATTTTTACATGATAAAAAATATCAGCAAATCTTTGACTATGACTTGAAAATTCTCAGACTTTTCACTTGACTTACAAGTTCTTTTATACATGTACTGTGTTTTTTAAAAACCTTTGTTTTTTTAAATGAAGGATAAAGCTTTTTTTCTTAAGTAAAATTTAACATTTGTGTTAAAAGGCTGAGCATATTTCAAATACTTTCTTTGAATTTTCTTGACTTTTACTTCAAACTGGAATACCTTTTATTCCTGATTGATTCACATGCTACTTTCTCTTTGACTTACCCTCCAGAGCCTCTACTTTCTGTTTAATCAGCAGCTGATCCACCTGAGCCAGGTACTCCAGTCCTTTAGGACAGTTAGCAGGGACGTTAGTGGGTGCCTGCATCCAGCCACCGGGGGCTCCTGGGACACCTGTATTAACAATTTAATACATGTAATGATGACATTTATACTTTATGTTTTCTTTTTCCTGTTGTAAAACTCTATGAGCAATGCCTATCACTGTATAGATGCAGTTCATCACATGATCACAAATGAAAATGCCAAGTCAAAATCAGTCGACACAATGTCAATGAGTCATAAATGGTAGTCATATTTAATAAATTTAACCAATTTCTTTCAGTTTATTTTCATGGATTCAAATTTTAACTACAAATATGTGATATTTAAGTCAGTCACAAATGTCTATATGAGTAAAAAGGTCCCTATCACTTTTAAACATCTATCAGTATCAGATATAAATAAAATTTTATGTGATCAAATCAACTATAAAGCTACATCCCTATGTTTAAACATAGGTAATCAAAGATTACAGAGCTCACCTCAACGAATGTTGTCTTTAAGTAAGGCAAAGTCCCACACTAAACTAATAGTCTTGTATTGGGCATCCCTAGATGCAACATTTATGCAAATTTGGTCTGATAGGGATTGCAATTACTTGGGAAAGGACTTATCTAAAAGCTTTAAACTTGTCACTCATCCATATAATGTAAGTCAAATCCAGCATCTGAAGCAATTTTGAGAGTGTTTGTCCCTTGATGCATCATCCATGCAAGTTTGGTTCAGATAGGCCTTATAGTTACTTGGAAATGAGATCTGCTCCAAAAACTTTAACCTGGTCACTCATCGGGAAAATGTAGGTCAAATCCAGTATCAAAGCAAGTTCAGTAGTGTGCATCCTTAGATATATCATCCATGAAAGTTTGATCAAAATAGGGCTTATAGTTACTTGGAAATGAGATCTGCTCCAAAAACTTTAACCTGGTCACTCATTCGGAAAATGTAGATCAGATCCAGCATCCAAAGCAAGTCCAGTAGTGTGCATCCTTAGGTGAATCATCCATGCAAGTTTGGTCAACATAGGGCTTATAGTTACTTGGAAATGAGATCTGCTCCAAAGACTTTAACCTGGTCACTCATCCAGAAAATGTAGATCAGATCCAGCATCCTAAGAAAGTCCAGTAGTGTGCATGATGTATCATCCATGAAAGTTTGGTCAACATAGGGCTTATAGTAACTTGGAAATTAGATCTGCTCCAAAAACTTTAACCTGGTCACTCATCTGGAAAATGTAGATCAGATCCAGCATCCTAAGAAAGTCCAGTAGTGTGCATCCTTAGATGTATCATCCATGCAAGTTTGGTCAACATAGGACTTAAAGTTACTTGGAAATGAGATCTGCTCCAAAAACTTTAACCAGTGGTCACTCATCCGGAAAATGTAGGTCAGATCCAGCATCCGAAGCAAGTTCAGTAGTGTGCATCCTTAGATGTATCATCCATGCAAGTTTGATCAATATAGAACTTATGGTTACTTGGAATTGGAGCCTGCTCCAAAAACTTTAACCTGCTCGAAAAACATTAACCTGGTCATTCTTTAGCTGAAATTGCAGCATCTGAAACCTTGACCCATACAATGAAACACACTAGAAGCATCCTCCATGCATCTCTGATTAATATAGGGCATAGAAGTACTTGAAAAGAAAACTGCTCCAAAAACTTTAATCTGGGACGCCGATGCCTAGGGTATTACATAAGCTCCCCCAACTTCGTTGAGGTAAGCTAAAATTTTTTCTTATGTCTTATTCAAAAAATTTTAAACTTTATTTTGTAAGTTACAATCTCTTACCACCAAATAACTGAAAAGGACAATCGCCACCCTTCCAAAATGCATTGATGCAAAAAATGCAAGTTTTAACTAAGAACTTCAAGTTATATTTACTAGGATAAAATATTGTAAGAAACATAATATTCATACTTAACAATTATCATTAATAATTAGGTTAACTGGAGTCAGGCATTTCTTTCAACTCAAATAGGTTTGTTCTTTGAATATTTTTTTTTGATAAAAGCAAATGTTTCATAATAAAGAACTTTGTGTAGCTATATGTAACTGAATTCCCTTCAATTCTGAAAATGTATACATTGTATATATAAATGTATAGCAATTAGTCTACAGAGATGCAGAGCACAATATTCAGCTTATTTAATAATTCTGCAACAATAAATAATTATATGAATATTATTTACAGTAGCCAAACTTGTCTATCATAGCTAATACACAAGTATTGAACAAGCAGTCAATCACCATAAAGGTTTGTTACAAAAAGTCTATAATTTATATTGGAGCTGTATAACAACCCTTGGGCTCTAAAATGTCTTACTTCACTAGGATTAAAAGTGAAAATAGACTTTTTTCACTTAAATAAATAAAAATTGGACACATTCACCATAAATTACAGGAAAATGTCAACAGTAACTAGGCCCTACCAAGATAAATTGGAAGTTTCAAATCATATGCCATAAAACTTGGCAAGTCAGGGACCAAACACTGTACAGTGTACTGCCACCAAACTTTCTTCAATCAAAGTACTGATACAGTACTGAAAGACGGGGTCAAATACTAAACTTCATTATTTTAAAATTTCATAACTGCATGCTGAAAATTTTACATAAGGCTTTGATATCAAAAATTTTTTTTTTTATAATTTAATATTAACATTAATAAAAAAATCTGTGAAAATCTTATTTGCACGTTTTTTTTTTCTTTTCATTTACCGGTACACTGTAATAGAATAATCAGTAACCACTAGTCAAGAAACTTTTTCGAATTGTCTGAATGTCACTGGGTCCGAATTAATATGACATTTCCAGAAGTAAACAATTGATGATGCGTACGCAGTCTTGTATTACACAGCCGAGTAGTTTGTATACTAGAGTAGTTCAGTATTACCCGGGGTATGATTTTCATGTTAAAAATTTTCAAAACGGTTCTTTAGTTTGAGTAAGAAAAACTTCATATGGCTCTCTTTTAAGTTTGATACAGAGTGTTAGTATTTTAATCAAAACAATTTCTGCACTCTTTCATGTAGCATAGATTAAATTCATGTGTTCTCCCCACGGCTTCCGTTTTGAGGCCTCAACTGACAGTAAACTAATAGACGGGGTCACGTGACCCCATCTAAAACCTACATGTATTCAAATTTATCTTTTTCAATGAGCATTTTTTTAACTTCACTAAAAAAGTTTCGTCCTTTATTTTCATAATGTGGCTTTTGGAATTCTGTGTTAACAAGAATAGTAAAAATAGCTCCTCAGTTTCTAACTGACCTTATATAATTGTGTTTAAACAAACAAATTAACAAAATTAACACTGTCATTTACATACACGTATTTTGTACACATGGAATCAAAATTTTCTTTGTATTTATGTATTATATTCCTAAGCTTTTAAATATGATTAAAATATCTGCAAAGTAAATAATTTCTTATTCAATATAAATGTACTAAATGTATTTGTAAAGTAAGAAACATCATATAATTCCCTAATGTCATCAAAAATGTTTTCTACAAGATTGTCTGGTAAAATCTTGGACAAATTGTCTATAGTGAAAAATAATCAACACTGAATTCTAAAATTTTTCATTTCTCTTCAGTACATTTTTCATCAATATACATGTACATCATAAGCGAATTTCAAATAGATATATGCTCAAATAAACAAAATATAGAATTTTATGTTATGCCTTTCAGCTCACGGATTATAACATTAGTGTCTAAAGCAACAACATCTTAAAGTTTCATCTTTGCAAAAAAAAAAAAAAAAAAAAAAATATGGATAAGCCCCATTTAGTTTTAGGAATTTCACTGATGCACATATTGGAGTTCCCCTTTATTCCTCCATAAACAGGCTAGAGACCAATCTTACACACACATGTTACCTTCTGAAGATTTGTATTAGGAAATGATGGACAGAACTCTCACCACTTTCAACTAAATAGGCAATCTTTTCTGACTTCTGCAGTTATAACTTCTTTTGCTATTGCCATTAGCTGTTCATCCATATGTTTGTTCTACCCTTGGACTCATTGAAAAAAACTTTGTTTTAAAAATGCCCTTTCCACATGTATTATTAAAAATTTAGTGATACAGAAAATTATTGTAACATTAACAATCCAAAGGGGAGAGAAAAACTTTTAGAAATTATGAATGATTTACAAATAGTTGACTATTTCAGGATTTTGAATCCAAACTTAAAAATGTTTACTTGGCGGAAGAAAAATCCAGTGAAATAAGGACGTTTAGATTATATTTTAATTTCTGAAAATATGTGTAATTTGGTTGAAAACTTAGCAATTAAACCAGGGTACAGATCGGACCACTCATCAGTGGTTCTTGATATAAAATTTAATACCTTTAAGAAAGGAAAAGGTCTCTGAAAATTTAACAACTCTTTACTTACAGACATAACATATGTTAACAAGGTGAAAGAAACAATAAAGTCTATTAGAAAACAATATGAAAAGAATAATGTGCTTATAGATGATATGGATAATAGTACATTTCTTGAAGTCCTCTTAATGGAGATTAGAGGAATTACAATCTCATATTCGTCATATAGAAAGAAAGAAAAAAATAAAGAAGAAGCCTTGTTAATTGCACAAATAGAGAAATTAGAGGCAGAGAATATATTGAATCTATAGTTAATAGAAGAGAAAAAAACAAATCTTGAGAATCTGAGAAAAGAAAAGCTACAAGGTCATGTTATAAGGTCTCGAGCCAGATGGGTTGAAGATGGAGAAAAGCCATCTCAATACTTTTGTAAACTAGAATCCCGTAACTATTTAAATAAGATTATCAAAAAGATTAAAACAGTCAACGAGGTAATTTACAATCAATCAGAAATTTTAAATAGAATTAGGATGTATTACAAATCACTGTATACTTCTGCAGACGCAGAACTTCTCGATATAGATGTGGCAGAAATTATTACAGTTACTGAGGTTCCAAAACTTGATAATCATGTTGCCAAATCACTTGAGGGAAATATTATGGAAAATGAAGTCTTACAGGTGTTAAAAAATAAGAAAAACAATAAATCACCAGGAAGTGATGGTTTCACTGCTGAATTTTTAAAATTTTTTTGGTCAGATTTGAAACATTTAATAGTACCTGCCATAAATGATGTATTTCAGAAAAAAGAACTCCCTATCTCTCAAAGACTAGGGATAATTACATGCTTACCAAAAGTTGATAAGCCAAGAGAATTTCTGAAAAATTGGCGGCCTATTACACTTTTAAATGTGTTTTATAAACTTATATCAGGTTGTATTAGTTATAGAATAAGATCCACCCTGGACAATATTATATCAAATACTCAACTTGGCTTTTTAAAAGGAAGATACATAGGTGAAAATACCAGATTTCTTTATGATCTTATGGCTTACACTGAATCTAGAAATATACCGGGGTTGCTTGTACTTATAGATTTTGAAAAAGCTTTTGATTCAATATCCTGGACTTTTGTGTATAAAGCATTAGAATTTTTTGGATTCGGTAAAAACATTATTGAATGGGTAAAAATTTTAAATACAGAATTTTGTGCATCTGTTCTTCAATGTGGATTTTTATCTGAGCAGTTTAATATCTAAAGAGGATGTTGTCAGGGAGATCCTGTAGCACCATATCTGTTTCTTCTTTGTGCAGAAATTCTTGCAATAATGATTAAACAAAATCAAAGCATTAAAGGAATTGTAATTAACAAGACAGAGCATAAAATATCTCAATATGCAGATGATACCTGGCTTGCCCTTGATGGTTCACCTGAATCACTTTTTGCAGCATTAGATACAATTGATTTTTTCTCAAAGTTCACAGGACTTAAAATTAACAGTTCAAAAACAAAAATTGTTTGGATAGGTTCAAAAAAATTCTCTAATCAAGTTTTTCACCATTCTCGTTGGAAACTTGAATGGGGTTGCACAACTTTTAATTTTTCAGTAGAACTAGATAAAATTATTGATATTAACTATAATGTTCAAATACCAAAAATCAAAGCATTAATTCAACAATGGAGAAGAAGAATTCTTACTCCTATTGGAAGAGTCACGGTGCTGAAAACATTGATTTTACCAAAACTTAACCATTTTTTTATATCCTTACCAAATCCAAATAAAGAAACCTTGTCATTATTGAACAGAGAAATATTTGAGTTTATATGGAAATCAAAATGTGATAAAGTAAAAAGAAAAATTATTACTCAAGATTTTTTACAAGGAGGATTAAAAATGTTGGATATAAATAACTTTATTATCTCTCTTAAGTGTTCCTGGATTAAAAGATTAACAAAAAGCAATCAACCATGGTTTGATATTTTTTCGACAATAAATGGTAAAGACATATTGACTAAACTTTTTGATTTTGGTGAAGAGTTTGTATCTTGTTTGATTGTAAAAAATAATGATTTTTGGAAAGATGTGTTTAATTCATGGCTATTTTAGGCTAGAGTTTTTTTATTTTCTGTTTAACGGGAAGCACCGACACAATTTTTTCAAAATACCGAAAAAAAATAAAAGAGGTCCATCTCACTTTTATTTTTAAAATACCCGCCGACTGTGTCATTTATTGACGGTTTGAAATAAAATCGGGTTTGTTGTATACCATAATTTTAAAAAATCATGTAAGCGTTTGACATAGCTTACGTTAATCAAATTCTTGTACGAGCGTCTTGCTGATTATGATATCGTAACCAGTTTAAAGAACTAGTTTATCGCACTTTTCGCGGGTTCTATCAACAGATCAACAAGCAAAAATGCCATTTCGAGACATTTATAGATAAAAATGACGAGATAGTAATATTAAATCCATTGACGATAAAGAGAAAAAAGATTCTGAAATCGGAATGAGGGCATCAACAACCTAAATACACTTGATGCACACTGAACCATCTTGTGTCTAAAGAGTTGGGGGTAAGTTTTTTGATACGTCTTGATAAACTTTCTGTTAAAATTGTTCGATGGTTAACATTTTTTGATACGTTTTTTGTTTCTTTTAAAGATGTTTACATTGTATATTTAATTTGATCACATAACAAATTGAGGTAAAATTCGCGGTAAAATTTAGTTATACAATGAATTATGTTTAACTATATCAGGGACATAAAATTACGATTAAAATATTTTAGATACAAGTCCATGTCTGCTTGGTTGAATTAAATGAGGTCAGGATTCCAACAAAATTACGATTGGAAAAGAATATTTAAAACTAACACTGACAAGTGACAGCTAATTGGAATTGCACACCTAATTGGAATTGCACACATTATCCTGTGGAAAGGTAGAGATAGAAAGAATTAAGTCAACAAATTGTCCAATTTAATATTTTAAATGCAAATTGAACAAAGACCAAACTTATTATAATTATAATATAAGAAATGTTTATTATCAAAAACTCTTATAAAAATGTTTTGTATCTTCATTTAGAAAAGAAAATAATCTCATGTAAATACTGTTTTTTTATCTTCTACTTTCTAACTACTACATGTATTTGGTTATATTAATAAAGTATCTTAAAGGAACAATGCATTTTTTGTGCAGTTTGATTTCTTGGTGGAGACCCAACCATTTGTGAAGAGTTCAGAAGACTTCCAAGATGACTGCTGTTGTTCGTCAAATAATTTCAGCTGACAAATTTCCATTCTGAACCTCAAGAATGTGTTAGTCCTATACTAGGAATGCATTGTCAAGTTAGCTATCAACCCCATATCTTTCTCCAAACTTCTGTTTAATCATAATATATGTAGCTTAAAACATTTTTTATCATTACTTTTAGAAATTTTATACAGTAGGAGATGACCAAATGAAGACATCTATAAATTTTTAAGCAGTGTGGATTTTTCTGTATCAACAATATTGTAGCTATATAATAATTTAAACTGTAAATTTTATTGTTTTGCTTTCATACTAGAATTTACAAATGTAATTAACCACAGTAGGATGACACATGCATATAGTTAGGAGTTGTATCTTTTTATCCATATTTGAAATCCAAATAAATGATAAACAAAATTTTATTGTGTTTTCTTTCATTTTTCAACATTCTATAAAAAAAAAAAATTCATACCATTTTTGGGTTTTATTTTTTATATGGTCTCGACTCGACAAATTTTGAACTTTTTATTTTTATTTTATTTCGTCCCCTCGACCCGACTTTTTCTTAAAAATTCCCGTTAAACAGAAAATAAAAAAACTCTGGCCTTACATGAACACACTCGATAACAATTCATATATGAAAACTAAGTATCTGAATTTACCTGTCTGGTATAATCCCAATATAAAAATGGTCTATAGACAAATCATCTGTTAAGAGACAATGTACACCTTTTATTCCTTTTTATTTTGAAAATATTATTGTATACGAGAAGTGCACAAAAATAATTTACAAATATTTGAATAGTAACCTTGTCACTCCTACATCAATATTTAGATGGAACCAGGAACTGTCAGTGTTTTTGGAATCTGATATTTGTGTTCAAGATGTTTTTAAGGTTTGTTTTAGAACAACTATGGATACTTCTGTTCAATGGTTACAGTATAGAATCCTTCATAGAATCCTTCCAGTGAAGTATTATTTGAAGAAAATAAATATTTTATCTGATGACCACTGTACTTTTTGTAAACAGGAGATAGAAACAATACAACATATATTTTTGAATTGCACAAAAAACTCTTCATTATGGAGTAATCTTAGTATGCACATTTTTACAAAAACTTCTAAAAGAGTTGGGTTTAACATGTGTAATATTATTTTTGGTGAAACTCCATTATTTTATCATAACAGGGTGATGAATTTCATTATTCTTTATACAAAGCAATATATATTTTCCAGCTTGAAGCAAAACAAAATACCTATGATTAATGGGCTGCTACATTTTTTAACTCTTAAGTACAAAATAGAAAAATGCATATCAATTCAAAAATTTGAAATGAAAAATTTTGAAAACTTATGGTCAACATGGATTAATATTTTTGAGTTATAAACATTTATTAAAGCACCAACAATAATTATTTTTTCAAATGGAATACTTGTACCTCATTGTTACTAATTTTCTTTTATTTCATTCTTGTTTAAAGTCAGAAGGGGAAGTGTGAATGTGTGAGAGAATGTGAGAAAACGTTTCAGTATGTTACTTGATATATCTCTTTTTTCTAATAATAAAAAAAAAAAAAAAAAAAAAAAAAATTAGTGATATTTATGATTTTTTAAAAATCTAATCATTTAAAGTCTGTAAAGTTGTCTTTAGTAATACTACGTCTATATAAAACTGAACAGCTCTTTGGTGTGCAATAATGTCATCAAATGTTGCCTTTTTGTGTGTGTTGTGTTGACTACTTTCCTATTTCCATTGCTTGGGAAACTGCTAAAAAGTACACAAATATCTTTAAATTTTCCAAATGATACCATAATAAATGGTGACTTAAAAATATAATAATTTTTACCCAACCTTAGTTATTTAATACTTTTTTGGGGGTTAAAATAATACTTGTATATTCTCTAATGAAATCCTTTTTTTTTTTTTTTTTTTTTTTTTTTTTTTTTTTTTTTTGCTGTACGCCATAAGATCATACCCTGTGTACACTGAGGTAAAAAATTATGATGCACTCAGTCTCAAATATGATTAATAATAGTTGAAAATTTCAGCTTTGTGTGCACAATATTTTTCAACAAAAATGAATTCTCCACAATTTTACAGGACAACCTTTGTATATATGTACAAAATTTTACAGGACAACCTTTGTATATATGTACAAAATATTGATATTCAATTTCAAACAGAGAAGTTTTTAAAATCATATCATTTTTTTTAAATTAAAATAATTTCTGTTAAAACACTGCAGTTATAAATGTTATTTTTCTACATCTTTCATAAAATAACACTTATACCATTCTTATAAACTATTGGTCAAACTCAAGTACCTTTATTAGAGATTGGATAGAAATTTTCACATAAAGAATATCATTCTGTGTAAACAAAGTTTGGACCTGCAGGGATAAAAGTTTAATGAGTGGACATGACATTTTAGTGGGAATCCCTTACATGCCTTGTCATCCTGTTTATATCCAACAATTTCTTTACATTCCTCTTCCCAATTTTAAAGTTTAAAATTCCACAGAAAAAGAAAACCAAATAAAGTACATGCTTTACTTTGTATTAAATATGGTTTTAACAAAACCCTTGTTTTTAAAGTTTCTTAAGTTCTCTACAAATAATTAAGGAAACAAAAAAAATTAAACCTAATGGAAATTATCTGTCCTTTTTTTTTTTTTTTTTTTTGAGTTCTCTGTAAAATGAGCTAAACTAGGTCTTTATTCCTCTTTTATTTCATAACTTGAAATCCCAATAGAAAATTCCTCAGATCAAAGAGCAAACTCCAACAAATCCATGACAACATAAGTAGGTAACATCTCACTCAGTATGTTAGTACTTAAGACCACATCTGACCTAGATGTTCACACTAATACTATACCTGGCTCCTGCACCGGGTATTTGGAGACTACCATCTCCTGTCCAGGCACAACTAATAAAAATCACATACTCTTAAAACTTTGTAAATTGTTCATTTATTTGTTAATTACTAAAAGAGCCCTTAATCTCCCAATCTTTCCATGAAGGGTTACTATGCTACTGTTTTGCCCTCAAACCCTCCGCCTGAGAAACAGGAGTTTATATGCTAATCTTGTGTTCAAATACAATGTATAGATAAAATGCTAAGATGCTGAAGTGTGTTAATTTAAAATCCCCTGGTGTTTGGATTAAGAGTTTATTATGATTGTTAAGAATGTTCATATTGAACTGTGGGACATCCGTGACAAAGAATCCTTACATCTGGACAAGACTTTATCACTGCAAGAATATAATTATGTAACATTACACAGATATCCTGCACAGGGTGATGGGGCAATAGATTCTCCCTACTTCTAGACTGATTGGCCTCCCCAACCCCATGCCCCACCAAAAAGAAAGAGAGAAAAAAATTCTGTTTAGGCACTTAGTTAGGCAAAGTTTGTTGACATGTCTGTCCGAATGACAGGCTTTCGGAATAAAAACTTTCCACAGCTCTGTTAGTAGATTCAATGATGTCTAGATTTCAACATTCCACAAAAACATAAGAAAATATATTGTTCCTATTTAACAGTATGTAGTTATTTTTAATACAGGGTTAAAAAAAACATTTCCTCCTTTTAACATTTAGCATTTTTTTTCAGACAGTTTTTCTAAACATATTAAAAAAACTGTGAAACCAGACAGAAGGGACTTTTCATAACTGATGATGATCTCAAGTTATTTCCTCTCAATGACATGCTCTGATACAAATATAAATATATTATATAAATAAAGGAAATAATCTGTATGAATTGTTAACTAGTCCCCACCTCCCGCAGCAGGCTGAGCCACTACTGGTCCTCCAGGTTGCCCTCCCGGCTGTCCTCCTGGCATCTCAGACTTCGGATATCCAGACATTGTGAATCACCTGAAATTTGTCAAATAATTAAATCACACTCATAAAAAATACAACAAACAAAAACAATTATATACAGCAAGTAGAAAAAGGGATTGGGTATGATGAAGGGATTGGAATGCTTGTAAATTAATTTATACTGACTACAATGATAAAATAAACTTCACTTAACCACAGACAAGACTGTAAGGTTACATATATATCGCTGATATCACTGATCAGCATCCTGTATGGTTTAGTTTAGGATGCAGTTACTTTACAAGTAGGAAAAGCAATAGCCTCAAAGTTAAATAGGGCACTTAGTTTTCCCGACTTTTTGGACAAAATAAGAAATTGTTAAGAAACTAAATTTGCTCCCTTTTATCAAGAAATATACATCAGTAGGAGGACTATTTATAGTTATGTTCATCTGTTGCTACGGGGATCTTGTACGATGTATTATGTACAATATTTGGTACAACACAGTATTTTTAATGAATAATAAGGGAAATTTACCATGTACAAATCACTGGTTCGACATAGAAATCCCGGAATACTGGAATAGTAACTACTGCTTACTACCTGCCTATTTATAGATGAAAAGAAAGGCAACCCAAGACGCTTACCAGAATGTCCACAAACAAACAAATGAAAGACAAATTGACCTCTCTCTTGATTAGTTAATATATTCATGGTAATATTAAATCATTATAATATATTAAGCTTTATAAATAAAATCCCATGATCTTTAAAAAGTATTTTAAAACTTAATTCTATCAACATTTTGCAATGACATGACCCACATACCTCTTCTGAATTCTATTTAAATCTCCCTATTTTTCTTATTGAAGTGACGCTTTCTCGATCAATGAGTTTACGAAATGCAGTGACATTATACGTCACAATGTTTGGGCCTGTTACTTAGTACATTAGTATTATACACTGGCCAGTTTTTTAAATCAAGATTTCCTAATCTATGTATATACTATCTGAAATTATTTTTCACAGCAGTTCATTACTTTTAAAAGTCGATCACCAGCTGCAAATATTGAGACAAGGCTTCTGTTGAGATTATCATTTAAGTTTAAAGATCTCTGTATTTACAAATAATGATGGTCTATCAACATAAAAAAAAAAATCAATGTTAATCAACCCTGTCATGTGCTATGAAATGCTTGAGTTAAAAAACAGATTAACATCAGAAATTCACAGAGGAATCTTTTATAATGTTATTTTATACTGGTATGTACCTCAGTTAATGTATTGTCTTTCTCACAACCGATAATTACGGACAAATAAGTGACAAATAAAAAAGACGCAGAATATTTTAATCATAATGACCTCTTGATCAAATCACCTTGAATTGATTTAGGATAGCTATAAATAATACTAAAAAAATTTACAGTCAGTTTTTAACTTTTGATCAATACATGCACAATATTTTATTAAAGTATTATGTGATCAAATCCTCTCTCTCTCTCTCTTTCTATGAGTCTTTCTCTTTCCTTCTCCTCCTCTTGAAAAGTCACAAAAATACTACAGACCAACAATTTCAGTGGTGGATCCAGGAATATCATAACGGAGAGCGCAGTAGAAGGCCGGGGGGGGGGGGGGGGATGCATTGAAGCCCCTAGTGGGCCCTGGGCAAAGCCCTGGTGAGCTGGTGGGGGTCTGAAGCCCCCAGAAGCTGACAAATTCTTACAAACAAGAGGTGTTTTTCCCTTGATTTTAGGATAATGGACATATAAATTCTACATACAAAGAATTCAAACATGGGGGTGGGGGTGGGGGGCTGGATCCACCTTTGAATTTTGAATTTTTGGCAGAATCAAATTGTAAAAAACCATAATATCTCCTTGTCATTTATCCATTAAAATGATTTAATCATGTCCTGTCATCACAAGATGGGAGATTTCTGAATTTTCGAGTTTGTGTAATAGTTGTTTACTAAAAAAAATAATTAGCAATAATAATTTTACATGCATCAGAACTGGTTTTGACTTTTAGTTACAGATTTTTTTTAATGCAATTACAAATCAACATACATGATTGAAGTTAACATATCCTTGCATGGATGAATTCAATTTTTTTGGCAGCTCACACCACTAAGGACCAACAATGAATTGCAGAATAATCAGCTGTTATTTTCTTAATTAGTATTTTTTTAATGGCTTCCATACTTTCAAGCGCTACTCCGGTCTTAAAGGCTTTACATCTCACACAGATTTTATTTTACTCAATTTCCTTTTTGGATGACATGAAACTGTCAGTAATTGCTCATGAATCTCTCAACTTGGTATTCTTATTAACTGAGGCTGTTATTAATTAGTGGTCTACTGACAAAATACTGGGGCATATTACATGTTATAATCAGCCCATTGTCATTCATGGTAGCTCTCTGAGAATGAAAAAGGGGGGTGGGCGAAAGTAGCCACCTTTCTTTAACTTCCTCTTTTAACTTCTACCTACTTGCTCGTCACTGATCCAGTATTACATAATCTTCAAGCATGACTGGCTGTATGTATAATTTTATTCAGGAGTAAATACAGTTAGGCCTATATACATAGAATCAAAAAATAACCTTAACGTCCTGAAAAAATCAGATTCACATTACAGAAAATACCCTGGTAAACAGGTAAAATGGATTTTGAAGAACATATTTCATGCCATGATTATCAAACTAATTTAAAGTACACATCTTACCTGCCCTCACTCTGGACAACGCCTAAAGTAAACTTTTTCTGGGTTGTTGATATTGTAAGGCGAGCGTAAAATGTAGAATCAAACAAAGGTGGTTCCGGAATAAGGACGGATAAATCACGTTTTTCTTCCATATTTAGTTTGCAGACTGAAAGGGATGCGAAGCTTTTTACCTACCTATGTACGGTACCAACTATTTTTTAGGTAGTAAGTAGGCCTAAGTAGATTTTATTTATCTAAGCGTTGCATATTTACTAGTCTACATAACTACAGATAGTTCTTTAGCATGTATCACATCATACTTTTGCAAAATATCAAATAAATTTTATTTTAGAAGAACTATTGTCAAAAATCAGGCCCGTGAATTTCAGTTGGCGGAGGTGGCATTGGAGGATCTAGAGGGGGGTTCTGTGGATGGGAATCCCCCCTTTATTTTAGAGAGAGAGGGAGTTTTCTGAAATAGCGGATATTTTCGTCTAATACGTTTTGAATACGCGTAAAACAAGTAGTTCAACATAGCTTGGCAATCCCATATTCTACTCCCCAGATAGAGCCTCGCGTATTTGCCTTTATTCGTTTACCTTCACTACCCCCGGCCACCTAAACCCCCAACCTTAAAAAAAATTATAAGACTGTCATGAAGTGTTTTCATTTATAAACGGATGAAAAAAATTGCACCTTGACCTAGGAGTTTGACCTACTTTTGAAAAACTTTAACCTTGGTCATAACTTTTGAACCTTTGGTGCTAGGGCTTTCATACTTCACATATGTAATCCTTGTGACAAGACCTTCCTTGAATACAAACAACTTTGTCCCTTTGACCTTGACCTTGGAGTTTGAAGTACTTTTGAAAAACTTTAACCTTGGCCATAACTTGTAAACATTTGGTACTAGGGCTTTCATGCTTCACATGTGCATTCCTTGTGACGAGACTTTCCTTTGGATATCAACAATTTTGGCATTGACCTTGACCTTGGAGTTTGACCTACTTTTAAAAAAACTATAACTTTGGTCATAACATGTGAACGTTTGGTTCTATGGCTTTCACATTTCACGAACATGTGTATCACTTGTGACAAGACCTACCCTTGGGGCCCCATTTGACCTTGACCTTGACGTTTTACTTACTTTTTAAAAACTTTAACCTTTGCAACAACTTTTAAACAGTTGGTGTTAGGGCTTTCAAATTTCACAGGTATATTCCTCGAGACAAGACCTTTCTTTGGGTACCAACATTTTTGATCTCTTAACCCGGAGTTTGACTTGCATTTGAGAAAATTTAACCTTCTCCATAATCTGCCATACGGGGGCATCAGTGTTTCACAAACACATCTTGTTTTTATTTGACATCTTTAATCAAAACATCTAAGTACATGTAATTATAACACTGATGACAAAAGAAATAATGCTTTCAAGCATTTCTGAAACTTAGAGTAGAATTTTTCATACATGGCAGGGACCAACCTAGATTCACTAAATGAAATCCTGCGCAAGCGCGGGGAAATGAATTTATATCACAACCGACAGAAAATATAAATGTAGTTTCTACTGACAGCCTACAGGCTTATAGCAGGAAGAAATACTTTGTTCAAAATCCCGCATGAAGTAGATGTACGTCTCCACCCTCACCCCCTTTTTTGTAAAAGCTTGAAAAATTACGATTTCATTAATTGACGTTTATTTTGAAACCTGTAATATTATGTTATGGATATTGTACTGTAGATGCTCTTATTTCATTTTCGTCGAGGATAAAAGCAGCGAAATAAGCAAATATGCACATTTTACTGATAAATTGATTTGGGGGGGGGGGTGTAAAAATTCACAGGTACTTGGGTCTTGGTTTATAAATATGTATGTACCTTATTGATATGTAAAAAAAAAAATGTGCTTTACTTTTTTTTTTTTTACATATCAATAAGGTACATACATATTTATAAACCAAGACCCAGGTACCTGTGTAAAAAAAAAAAAAAAAAAAGAAGAAGTTTTTATCTCTGTATGAATTAATAGGCCGAGTATTTGAAACAAAAGACTGTATTCAGAAAAAAAACTGAAATGTATTGATTAAAGCACAAAATTTTACAGCTTTAATTGTATTTGAACAATACCTTATTTATTATTTTTTTCTTTTCATGTAACCAAGTTTATTACGAAGAAGTACAAATTGTACTTCGGGTTGCCACGATGCTCTCGGTTACCGATAAATTTATTAGGAAAACCTACAACATATATGTAATAGTCTTTCGATAGATATATTCACAACTTATAGTGTTATCAATGATTTACCATTATTTCAATGACCATTCAAACAAAAGCTTTTTTTATGTTCATGCAGCCTCGTTTTTTTTCTTTTTAACATTGGGCTCGATGCTATATGATGTTCTAGAAGCTTCCGTCAATATTAAGATCGGTGAATGACGAAAATAATTTGCACATTTCCCTTTTTAATCGGTTATCACAACATATTTCTTTTATATCATTTAATTCAAGTTTTGATTGAATGATTCAGTGATGACGTTTTATGAAATAAATGAACGATTGATTGTTGTCAGTTTCATTAAAAATTGCCAGTAACTTAGATCCGCCAACCGGAAACGCCACCGTACTCACGTTTTTCCTATTTCATGGCCGTTTATAGAAAATGAAAGTAAACTTTTTATTTAATGTACGATACTTACTATGGGAGTGAAATCTAAATATAGTGTACGGACATCATCTTGTATACAGTGTATTGTTAGAGGAGTAATTAAGAACTGTGGTGCACCCGTTTCGGACTTCATTTGTAAAATTTGTTAATTTATAAGTATATAGATACTTTAGAGAGACTTCACTTCTCCCTCAAAGCAAATTAGGGAGAAGTTCTGAAAATCAAGGAGAATTATAATACTTTTACCATAAACAATATGGACATATCAAAACGTTGAACATTGTTTGTTTTTTTTTTATTATAGTTACGATTGATTAAAAAAGGATTTATATATAGTGGACATATTTGAGTGTGTGTGTGTTAATTTTTTTTTAAATGTTTATGCATAGTAATATTAAGTAAAAGAAGTGAATAAAAATAGTTTCTTTATTAGGCCTATATGTTATTGAGAGAATAAAAAAAAGATTGGAAAAAAATTGATGACATTTTTTTTGTGCGTTTAAGGAATATTAGTCTACCCCGGCTCTTAATATCCAAAATGCATGTTTGTATAGCTAGCTTATTGACAACTGTCATGATTACTTTTTATTGTTTTTATAATCAGTATATATATCATTTAAATATCTTAAATGGCATGAAAGTTCTTTACTGATTAATTCCAAAACATCGATCGGTGGTCATTTACCATGCAGACCTGTTGCATCACTAATGTAGATACGATCCCATGATGATTCGTGTTGTGATTTTCAGAGCTGCTGCTGTGATAACGGCTTTATTGGAGGAGTATTTATTACATTGTCCTCTAATAAATTGAAGAAAGATGATTTTATCATACGACATAAGCCCGTACCTACGCGGGTTTCTATACTATATGCTTGTGCCCCCTCAATAAAAACGTCTGAGAGATTACTTTTCGAACCACCTTTTCAGAAAGTATTCATTCATTCATTCATTCATTCATTCTTTATTTATTTGTTTGTTTGTTTGTTTGTTTGTTTGTTTGTTTGTTTGTTCGTTCGTTCGTTCGTTCGTTCATTTATTTATTTATTTATTTATTTATTTATTTATTTATTTATTTATTTATTTATTTATTTATTTATTTATTTATTTATTCATTCTATTATGGTCCTCAGGCCGTAGAAGCAAATTCAGTTGGGGGGGGGGGCACAACCATACATTTTCAGTTGACAGTTGAGGGGGCACTAACAAAAAATTCCTGACAAGCAAAAAAAAAAGTCTCACTTGCCTCAATGGTTGCGGCCTTGGTGTGTAAAGTACAATTATTAGCCCATTTAAAATTCCCGCCCAAAAAGAGTAATTATAACCAATGAAAACGACCAAAGAACTACTTCCGGTTTTGAACCTCGTTGAGCGCCATTTTCAATAAAATGAAATGAGAAGGAGAGAAAAGATATCTTGGTAACAATATCAATGATATGGAGGTCGACGAGACTCCAGAAACGACGGAGCAAGTCTCCAGAGCTGTTAATCTGGAAACAGGTACAATGACCGTTCTTTAAATGAGAACAAGTTTGTTTTTCTTTGTCCTCATCTTTTGTCTTGTTGAGGACGTTCATCTGACAGTAACAAATATTCTTACATTCTCATTTTGTCACTATTTGTGATATTTATATTACTTTACCTGTTGAGAAGTTGAATTTTTTGGCCAAGAACTTATACAATCGAGCACACAGGTGTTATATAAAATGTGCTCTTCATGAAGTCTAAAATATTTTTGTTCTGTTTAGATTTCGGCCCGTTAGAGATTCCTCCAGCACCGCAGTCTGTAGCGACGTACGAAGTAAATGGGCCCCGGCTTATGATATCAAAGATTGTAAATGAAAATTTCAAGTCGTATGCAGGTGTTCAGACTCTTGGACCATTTCACAAGGTTGGTTTTGAACAGGTTGGAAACAATCGCCCAAATGGGATATAATAACCCATCTGGGATATAATATCCCAAATGGGATATAAATTTACAGTGCAAAAAAAATGAAAATTTTTATTTTGGCTATAAATATCATAAATCCGCATCAAAATACTTTAAAGGAATAACTTTTGGCAAGCAAGTTTTTCTGCAACCATACGGGTTGTTAGATTGATCCCCAAGAAGTTTATGAACTTCCGAGGGATGAATTTCTTAAACTGGTCATACAGAAAAACTTGTGAACCAAAAGTTATTCCTTTTTTAAGTATCTTGATGCGGATTTATGATTAATTGGGTTGCATCATTGGGTTTTTGCGCTTTCAATTTCTGATAATTTTATTTTCTTGCGGTAATACCGTATAATCCCTATTAGCCGCCCGGGGCACTTAGAAAATTGCGAAAAGGGGGCGGTTATTTTGGTATTCTCGTTATAATATTTAATGTCATATTTTAACTTCAAGAAATCTTTTGAAAAAAAAATTAATTCAGAGAACCACAGTGATTCATTTTGGTGTGCGTCCTGCGTAAATTATGCATAAATTTTGCTCAGGACGCATTATTTCAATAAATGTGCATCCCAATGGACGCATTACATTTATAATATGAAAGGTATTATTTTAAATTATTTTGGTATAGTATGCTTCAAAATTTGGCTGACTGCATCATATTCACGTGCTTAGCGATGTGCATGAGCGATTTTAATAGGTACAAGGTTGCCAATAACAGGTCAGATTTCACTGTTAAATTATAGTTAACAATTAATGAAACAATTATCAGAAAAAGAAAGTTCAATTTTGTCTGCTGTGGAACATTTCTGAAGTGTATACTAGGCCTATACATTTGTGTTTTAGCTGTAACCTGAATCATTTTAATTTTTAACTTAGAAACTAATAAATATCTGATCATTCTTCTTCCTGGCTATTTTTCTTTTTTTTTAAAGAAAACTTTATTTATATCATTCAATAGAACAACTGGTCTACTTCTGTGCATTTTATGACAGATACAAATGATATGATCTAAAAATAGAAGCAAGGTGCACAGTTGACAATATATTATGCCACAAAATTATTTATTCTTACTTCCAATTGATAGTTATTATAGTATAATCCACTCACAGCTTCAATAAAACAACTGCACTTTCGGGCAAAACCCTTTTCTATTTCACCAGAATTTCCTCTGTAATATCTAATATACAGTACCATTGAGTACCCTTTGATTTGGACACATTGGTTTTGGCATGAGACTCATTGTTGTCATTAAGAGGGGTCCTTTGGACCCATGATAACCATTTTCAAAATAGTCACTGGAACCACTAAAAGATTGTTTAACTTTCCTTTAAGTTAAGATGATCCACCCAAATTACGCTTAATGGTTCATTTTTCCACCGAGAAATTAGAGAATACACAAGGATAACAAATTTCGTAGGTAACTTTCACTTTCAGAAATACATAAATGATTAGGTCGTTCTAAAAATCTTTAACTTTCAGGAATACTTTACGTCACCCAATAGTTACCCAATAACCATTCGACTTTCGATACGATTCTAGATGATTTTAATCACTGTACAGGGGGCCCTTATTTCCGGACAATTGAAAAAGACCTAGGGGGCGCTTATAGGGGCAGGGGGGTTAATAGGGATTATACGGTACTTTGATTTGTGTGACATGATGCATATTTATTTATTAAACAACGATCCTGACTTTTAATAGATTTTTAAACATCGTTCCCGCTCTAAAAAGTATGCATGCAAACATGGTTCCTTTACAGGGTTGTACACTGTGTTATACTCAGGTGACTGTTAAGGCCCTTGGGCCTCTTGTTTTGATTTATAATGAAAACATCAACATATTAAGTGACTTAAGTTGTACGACATTTACACCCCCCCCCCCCCCCCAAAAAAAAAAAAAAAAGGCTTACTGTCTTCTTGTTTTGGTTCTCAGAGCTTCACCTCAATTGTTGGTCCCAATGGAAGTGGAAAGTCTAATGTCATAGACTCAATGCTCTTTGTTTTTGGTTTCCGTGCCAACAAAATTCGATCGAAGAAGATAAAAGTGTTGATCCATGACAGTGAAAATCATAAAAATTTGGATTCCTGTACAGTTAGTGTCCACTTCCAGAAAATTATTGACACTGGAGTAAGTGGATTTATACATGTATTGTTGCATTAAATTTATAAATTTATTTACAAAAAAATTATTTATTAGACTTATTTATAAATAAACAAGTCTTCTTTCAGATTTTACTTACTAAAATGATTTAATAGATACATGTTATTTTTGGATATATGCATAAACACATGCTTAATTATTTAAGTTAAAACTTAATTAATAAATTTTGTATGGTAGGATGGAGAAAATGATTACACAGTGGTACCTAACTCTGAGTTTGTGGTGTCACGCACAGCACACAGAGACAACAGTTCTTATTACATGGTTGATGGCAAACGAAAGACGTACAAAGAAGTAGCTGCTGTCCTTAGAGGCAGTGGGATAGACCTAGATCACAATCGCTTTCTCATTCTACAGGTAGGTCACCCAGGACAGGTAACACTTCTTAATTCTACAGGAAAAACACCCAAGAAAAGTGTGACAGTGTTTGTCTACAGTTCTGTCAGATTTGTCATCATTCAAAGAAAGTGCTTGCTCTATAACTTGTTAATAGAACGGGAACCACTAAAAGATGAGCATGTTTCACTCATGAGATATGTTTTCAAAATGACAGAGTTTAGATGTGTCATATTTAATTTCTTGCTACAATTCATTTTTTTTAATGTCTTTTTAGGATCATCATTTGAATACTATCATGGAACATTTGAATTATTGCTAGAAAAATATTTATGTCTGTAGTGTTGAGGTTATGCATGTTTTTTATCAGGGTTCTCACTAGGATTTTGCTATCTTGAGTCCCAGGACTCAAGATTTCTGAGAAGGTTGCGTCCCAGCTAAATTTGATGAGTCCCAGCTAAATTATTGCAGTATCCTTCCATCCAAACATCAATAAAAATCTTTATTATTTTATCAGTTTGTTTACGCAATATTAACATATTCAAGTATATAAACTGGTAATGCATTCAAGCCATATTCTAAAATACACGCGTAATCAATTGCCATAAAAATAACTTGGTGTTTATAAAGCTAAAATGAACTGTTGCATAATCAACTAGTATCCAAAAGTTGACTGTATACAATCACAGGTGTCATGTGCAATGAGGCGTAACTAATCCTGACGGTGGTCTGCACTGGGTGAAATTCACGAGATAATCAAGCTGCATTGTGTATACAAGCAGTAATTATGGTTTCTACATGTAGATAACACTCAAGATTCAAAAGTGTTTAAAAAAAAAAAAAAAAAAAAGCTGCAGTGTGTTTACAGCTGTCGGAGTTTGGCATGCGACACTATTATGACTATGGACTAATAAACATGAAATATCTTATGATCAATCCCTATTTAAAAAAAGAGAAATAAGTACAAGAAAAGTTGTTTCTTGGATAAACTTTATGATAGCTGCAGGAAGGTTTCGATTAAATATTTCTTTGACAAATCCTAACATCTAAATTCCCAATTTTCGAAATCACCCGAATTTTCTCACTAACGAGGACGCGTCCGATCACGAGTCCGCGGACGCATCGTTTTTAAAAACCTTGCGTCCCAAGTAATTTTGCTGCGTCTAGGACGCAGATTCTTGCGTTAATGAGAACCCTGCTTTATGCCCCCATATCGAAGATTCGGGGGTATATAGTAGGGATGTCACGGTTCCAGAATTTTTCGGGTCGGGTCGGTTCTGTAAATTTTCGGTTTGGTTTCGGGTTTTTCGGGTCGGTTATTTACATCTATTTTAAACCTTAATTTCATAAATTTAACTTGAAAAATCTTTATTTGTTATATTAAATTTACATTGAAAACAAGTCTTAACCAGGGACCAACCTAGACCCAAAATTTAGGGAGACTTCACTTCTCCCTCAGAGAAATGTAGGGAGAAGTTTTGAATTCTAGGGAGACTTCTTGGCGTGCGTGGCGCACATTGATCATTATTAAACTTTTTAAAAATAAAAACATTTCATTATTTATTACTTAAATACATTTCAGTAATTTCTTCTGTATTGTTTAAACATCCTAGTAAAAATAATTAAAAAGAGAAAAAAGATTCTTTAAAAAAAAATTATAATTACAAGGTATATAAATATCTAGCAAAATATATAAAACAATGACAATGTAAAAGTTTCTAACTGATAAACTTGTTTAGCAAACTTTTTTTCCTTGCGTAGTATGCACAAATTAACTTTTAAATTATTCACACGTTTTTCTCTCCTCTCAGAGTTAGATTTTCAGGCTCTTGGCATAGTCAAAATTTTGTTATTTTCTCTTCAAAATTCGTTTTCAATATTAAATTCTTTTTCTAAAAAAGTTTTGATACACTACATGCCGTTTGAACTACTTATGTTTATCAGACATGTGTAATTTCTAAGACTGTCACAGTTAATAACTCTTCAATATAACAGTAAAAATATGTCTGTATACCACAGCATGATTTAATTATTTGACAATAAAAAGATCCAAAATCATCTCCAACATCTTTGGCATGACATCGATAGCTGTCCAGCTGTTTTGTGTCTTGTGTATAACTTTTACCAATGGACTTTTTCATACACGGAAGCGTAAAATCTAGAGGAGTTCCGACAGAGTATTCGATGCATTGGTCATAAGTAGCAAAACAGGTGCAAGTGCCCTGCTGTTTCACTTATTTCAGCAGTAATAAAACCAGATTTATAAAAAAAAAAGTGACGATACTACCACGTTTCTTAATCGATTTTTTCATGATTTTCAATAAAGGGGTTGCAAATGTTAAGGCGACTTAAACTTCTCTTTCGTGATAAATTATGGCGAAGTTTGGAGCTCAAAAGCGACTATTTCGCCTCAGTCGCCCCCTAGGTTGGTCCTTGGTCTTAACCATGCGAATGTCTAGACATCGGTGACTTGGCCTACTATTAGCCACAACCTGACCATTCCTGCTTGTTTTGATAATTATCTAATCCGGAAAAATGGAACCGGAACCGAACCGAACAACTTGGACCGCAGTTTTCGGTTATTTTCGGTATTCGTGACAGCCCTAGTATATAGTTTTGCCCTGTCTGTCCGTCTTTTTGTCTGTTTGTCCGTAAAAACTTTAACATTGCCCATAACTTTTGATTGATTGGAGCTATGGCTTTCATATTTCACATGTGTATTCCTTGTGACAAGACCTTTCAATGGGTACCATCATATTTGACCTTGACCTTGGAGTTTGACCCAGTTTTGCAAAATTTTACCAAGCTTTAACCTTGGCTGTAACTTTTGAATGGTTTGTGCTAGGGCTTTCGTACTTCACGTGTGTAATCCTTGTGACAAGACCTTCCTCAGGATATCAACAACTTTGACCCTTTGACCTTGACCTAGGAGTTTGACCTACTTTTGAAAAAACTTTAACATTGGCCATAACTTTTAAACGGTTGGTGCTAAGGCTTTCATACTTCATATATGTAATCCTTGTGAAAAGGCCTTCCTTTGGATACCAACAACTTTGGTCCTCTGACCTTGACCTTGGAGTTTGACTTACTTTTGGAAAACTTTAACCTTGGTTATAACTTTGGAACAATTGGAGCTAGGGCTTTCATACTTCACATATATATTCCTTGTGACAAGACCTTACTTGAAATACCAACAACTTTGACCATTTGACCTTGACCTTGGAGTTTGACCTACTTTTGAAAAACTTTAACATAGCCCATAACTTTTGATTGGTTGGAGCTAGGGCTTTCATATTTCATATGTGTATTCCTTGTGACAAGGCCTTTCTTTGGGTACCATCATATTTGACCTTGGAGTTTGACCCAGTTTTGCAAATTTTTACCAAACTTTAACCTTGGCCGTAACTTTTGAATGGTTGGTGCTAGGGCTTTCGTACTTCACATGTGTAATCCTTGTGACAAGACCTTCCTTAGGATATCAACAACTTTGACCTTTTGACCTTGACCTAGGAGTTTGACCTACTTTTGAAAAAAACTTTAACATTGGCCATAACTTTTGATTGGTTGGTGCTAGGGCTTTCATACTTCACATGTCTATTCCTTGTGACAAGGCCTTCCTTTGGATACCAACAATTGTAATTCATTGACCTTGACCTTAGAGTTTGACCTACTTTTGAAGAACTTAAAGCTTGGTCATAACTTTTGAACGATTGGTGCTTCAGTTTTCATATTTCACATGTGTATTTTTTGTGAGAAGGCCTTTCCTTGGGCACCATTACATTTGACCATTTGACCATGACCTTGATGTTTGACTAACTTATGAAAACGTATTCTTTTCCATATCTATTCAGTGGTTGCTGTTAGGGCTTTCGTATTTCACAGGTATATCCTCGAGACAAGACCTTACTTTGGGTACCATCATATTTGATTTGCATTTGAGAAAGTTTAACCTTTGCTATAAGTTGCCATATGGGGGCATCAGTGTTTCACAAACACATCTTGTTTATTTAAGTGGTACAAAGTTGTCAAATTTTATTTTTTTTAAATGGATAAATCATTTTCATTCACTTTCCCATGGAAAAGTTGCCTTCACTTTCTAGAGGATATGACAATGGTGCAGTCATAAATTGTACACGATAACTTCTTATATTTCCAAAAGGGGGAAGTAGAGCAGATTGCCATGATGAAACCCAAAGGGCAGAACGAAAATGATGATGGAATGCTGGAATTCCTGGAAGACATCATTGGCAGTAATAGATTCAAGGAACCTATTGACATTCTGGCCAAGCGGGTGGAAACACTCAATGAACTCAGGGGTGAAAAGGTTGAAATGATCACTATTATTTATAAATGAATTTCCAAATGCGAGTTCTTATGTATTTTCATTTCAGGCACATTTTGTGCCTGTTAGATAAATTTTTACATGGCCAAAAAATGAGTCACCGAATTCCATGGTTTTAGCTGGGTATGTCTTTTTACCACAAGGAACCACAAGGATACCACAAGGAATCACAAGGAACCACAAGGAACCCCAGGGATACCACAAGGTACCCCAGGGACATCATATACAACCTTAATTATTCTAAATATGATTTCTATGCACTTGTAAATTTGAAAAAAATGTTTTTGAAAGACAAATTAACACTTTTAAATTAATTGTCTTAAATATAGAGCAGTTACCCAAGTTAAAAATTTACAAGTAATATTAATTAATTAAACAATTAAGCTCAATTATGCATGTTTAGTTTTGAAGAACTGTAATATTTTATACGGTGTAAATAAATAATCATGTTTTAACTATGATTTGTGTATTTCAATACACAAAACCAAAGGGCACTCACATGAAACCAAATAATACTCTTAAGGTACCACAAGAAAATCCCAGTGTACCCTAGGACACCCAATTCAACATTAATAAATGTACATGTAAATATGGTTTATATTTGCATTTGTAAATGACACATTAACTGTTTATTGTATATACTTCAATACACAAATCAAAAGGATACTCACTTAAGAACCAAAGGATAGCCTTAAGTTACCACAAGGACATCCCAGGGTAACCCGAAGAATATCCCAAAATACCCCAAGGACACCCAGTTGGACCTTTATAAATCTAAAAATGGTTTTATGCTTTTGTAAATAACATAGTAACTGTTTATTGCATATTTTAATACACAAAAAAGGATACCAAGGAAAGCCTAGGTATCTGAAGAATACCCTTAACGACCCTCTATACACTGCACACTAAAGAGTTCTGATTCCATAGTATTTTTGAGCAGTTAGAGTGATCTGCCCCTAGATAGAAAATTGAAGAAATTGAGCTCTACAGCATATTACTCTATATGTAATCAATTCAAACATTTTTAACATTTTATTAGGCCAAGATAAACAAGATAAATTAATTGAACACTTTATTTGCAACTATTTTCTCCATTTAAATAGACAATGTTCAGTGATTTGTGTTCATCAATACTATGTTGTCTTTGAAAATTCCTCCTGAGGGTGAATGGCAGGTTCCCTATAATGAAATAGATAGACACATTATTTACACCTTTATAAGATATAATTTTATAAATGTTCAAAAAACATTTTTGTTTAGTGTATAGAGGGTCCTTAAGTACCCCAATAATGAGCCATATTATCACCGACATCCAATTCAGCTTTAATGAATGTAAATATGGTTTTTGTGCATTTTTTAATTACATCATTATCTGTTTATTGTTTATTTCAATACACAAAACATTTTTTTTAAGGATTCAAAGGACCCCAAGGGTACACCAATGACACATCATTCAAACTTAATAAATCTATAAATATGGTTCATACATGCATTTGTAAGTTAGATACATGTAAGTCTTTCTGAGGTTTACCGGTATATGTGAATTATATGCCATTCACGGTATACAAGGTAATGACCCTTGTATGTATTATGGTCATCAAAAAATTTCAGCCAATCTGATTGCTTAGAATTTTTCACTCACAATTTCAGACAAATTGTCAATTCATCTGTGTTAATTATCTGCTATAATGAAAAAGTATATACAAATTTAATTTCAATGTCAGTTGTTGTTATTTACCTGAACAAAGAAAATGCAACAATAAATTGTCCTAAAATTTTTGCAGTATGATGACTATAACTTACAAAACTTTATACATAAAAAATATAACTCGTACCTGAAGGGGTCATAAAAACTTAAAGTAAAAAAAAAATTTTATACCCCATGCAACAAGTTGCATGAGGTATAATGTTTTTGACCCGTCCGTCAGTCAGTCAGTCAGTCAGTCCTTCAGTCCTGTTTTTTTTTGTCAGCACAACTCCTCATAAACCGCTGCACAGAATTTCGATAATAGATATTTAGTACACAGTGTGTAGATGTGCATATTAACCAGGAAATTTCGATTCCTTTATTTTTCTGGGAATTTCGGCACTTTTCAACTTAGATTTTTGGCCATATCTTGAATATAGAAATGAACAGTTTGTTAGTGCAACTCCTCTTAAACCGCTGCACAGAATTTGGTTAAACCAATGCAAGAAGTTTTGATGTGATGATTTTTTGCAAGTAATGCCCCTTTTTGAATTATACTGTGTATTGAAAATGCACTGTGCCATTCATTATGTGTTGCATTGTCGAGTTTTGAGGGAGGGTGGGGTATGTGAGCTTGCTCACTTTTTCTTTCATTGCAATAGGATAATTTTTGTCAACATACAGCTATACACGAGAATATAGGTATTATTGCCCAACCCTAGAAGCTTTATGGTGACTTAACTTGCATGGATGATGCATCTCAGGATGTATACACTACCACACTTGCCTCAGATGCTGGATCTGACCTACTGGTATATTTTTTGGTTGAGTGACCAGAGATTTTTTTTTTTTTGGTGCAGGTCTCATTCTAGCTGAAGTAACTGTAAGCCCTATGGTGACCAATCATTGAACAGATAAAGATTTGGAGCAAGCCCATTCCTATATATTACATATAGTACAACCTTTAAAACATCCTACAAAAACCAAACATGTTTAAATCTTGCACTAATTACTACTCCAATATTTATAAAGGTGAGACTTTGTCGTACTTATAAAGGTATAACAACTGACTTGTAGAGATGACCTGTGTAATCTTTGATTTAATACTTTATATATTTTGATATTTCTCAAGTACATGCCAGTTTTGCTACATTTGATTATGTTATTTAACATAAAATTTATAATAAGTCAATTCTTGTTTGATTCATAATGCATATATCTTAAAACTAATATTTTGGCACCTGTAATGTTTGAATTCTTTATAAATACATAATACTTAAAGCTATATATGGCATATCTGAGGTAAAAAATAAAAATACGAGATAGAGTGTAGTTGAACATGATATTTGTTATTTATGTTCAAATTAAAATTTTCACTGATTCTGAACTTGAATAACCCCACGTTTCTATAGTTAAAATGACTTTAAACTGTGTCTGATATTTAAATGCGGAGTCAGTAAATAAATCGATTATTATTTTACCCTTAAATTTCTAATATCTATGAAATGCGATTAATTTAAATTGTGTAATTTACAGGAAGGTCCTACCCTTATACAGTATAAAGTAATTAAAACAAATAGAAAGATCTTTTTAATTTTAGTTAGTCTGAACTTATCAAAAATACGGCATATATGACTTCGTTAAAGAAAAAAAATCATAATTCATTCTCATGCAAGTTCACACATATTGTATTAATAAATTATCTCCTATAGGATAGTAAAAAGCTTGGCTACTTGTCTCAATCTACTGTATAGGGGATTAATTTCACGGGTTGTAATTTTCACGGTTTTCTCTCTTCTGACACGATCGCGGTTTGTTGAAGTCACGGAATTGGTATATAATAAAAGTTACCTCCCTTATCTATATCCATTTAATCCATAGCATAGCTAGAGCTAGAATGACATTAATTAATCAGCGTTATATATTCACTTCTCGAACAACAGGGTAGGTTTATATTAAATAGTTAGATTTAATAATTAATTGACGATTAATTAAAACAAGTGCAGTTATTAGAAGTCCTTGACTATAAACGTCGAATGACTTTCCTATGTGCTATTACGATGAGTGCATGTACATGTTCATGTACACCCCAAGATCTTCTTTCCGAAGGGATAATACATCGCGGCGAAAAACTACTGGACGGTAAGAAAAGTGTTAATCTAGGTCGACGAAATATTATCCTTCCACATCTACAGCAAGTTCGATAGTTATTTGATTTTTAACCTGGTAGTAACTGCATGGTTAGTTTTGTAGATCCATATTTATTAGAGAACAAAGTAATAGGACCTTTTTTGGCCTTGTGAATTTCTGAAGAATCAAATCTGCTCAGTCTTCATTGAAAATATGTTAAAATTTCACTTGGAACCTCGGTGACTGCATACCAATTAAAAATGACATAATTCTCTCTCTAGTTCATATTGTATTAATAATTATGAAGTCATGAGTTGCCTCATTTTTCTCAAGTCCTGAAAAAACTCTTTAAAAACGGTCAAAAATTTAAGCTGACGTTTTTCAATATTTTGCGTAGTCCCCAACCTCTGATATAAATTGTTTAATTATATAATGAAAGAACTGTTTCAGAAGATTCTTACCCATGAAATTTTTTTTTGGATCGTGGGGTGGGCTCATATTTTACTTATTAACTGAAGATGCTCAAAGTCATCCATTTTCTTCAAAATTCAGGAATATTGTAATTTCACAAAGCCTATTTTGCAATACCTGAACCCTCAAAGGAAACTTTTTTATGGGAAATGAAAGCAATATGTCTCTTCTTTATATTGAGGTTTAAAATGGAATCTTGGGATTTTGTCAGTTAATTGGTATAGGGACAGAGCCATTTTAAGGAGTTAGTGAACTTTTTTATGCCACAAAGAAGTGAATCCACATTCACTTTTTTTTTCTTTTTCTTTTTTTTTTTTTTTTTACAAAATCACATGGATTTTTAATAAAAAATTATTTAAAAAAATTTGGCATACAATTTTTGAACTCTGAGAATTGTTATTTAAAAACCCCTGGCCAAAAGAAATAATTCAGACTTAACATTATCATTATTAAGGGAGATCTGTCAAGTTCCCCACAAACCATAAAGCTTGGTATTTTTTTAAAAAATGTTTTTAATTACCTCAAAATGGGTTTACAGAATTTTTTTTAGGAAATCAGTTTCTCATCAATTCAGTTTAATATCGTGATATATTAACCCTTGGCCAACTTTGATTGATATTGTTAATTTTACCAATGGCAGGCACCGTATATGATTCACTGATGCAGGAAAGAATGGGTTATACATTTATTTTATTTTTTACAAACAATTTTCAAAATTATTGCCCATCTTTAGCAGGCTGTAGATCTGTAGAAAAGTTGAAAGTACCAGGGTAGTATAGAAACAAGACTCAAGTTTGGAAAAAATGTGTCAGCTTCAGGTATTTTTCTAAATCATATTACCAGTATTTTATTTAACAATTTCCAGCTAAATATAGTGACACTTATATCCTATGTAAATGGTACAAGAAAAACCTATTAATTTTGTTGATTATATAAAACCCAGGTATTTTATCACCAACCATGCAGTTTTACATTTGTTTATACACCTAAGGTATGGTGTAACCAGTCCTTGTGTACCTTGTGTATACACAAGTTAATCACTGAAAACTGTTGATCATCACTGATGATTACCTGAAACTGTGGATATATGCAAGCATGCAAACAAGAAATCCTGTACACAAGAGAGTTCTCCATATGTCATTGAAAATAGATGTATGCTATCATTTCTATATTCCGTAACTTCTCTTAATTGAGATGATCATATTCTGTACAATCTATAGACATTCATACAATGCCATGAATGCATGATGATTTATTTTTTAATAAATGTATCAATCTAATATAGAGAAATTTAATAAGTTTGGATTCATGCATTTCCATAACAAAGAAACTCACAACCTTGGACTTCCTTTTTACATGTACATGATTGTTTTTATATTGTATTAATTAAGGAATAAATGCTATGAAAACAATGAACGAAAATGTTTTGTTGAGAAAAGTTTTTGTGTTTATATATATATATATTTAGTTTTTCTAGTTTATTTCCTGCGATTTTTACCCGTGATTTTTTTTTCAAAAGCAGTGTAGTTTTAGTAAATTAACTGAAATTATTGTTGTTTACTTACATTTGGATATATAAGGTGCATGAATTCAAAAATTGAAATTTTGAAGAAAATTCAGTTTGTTTTAACATATTTTTCCAATTATAAGATCATAATATGTATATATACATTCTAGTTGAATACTTTTTAAGTATATCAATAGATTAATACACAAATCCATAGAAAAGTTTCAGAATTAATTTTTATTAACCAGTGTTAACAGAATTTTATTTGAAAAATCAGAACTATTTTTATTTAAAAAGACAAATCTCCACCAAAAATTTGATCATATACATGTACAGACAGTCAGACCTTAAATTTAACTCATGTGGAAAGTTTAATATTAAAATGATGTGTTAAAATTAATTCCCAACAAATTACTTAATATCAATTTATACAAGGCAATTCTGAAAACTGTAAATAAGGCAAAAAAAAAAGAATTTTGAAAGTGTTACTTTTTTTTTAAATACAAGATTTGGAAGTGATTCTATTTAACCTCATTTTGTTGCACTAGCTCCTGACTTCTGATATGTTTACAAAAAAAACATCATCTTAAATTTATAACACACTCATTTTTTTTTTATTTTGTAATTAAAGGCACTTCATTGTTTGGAAATTGTAAACCATTTATAGGTAGTTTTTCATACTTTCTAGACTTGAATGAGGATGCAAGTTTTTTTCCCCCCAAATCATCTATAGTTGCACTTCTGACATAAATAATTTATTTTATGTGTTAAATACCAGGGGCAGAAGGGGTTTTAAAAGAAATAATTTGAAAATGGCACGGTATGCATTTTCTCAACACAACTGCAAGCACTTTCAAAAGAAGATTTAAAAAAAAAAATGATGCTTTTTCACTATATTACCAATAGATCCTCACCCTACACCAGAACCCTTAGCTTACCCACAGGACATAAAGTTTCACAATTTTGTAAGAGGCACCCTTGCTCATATATGCATCACACCATGCATTTACTGGTAATATGTTTGCCTAATTTAATATCCTAGAGTAAAGAATATTTTGAAAGAAATAATGCTTTTTCACCAGATTACCCTAAAACCTGACCCCTGGGCCACAAATTTTACAATTGATAGAGAGCTCAATTAATGCTTATTACATTCATGTCAACAGTTTGACTATTGGATTTCCAAGAGTAAAGAAGAAGATTTTAACAATTGCATATATTTTGATGGTTTTAGTCCCATCCTTCAAGCCCAGAAGGGGAGAGGGCTCAAGGACCATGAAATTTAAAATTCATGTTTCCCTTTACCTATAAAAACTGGTTAACTTTACCCATAAAACTGGTTAAAATTGGTTCAGTGGTTCAAAAGAAGCTGAAAATTTCAACATTTTATGACTAATGAACAACAAACATAAACAAATCACAATTGGTAGGTCACCTGAATGACTCAGGTGACCTAAAAAAAATTATATTTACAATAAACAGTTTACTTTATAATTTATAACAAATGAACATAAATCATATTTAGATTTATTAAGGTTGAATGGGATGTCATTTATTAATCTAAGTGGTTCTTTGGGTTTGTTTGTTGGGATTTCATCATGATCCTAAATGTCCCTTGGGGTTCTTTTATTCTTTATGTTTTGTATTATACAAATATACAATAAACAGTTATAATTCATAATTAACAAGTGCATTTAAACCATGAAAAGATTTTTTAAAAGTTGAATTGAGTGTCATTTGGATTTTCTTTCAGGTACCTTGGCTTATCCTAGTGGTACAGGGGTTATCATTAGGGTTCTTCTTGGATAGCAACTTTTGGTTTGTGTATTGACTACTGCAATACACAATTAACCATTAACTTTTTGTACATCATAAAAAGATACAATAATTTAACTGTTCCTCTGAACTATAAATGCATAATTTAGCTTAAATAAGTATATTTACTTTTAAATTTTTAACTTGGATAACTGCTCTATATTTAAGATAATTAAAGTGTTAATTTGTCTTTCAAAAACATTTTTTTCTAATTTACAGGTGAATATAAACCATATTTAGAATAATTAAGGTTGTATATGGTGTCCCTGGGGTACCTTGTGGTATCCCTGGGGTTCCTTGTGGTTCCTTGTGGTATCCTTGTGGTTCCTTGTGGTACCTTGTGGTTCCTTGTGGTAAAAAGACGCACCCGTTTTAGCTGGTCCAAATTTTTTTGTTAGATGACAAAACCCTTTATAAGGAAAGTGTTTACAATTACTTGAAAAACTACTAAAAATTTACTAAGGATTCTTGAATTAAAAAATTCTAATATACATGGGCATTCACTATTTAATAAAGAGTCTAATTATTGTTTTCTGATGACAGCTTAACAGAGTGAAGGCAGTGGAGAAAGAGAAGGATGATTTAGAGGGCTCTAAGAATGAAGCAGTGGAATATTTATGTATGGAGAATGAAATTGTTCACCTCAAAAATAAAATCTACCAGAAATATGTGTAAGTATCAAAGTACAGAGCACGTAGGAAATTATTACAATAGTAATAAAAGCAAGTACTGAAGTGATGCACATTAAAATCTTGTGTTTATTTACATGTGTGCAAATGGAGATTTACATTGTAAGTCATCTATCTCAAACATGTGAAAAGAGTAAAATACTACAGTGAGGCACATAAAGCCAGTATCCATTTATAACAAATTCATTGTCATCAAGGTGTTAAAATTATATAAACATCTACTGGATGTAACTACGAATATAACATGATTTTCAATGTCCATATCACTTTGCAATATTTGTGTTTGACTTTGGTCAATGTAAATTGAACTAAATTAAGTTCATCTGAAATATGCTTAGACATCTACAGATCAAAATCTACTGGAAATATTCTGAAGAGCAACTACTTTAGAAATGCTCTTGTATTTAATAATGTAAATGTACAAAAAAAAAAATGCACAAAAAAGAACTTAATGAATAATGTATATCATGAGAAATATTTGTGGAACTTTAAATAAGTTTTGTAAGATACAGGATCTTGGATATAGAATGTTTGATAAATTTACTTCAGAATGGAATGCTCTGAGAATGAGAAGAAGGCTCAGGAAGAATATGACAAGATTTATGAAGGAATGAAAGAGGTCAACGAGAAAATGAAAAAGATCACTGATGCCAAGAAAGAAAAGGAGACAGCTTGTACAAAGATAGTCAAGTAGGTCTTTTCTGATTGTAAAATATAAGACACATGTATCTAGAAATTTATCAGTTTGCAGGTTAAATACAGTATGATTCCTTGATTTTAAGGATCTGTCTCTTCTTTGATTTAAAGGGATTTTGAAAAGCTAACAAAAGATGTAGAAGAAACTAAGGAGAAGTTTGCTGAGTTTGAAAAGCAAGACGTGAAATGTCGTGAAGATTTAAAGCATGCAAAGGGAAAGACGAAAAAACTGGAGAAAACACTGGAACAGGAGAAGAAACGAGTGAGTGAAATAGAATGAAGATGTAGAAGACTTCAGACTGTTCAGACATCTTGGTCAAATCAAGTGCTAGACAAATTTACAAAGAAAAAATAATACACTCACTGAGTAATGAATTATATATCATAATATTGATAGGTTATTGATTTCCTAGCATCTGGTTATATACAGTACATTGAAAGTAATTATTCCGTTTTTCTATTTTTCAAGTTTTCAGTTTTTGTTGTATTGTTGATAGGTTGAGGAACTTAAACTTGTGCCTGCAGAATCGGAGAAAGCTATTGCTGACTACAGGAAGAAATTGGAGAAAATAGAAGGGGATAAAAAGATTGAGGAAGAGAAACTAGCAGCTGTCATGGAGAGTTTAAAGACAGAGACCAAGGTATGATCAGCTTGTAAAAAGGCTGACGAGGGGGGGGGGGTTAAAGACAGAAATCAAGGTATGATCAGCTTGTAAAAGGGCTGGGGGGGAGAAGGAGGGGGAGTTTAAAGACAGAGACCAAGGTAAGATCAGCTTGTAAAAGGGCTGATGGAGAGGGGGGGGGGGGGTGTTTAAAGACAGAGACCAAAGTATGCTCAGCTTGTAAAAGGGCTGACTGGGGCTGAGGGGCAGTTTAAAGACAGAGACCAAGGTATGCTCAGCTTGTAAAAGGGCTGGGGGAGGGGGGTATTTAAATTTAAAGACAGAGACCAAGGCATGATCAGCTTGTAAAAAAAAAAAGGGGGGGGCATCACTGAGTTGTAAGTGCAATAGATATTTAAAGCAGAAAAGTTTGCAACATTATGAACCAATTTAGTTTGTATCTCTTTTGTGTATGAATGTCATTATACAGTTAAAGTATATCATTGAGGGAGTCATCAAGATTCCAGTTCCCCAAGAGCAAGCTTGCTCGAGGAGGTTTATCAGACACATGTTTTTGCAGGGAATCAGTCTTTTTACTGTGATTTTCAGGGAATCATTATGCAAAATGCATAATGTGTATTGATTTTCTCTTGCATGTATGTAGTGAAAAATCATTTTAGGTATAGTAAATTTCACTGCAAGGAAGATTCAATCGGAATTTAAACATTTAGATCTAATGTTAGTTAAATGTTGCTCGACTTCAGTCAGAGGGAAAAAAAACATATACATGTATTTTTTACAGGGATTACAAGAAGAAAAGGACAAAAAAGAGACAGAACTATTGGAGCTTCAGAAGTCTGTCAATGAGACAAAGTCGACCGTGAGTACATTATATTCACAGAGGCAGCTGATACCCTTAAATTTGTTTGTACATGAGATAACTTGAAATGTTAATCACAAAGGAATATTTGTCTTAAATTCATTCATTTTCAGAGTGGTTTTATAAGAATGTATTAAAGATTATAAACAGTAAGGCCAGTCAAATTATTTTTTTACATTTTGTTGCAGTTAAACATTGCCCAGTCAGAGCTTGATATATACCTCAGTAATCAACAGAGCGAGAGTAGCAAGTTAAAGGAAATGCAGAAAAACCTCCACAAGGCTGAAAGTACGCTAAAGGACAGAAAAAGGTAATCTCTGCTATACAGAGACTGGAATTAAGATTAGAGTAAGCTAGTTGTTGTTCAGAAAGTTAAAAGTTTGTAATTTCTATGGGTCATTATGTTAGAATATGATTCAGGGGTTGAAATATATGGTAGCCCGATGCCCAGGGCTAGTCATTTTAGGACTCAGGCTAGCTAATTTAAATGTAATGAGAGTCCATCAGACTAGCAGAATGGGAAAAAAAATCTCAACAGTTTACTTTCACTTTTCTATGTAGAGTGGTTTCATTAGACTGAGAACTACATTGTAGTTTAATTTGTTTCTGTCACCACATCCTTTAAAACTTTTACTTGTTATGTTTTCATTTTGCATGAAAAAGTTGTTGGGCTAGTTAGTTTGAGGTTTGGGCTAGTAATTTTTACTGATCAGTAGCCCCTGGGCTAGTGGGTTTTCCAGGAAAATTTAAACCCCTGTGATTGTGTTTCATTAACAATGTTGTATATTTTGATGTATTGCACTTTCATTTGTAGCTTTTATTATAAAATTTGCTGTATTTTGAAAATAAATGTTGAATTTTTTTTTATCCCTGAAAGTGAGGCCAGCAATCTTGTGAAAAATATCCCAGAAATGGAAAATTTTCTCCAGAAAGCTAAGTCTGATTTTGAGAAATCATCAGAGAGTGATTCCAGATTGGCAGAGCAGGTAAAGTAGTCTATGTATGCAATTTTTCATATGTGGCACTAAAGCTCTTGTTTACTTTAGGTAGATAGTTGTGACAAATCAGGTCCTATTCATTATGTAATCGAGTTGATGATTTTATAGTCGTGGCACTTCATTTTCCTACTTCCTAATTTATTTATGATGGTTTATAGCTGAGAAGTCTGAGATCCAAGGTGGAGGAAGCCAGAAGCTCAATGCAGGCAGCCAGGAGTAAAGGAAAAGTCATCGACTCTCTGATGAATCTGAAGAAAAATGGGCAGATGCCAGGGCTGTATGGACGACTGGTAAGATTTAACTAGGGAAAGCATAACACACTTCTACATAGGAAGATAGTCCAGTCATACACTGAAAGGGATTAGACATTGTACCATGAAAAATCGTGAACTCTTAAGTCATTGAATCAATGTTGCTGTTGGTCATTATTTGGAAATCTATCATTCTGCAATTACCAAATGCACATGTATGTATTTGCCCATGTGCAGCCAATTAAAGATGATGTATTTTATTGTAGGGGGACCTTGGTGCCATTGACATGAAGTATGACATTGCCATATCGACGGCATGTGGTGCTCTGGACCATATTGTTGTGGACACTGTGACATCTGCACAACGATGTGTAGAGTATCTGAAAAAGAACAATATAGGGGCTGCCACTTTTATCTGTCTGGATAAAATGCAGAAGTGGAAGGAACACACAAAGAGGAAAATACAAACGTGAGTCCTGGAGACGATTTTAGAGTATTTTAAAAGACAGATAAATTTACAGCTATATATGTTAGACAATTTGTTTTGGGTCACATGTGAAGGAGAAAGGAATGTTTGCATGTAATTATGCTTGTTGCCATTTGGCCAGTGTACTTGTATATTATATCTTATGAAGACCTTTGTAATTAAGTGGTAAGTTAGCTGTCTTCTTAACATGTCTGTCTATATAAATTGTGCTTTTCACTCTACAGTCCAGAGAATGTCTTCAGACTCTTTGACTTGGTGAAAACTAAGGAGGAGAAGATTCTGCCTGCCTTTTACTTTGCCCTGAGAGACACTTTAGTGGCTGATGATTTGGACCAGGCTACAAGGATTGCCTACGGAAAAACTAGATACAGAGTTGTGACCCTTCAAGGGCAATTACTGGACCAATCAGGTACTTAAGAGTGAAAAAATATACATTAAAATTGCATGAATATAACATTATTATACCTGATATTTCCCAGATATTGGGATATTTTACTGACCTTTTTCAGAATAATATAAACATTGATTTTTGCACATGACACTTACTGCTTCATATTTTAGCGGCTTTGGCGTGGACAATGATCCGCTAATTCATGAATATCGCTAAGAAATCGATACATGGCTCATTAGTGTGTAACGCTAATTCATGAATACGCCAACAACTCAATACCCAGTGACTGCGCTAAATTTTGAACACGCCGATTTATGTACACGTACAGTATTTATCTGTTGGTTTCAGCAACACATGATTTTATTCTTTCATTTCTTTTTCTAAATAGAATGAAATGAAAAAATAGAATAGAGTTATAAGGGTTAGCCTGAAGCATTATGTCGACCTCCATTATTAATAGTTTAAATGTTTAGCACAGAACTGAATAAATTTTTTTTAGTTAATATTACTGTGTTTATACTTGTTATTGTTTTAGTACTATGCTTTACAGGAATGTAAAATTCATTCATTTGTTTGGTTACTGGAGAGCTGATTTTTAGTTATAATTCAAGCTCTGAAAATGATTCAGGTACTATGAGTGGAGGAGGAAAAACTGTGTGTAGGGGAAGAATGGGATCCTCTATTGCTTCTGATGTAGACCCCAAAGAACTCAGCAACATGGAAAACTCACTGGAAAAGGTATGTGGACCCTAAGGAACTTAGCAACATGGAAAACTCACTGGAAAAGGTATGTAGACCCTAAAGAATTCATCAACATGGAAAACTCACTGGAAAAGGTATGTAGACCCTAAGGAACTTAGCAACATGGATAAACTTGCTGGAAAAGGTATGTAGACCCCAAAGAACTCAGCAACATGGAAGACTTATTTGAAAAGGTATGTAGACCCCAAAGAACTCAGCAACATGGAAGACTCATTTGAAAAGGCATGTAGACCCCAAAGAACTCAGCAACATGGAAAACTGACTGGAAAAGGTAGGTAGACTGCACAGAACTCAGCAGCATGGAAATTGCACTGGAAAAAGGTATGTAAACCCCGAAGAATTCATCAACATGGAAAATTCATTGGAAAAGGTAGGTAAATCCCACAGAGCTTAGCAACATAGAAAACTCACTGGAAAAGGTTTGTAGACCCCAAAGAATTCAGCAACATAGAAAACTCACTGAAAATGGTATGTTGACCCCAAAGAACTTAGCAACATGGAAAAACTCGCTGGAAAAAGGTATGTAGACCCAAAAAAAACTCAGCAACATTAAAAACTCATTGGAAAAGATATGTGCATGTAAATCCTTCAGAATTCAACAACATAGAAAACTCACTGGGAAAGGTATGTAGATATCAAAGTACTAAGAGACACATCTTTATATTATTTAAAAATTCTGGATTATTGATTGATTGATTGATTGTATGTTGTCCCATTCGAGAATTTTCCACTCATATAGAGACGTCACCATATACCGGTGAAGGGCTTCAAATTTTTTACCTTTACTCGGCACTCAGGGCCATTGAGCAGTGAGGGATCTTTATCGTGCCAACGCCTGCCGTGACATGGGGCCTCGGTTTTTAAGGTCTCATCCGAAGGAGCCGCAACTTTCACTTCAAAGTGCCGAGCGCATGGCGAAGGAACAGTTGCTACCCATTTTTTATCGACTTAGGTCAGTCGCGGCCGAGATTCGAACTCACGACCTCCCGATCACTGAGCTACCGTGAACGGTATCTGGATAATTGATAAAGATTGCTGAAAAATTCAATCTGCTTTGTTTTTTGGAATTTGTACCTTAATTTTGGGGAGAAAAAGTCAATTTTTAATTGGGACAGGGTCCTTTTAGCAGAACTGCATGCAATACATGTGCAACTAGATATTAAGCCCTGACTACTCTAAATTCTTTTACATGTATTGAATATTTGAATATGATGTAGGTGACAGCAGAAGCCCAGCAAAGTCGAGCTAACAAAGAGAAGCTGGAGGACGCAATTCAGCAAAATCAGAAAGACTTAACGTTTATGAAGCACAAAAAAGAGAAATGTGACTTGGAAATCAAGGTAGGCGGCAGGGCTTATGTAGTAAACCTCATAAGATTATGTGGAAAACTTCTTGTGACTAAAAATGAATATGTTTGTAATGTTTCAGATTAAGTTTTTGAGTAACAAAAAATAGAAAGGAAAAAAAGTTGAAGAAGAAAAGAAAGTGGACATGTTTTCTGAAACTTAGAAAATAATAATTACTGTAAAATGAATATACAATCTCCCTTGGTTTGTGTTTGGATATGATTTTTTTTATCCAATTTGTGTGCTTTTATCACTGAGCCTTAACCATTGGAGATTCTTTTTCTCACACGTTTTACAGATACAAATCTGCAATATTTGACTTGATCAAATTCATGCAAAAAAAAAAAACATTGTGATGTCACAACTGTGGATATGAAAACAATAACCTATGACCTATATCCACTGTATAAAGGAGTAAACATGATAAATGAAGTTATTTCATATCCTACATTAAAGTGGTTCAGGTTTTGTTGCTTTAAAAAAATCATTGCACAAATGAGTAACAATAGTGATTTCCTGATAGACATGATTGAAATTTTACCAAGAAATATGTTAACAATATGTTTTGTTGACCTAGGCATTAGAAGAACAAATCAAATCCCTGACCTCTCAGATTCAAGAACAAGAGGTGAAGGTGAAAGCTGCAGCTCCAGATGAGAAACAGCTGAAAGAACTGGAGACAAAGGCCAACCAGTATAGGAAAGGTCAGAGGTCTTGAACTGTCTATACTGTCTTGTATTGATTGTTGTTTACAAAGTTTAAATGATATGAAGACTGTAAGAAAAAAAAATAAATAGGACAAAATAAAAAGAAAGGAGTAATTAAGTATTTTTTTCTTGTTTGTAGATTTTGACAAAGCAAATGGAGCAGCATCAAAGGTTGAGGCAGAAGTACAAAAGTAAGAGTTGAATTGATGCCATGCATGTCAAAAAGTTTTTTTTAAAAAAAAACCTTTAATTTGCCAAAATACATAAATATTTTTCCCTTCTGAAGCATTGATTTGTATAAGATACTTTGCACATATTTACTGCTATGAGAATAATGGCAAGTTTATTGTCCCCCAAGATAGTAACTATTTCCCGAGACACAGCCAAGGAAGCAGTCACATCAAAATCCAGATAAAATTAGAAAAGTTCCGAGATGAAATGCGAGGAAAACCGCATGCTGCTGGTGAATAGTTTGACGACTATTTCACCAGGGGGAAATAGCACAAAAACTATATCACAGTAGAAGGTGTTTTAAAAAACAGTGGGTTTATTTGTCATATACTTATAAAGAAAAAATACACAGAGGTTTAATTGCTTTATTGTAGACTCCACAAACAGATTATGGACATTGGAGGGACTAAGATGAAGGCAGCTCAGGCCTGTGTAGATGCAGTCAACAACAAGATTGACACAGTTACTGGACAAATTACAAAAGCCCAGGTGGGCATCAAGACAGCTGAAAGGTGAGTGTCACAACCAGTTGTAGAGAAGGCTCTTTAGAAAAATTAAAAAATGTAAATATACAAATGTAAATCGATGGTAAATCTTGCATGAAATTGATTTGATTTGTGTAAATAAGATGTACTTGAAAAGCAGAATTTAAGTAGGGTGAAAATGCTCCATAATGAATTTAATGGGAATTAGTATTGTGATTTTGTAGTCCACATTTAAAAATGGTCATTTATATTGCAGTTTTCAATTCCTTGTTAAATTTTGTCATATATTTAATTTTAATAAAATATTTGAAAAATCTGTTCAAAAATTTTATCTAGGAAATAAATAAAGTTGATGTATTTTTGATTTAAGAGTATTTGTAGCAGTGCAGTTATTAACTAGAGAGCTCTCTGTTTTGTTCAGAAATCTGAAGAAAGCAGAAGAAAAAGTAATCACAGCTGGGGAAGATATTGAAGAAAACAAGAATAAGATTGAAGAGTTACAGAAACAACTAGAGACACTGGAGAGTGATGCTACCACAGTACTGAAGGCCTATAAAGAGGCCCAGGTCTGATATATTACTTACAGAGTGATGTTACCACAGTACTGAAGGCCTATAAAGAGGCCCAGGTCTGATATATTACTTAAAGAGTGATGTTACCACAGTACTGAAGGCCTATAAAGAGGCCCAGGTCTGATATATTACATATAGAGTGATGCTACCACAGAACTGAAGGCCTATAAAAAGGCCTAGGTCTGTTATGTTACATAATAGAGTGATGCTACCACAGCACTGAAGGCCTATAAAGAGGCCCAGGTCTGTTATTTTACATATAAAGTGATGCTACCACAGTACTGAAGGCCTATAAAGAGGCCCAGGTCTGTTATGTTACATAATAGACAGGGTTCGAATTTCACTATATACAACTCGCAAAACGCGAGTTAGAATTCCCCAATTGCAAGTTAAAAATTAGGTAACTCGCAAAAATTTGTTAGTTGATTTTTTTTGCATTGAAACTATAACAAAATTATATAATATGACAGAACACAATGCCTTTGATTTAAATCAGTAATCTAAATAAAAGTCACACTGTAGTTGTATTTTGTGTATTGTACAGTAGTTACTTTTTCCTTAAGTTACATGTATTTAATTTATGTAAATATAACTTTATATGAAAATTGCGAGTAGTCTTATAAAATTGCGAGTTCACTTTCTTGGTACTCGCAATTATTTGCGAGTTGTAATATTAGGGAGTTTCTAACCCTGAATAGAGTGATGCTACCACAGCACTGAAGGCCTATAAAGAGGCCCAGGTCTGTTATATTACATATAGAGTGATGCTACCACAGCACTGAAGGCCTATAAAGAGGCCCAGGTCTGTTATATTACATATAAAGTGATGCTACCACAGTACTGAAGGCCTATAAAGAGACCCAGGTCTGTTATATTACATGTACAGTGATGCTACCACAGTACTGAAGGCCTATAAAGAGGCCCAGGTCTGTTATATTACATGTACAGTGATGCTACCACAGCACTGAAGGCCTATAAAGAGGCCCAGGTCTGTTATATTACATATAGAGTGATGCTACCACAGCACTGAAGGCCTATAAAGAGGCCCAGGTCTGATATATTACATATAAAGTGATGCTACCACAGTACTGAAGGCCTTTAAAGAGGCCCAGGTCTGTTAAATTACATGTAGAGTAGGAACATGTTTCAGAAATAAGATTCAAATTTTTTTCAAAGAAAAATTTACAATGCAAATTTATTTTTAAGAGCAAGATGTCCTCGAGTTCAATGTTATAGGCTATGGGTGTGTTATTTAGATTTCTGTGTAAGAACATGGGAGTACAGTGTATTTGGTTTTATTTTGGAATACAGGACAAGATGAAGGAGTCTGAGGTGATTCTAAATGAAGTCCAGGCGGAGATCAGTAAGCTGGAAAAGGATGAAAACGAGCTCCAAAAAGATGTAGTGGATGTACGTCATGAACTGGAGCGAATTGAGGGCATCATTAAAAGCAACAAACTCAAAGTAAAACACTGGAAAAAAGAGGTAATGTGTGAATAGCATCATGATGATGATGCAATAAAGAGGATCATGATGATGCAATAAAGAGATGTAAACTAAACACTGAAAAGAAAAGGAATATATATGTGTATAGACACAGAGGAGACTGTACCTATTAGTGCAAGAAAGGTTTTACAAGTGAAATTTTGGAAGGCTAAAGACAAAACTAAAGCTCAAATTTAGTATACTTTAAGATAAAGAAAAATTTGGAAAATATAGCATGCAATTAAATTTTTTTTTGTTAAGGATTATTTTTTTCTGTTACTGTGAATTTCATTGCAGATGAGTACATTGTCCTTGACACCAATTGATGGTAAAGAGAATGGGGAGTTAACAGAGCTGTCCCCTGAGGCCTTGAAGGACATTGATAAGGAAGGGGTGCAGTATGAAATCACCGTTCTGGAGGAAAAACTGGCTCAAATGAAACCTAACATGGCAGCCATTGCAGAGTATCGCAAAAAGGTAAGTAATTGCAGGAAAATTTTGTGTTTAGCCATGTTGTTGAAATTTAACATGAATTTGCAATGTGAAGGAACATGAACTTTGGTATTGAAAAGCAGACGGAAGTATATGTACACTTGTACGTATTCAATTTCAATTTATTGACAACACCATCATACATTGGCATATAGCCATGAATACAACAAACAATTAACATATACAAAAAAAAAAAAAAATTTATTTAACAGTCAGCATGTTGACTCAGCAATAACTGACCTTCCTAGTATTTGAGTTACTTGGTCAACTCTATATACCATGCTACATTTTAAAACTACAATTGTACATTCTGGTAGATACCATCACTTAGCTTTTCCATTATTCCAGAAGTAATTTTTAGCTCACCTCGACAAAGTCGAGATGAGCTTATGCTATACCCCCGGCGTCAACGTCAGTGTCGGCGTAAGCGTTGGCGTCCCAGTTAAAGTTTTAGATGCAAGTCCATTCCCAAGTAACTATAAGCCCTACCTGGACCAAACTTGCATGGATGATGCATCTAGGGATGGACACTACCACACTTGCTTCAGATGCTGGATCTGACCTAGATTTTCCAGTTGAGTGACCAGGTTAAAGTTTTTGGAGCAGGTCCATTCCCAAGTAACTATAAGCCTTACCTGGACCAAACTTGCATGGATGATGCATCTAGGGATGGACACTACCACACTTGCTATGGATACTGGATCTGACCTAGATTTTCCGGTTGAGTGACCAGGTTAAAGTTTTTGGAGCAGGTCCATTCCCAAGTAACTATAAGCCTTACCTGGACCAAACTTGCATGGATGATGCATCTAGGGATGGACACTACCACACTTGCTATGGATACTGGATCTGACCTAGATTTTCCAGATGAGTGACCAGGTTAAAGTTTCTTGAGCAGGTCCATTCCCAAGTAACTATTGGCCCTACTTGGACCAAACCTGCATTGATGATGCATCTAGGGATGGACACTACTACAATTGCTTCGGATGCTGGATTTGACCTAGATTTTCCAGATGAGCGACCATGTTAAAGTTTTTGGAGCAGGTCCATTCCCAAGTAACTATAAGCTCTACCATTAACAAACTTGCATGGATGATGCATCTAGGGATGGACACTACCACACTTGCTTCCGATGCTGAATTCGACCTAGATTTTCTACACGAGTGAATTTTAGCCATATTTTAACCAAATTAGCATGGATGATGTAGCTTGGGATGGTCACTTCCAAACTTGCTTTGGATTCTGAATCTGACCTACATTTTCCAGATGAGTGACCAGGTTAAAGTTTTTGGAGCAGGTCCATTCCCAAGTAACTATAAGCTCTACCATGAACAAACTTGCATGGATGATGCATCTAGGGATGGACACTACCACACTTGCTTCAGATGCTGAATTTGATTGTCCACATGAGTGAATTTTAGCCATATTTTAACCAAATTAGCATGGATGATGTAGCATTGATGGTCACTTCCAAACTTGCTTCGGATTCTGAATCTGACCTTCATTTTCCAGATGAGTGACCAGGATAATTTTTTTAGAGTAGCTATATAACATTATGGCCTGTTATGATTAAACTTGCATAGATGGTGCATCTAAGGATGAAAACTTCAAGACTTTCTTTGGATGTTGGAACTGACCAAAATTTTTTTGATTAGTAAACAGGATACGCATTTTTTGAACAGGTCTATTTCCAAGTAACTATAAGTCATACTTAAACCAAAATTGCATGGACATTGATCTTGGGATGTACACTAAATATAAAAAATATGATGTGAAATTTGCCTTACTTAAAGATAACTTTCGTCAAGGTGAGCTTTGTAATCTTTGATTACCTATGTTTTTAAGTAGGATAAACCTATCAATGACTGTGTTGTTATCCTTTGTTCTTTTTACCTAGACACCTTGTAGAAAAACCATTATTGATATTTAACTTTATTTTCTCAAATTCTCCATTGCTCTGATAAAAGCTACATCTGGCTCTGGGGCCATAAAACTTAAAAGATGAGTTCACTTTTGATCTTGGTCTCACTTTTCCACTATTCCTTTTGTAAAAGTGAGACTGAGATCAAAAGTGAGTTCGTCTAAGTTTTATGGCCCCTGGAGGCAGCTCTGAATTTTGACAAGTTAAATTACATGTAAAAGATTAATCACAATAGAAAATTAATTTGGGTGATAAATTCTAGTTGTGTACAATAAATTAAAAAATCACATTAAGCTCAATCTAAGTCTGCTGCCCAATTTCATCATTGTAATTTAAAAGACGTATGGTTAATGCATGTATTGTGACAGAAATATTTGTACATGCAAGTGCATTGCAGTGCAAACTCTGGCAATATTTTTGAAAAATTTTAATTAAGCTATCATGAAAGTTGAACAGAAAAAGATGAGTATTCTCTTTTTCTAGTGTTACCAGTTTTCCTAGGTAAAACTCACATCTACTTAACAGTGAAGGATAATCTCCATTTTTTACTCATACATTTTGCTAAATGTTTTGTATTATTTTTCTTTTAATTCAAATGTTTAAATGATACAGGTATCAATGTTAGACAAGGTTCTTCAAAATATTCCCTAAATCTTTTTTAAACTCTCTGAGACAGTGTGTCATTGCTTCAGGCATGCCATGTTTTGTACATCAAAATTATGACTACACAGGGCTCTTACACCACTTTTTGTGACTGGGGGCAGGTCCATTAAATTGGGAAAATTTAAACAATGGCCTTTTTTGGGAATGTTGGGGAAATCATTATACAGTAAAACTGACCTCATATTTTGGGTTTCTGGTGCTATGAATAAAAATTCTGTTTTGCAATATAAAGGAACAGCAGTAGCAAGTTTAAATGCTATATACATGTATCTAAACATATGTTCATTAATTAAGGGGGATAATAACTTTTGAGAAAATTAACATTCATTTGAAAAAAAATGTACCTGTTTGAATTGGGAATGGGGCCTTTCAATGGCCCCAATTAGAGACAATTGAGAGCCCTGCCACATGAATCTTGGAACATCTTCTATGTTTTTGATTTCTGACAGAATCTTAATTGTTCATTGGTTTGGTATCTGTTTAGCTACCATTGAGGCAGATGCAGGTTTTTCTGTCAAAGTTGCTGTGAACTGTGACAGAATTTTTCAGATCACAGCACGCTTTGATGGCTAAAACTGCTTAGACTACTGAAATCTGATGGTTCAAATGGATTCAGTGGGAAAAGCTCAAATATTTTTCTTGTTGAAATGGGTAATGATAAGATATCATTGTGATAAGCAACTGTGAAAACTTAGATGCTTTAAATGGGTCAAAATAAAAATCAAATGGATCATTGCTACTTATTATATGATTCAAATAAGCTGTGATGGAAATCTAACTTGTATTCTTTTTTTGATAGAAGTCAAATGATAAGGTTCCAAAGGTCTGGAATAGAAATCTAAGGTTCAGTTTGATAAGGATTTTATTTAGAAAATTCTGAAACACCATGTTGAAAGAGTTCTCGAGTGTTATTTCAGCACAATTTAGTCTGATTCATTTGTCTAATGAATTCAAGTTTCGTCAGTTTTCACAAGTTTGAGTGTTCTCATATTCTCATGTTGTAATGTTCTCATATTGTAAGGGGAATTTCTAGGTTCTAGAATTTATTCTGTTTCATTCCATTCTTGGATAAAGGAATAATACCAATAAAGTATTTTATTTTTAAAATTAGTTTAAGTAACTGTGAATATTGTAAATAAATTAAAAATTCTTTTATACTTTTCTCTAATTGTTTGGTTAAGACACAAACAAGTTTATTTGAGTAAAAGAACTCCCATGTTTTTATTTTTAAAAAAGTTTAACACTTTTTAAGCAAAGTTGTTTATCTTGAAAATTTCACTTCATTAGTGGTCAATTATGCATTGATTTATTGTATCAATCATTATAATGACCCCAGAGATGAATTTTCTAATTGATTTGACAGGACTAATTTTCACACAGCATGTGTCCTGGGGAGTTCTACCTGTTGATTGTACAGTAGATATAACAGGTGTGACTACCTGGTCCCATTGAGCAGTACTAATTATCCCTTACCTGTGGGGAACAATGACAGGTGTGACCTATTTCACCAGGGGAGAAATTTCGGGTTATAATAATCACTCAAGTGTCACAAGAGTTACTCAGAAGGATCTATATAAATAAGGAACTGTACCCAGAGATGACACAGAGGTCATGGGAACTACACACAGAGTAACAAGATGGAGGATCCAGAAGTATGGGGAATGGTGTGTGTTGTGGAGACATCAAAGTTGTTGTGATGTGTAATAAATCAGGTCATATCACAGCACGCTTTGATGGCTTTACATATACACAGAGCAACAGACTCATCAAAGCATGTCCATAGCAGAGTGTTGGATTTAAACATTTTATTCTTACTTACTATTTCTATAAAAAGAAAAAGGTTTTTCAACATACATGTAATAAAAATTAACTGAATTACAATTTCATTCAAAGATTGAAGTCTTCAGGGAGTGGGAAAACTTTATAGTGTAGGACAATTTTTGACTAAATATTCATTAAAAATTTAAAATCTTCTATTAATTATTGATTTGAGCTTGAGTGCTTGAATGAAAACATGTGGGAGTGCACAGAATAACTGTGATTAAAGGCTCATCCACATAGGTTCACTCAAATAAAATATTTTAATGTAATGATTTTCCACAAGATATCTAATTTATTATTAAGAAATACACAATTTTAACTTACTTTGTGGGTCAAAGTTCGAAAGAAATGACCTTTTAATTTGACAATTCTATAAGGGAACATTGTTCATTAATTCACAGTAAGGGTAATCTTTCTTATCAGAGAGTCACTGAACCATGGTGCCTCTGTTTAATGAACCTCTATACCAAAAGACTTCTAATTTTGTGGTATTTTTATGCAGTAACAGTAATCTACCCATAGTCTATAATTCTGCAGTGTAATACTCAATTCATAATCAAGCATTCTAAACAGTTTATTAAGCCAAGATACATTTCATATGAAGGGATTAATTGTTAATAAGCAGTTTATGAGAATGAACAGTATAAGAATGCTCATGAATGTCAAAAATAAAATCATATATGAGCATTTCGATTATTCCCTATATATTGGGCTTAACATATTTGTGCAGGTACTAGTTCTTGCAATTATATAGAATATAGTGTTACCCTGTTCCGTCATTCCGTCATCATTCACTTTCAATTCATTATCTCTACAACAATTGCACTCAACTCAAATTTGACATATGGATGCGTCAAAGGAATACGCAGGTCAAGTTCGAATTTGGTCATGGTCTGATGATTTTTGACAGTTATCCCTCTTGAACTTGGAAAAAATTTAAGAAATTTTTAGTTTCCGCTCTCTAACTTTTGTAGGGATGTATGTAAAAGGTTGAAATTGCATATGCAGGTATTTTACCAGAAAATGCAGGTCACGTTCAAATACAAATTTAAAACTAAATATGGCATCTGAAATTTTGGCTGCCTGTAGGGTCATTCGTGGCGTTAAGACACATCTAGTTAGTACATAAATCAGGACCATTAAAATAGTAAACGTAACAAATTACTATTTTCAGATTAATCTTTACATTGTCAGTAAATCATTATTAAGTAAACTGTTCATTTCATGAAAACAAAACAGTGTTGATACCTTGCAATGAGATGACAGCATATGCAATGAGATGACAAGCATATGAAAGATTTGAAGAACATTTCTGATTTATCTTATATGGAAATTATGGTGTAGGATTTGTTTCAAATAAATACTGAGCATATACATGTAAATGACTGCTGATGAGCCCATAGTTGAAAAATTGGATATTGACAGAAAAAAAGCTTAATAAATAATTGTTTTGTTTTATGATGAAAATATTATTGGACTAAATTTCACAATTTTTTAACTTTGTATATTGACTCCTTGATATTTTACAGGAAGAATTGTACCTACAGAGGGTAGGGGAACTAGACAAGATAACAGAACTCAGGGACCAGCAAAGAAAGTACTTTGAGGAGCTACGTAAAGAGAGGCTGGATGAATTCATGGCAGGATTCTCAGTCATCACCAACAAACTCAAGGAGATGTACCAGATGATCACACTTGGAGGAGATGCCGAGCTCGAGCTCGTGGACTCACTCGATCCTTTCTCGGAGGGAATTGTATTCAGGTGAGATAGATACAAAACATCAAATTCTACAGAAATTTATTTTGAAAACGGTGACAAGAAAATTGTAGATATTAGAAAATTGTGAGAAACGAGGAGGAAAAGGGGAAAATTTCAGAATTCAACGTGCTGTGTTCTACTCTCTCTGAAACACATGTAATATAGGTAGATTTTTGTTTCAGTGTTCGACCACCTAAGAAGTCGTGGAAGAATATATCTAACTTGTCTGGAGGAGAGAAGACCCTGAGTTCGTTGGCCCTGGTGTTTGCCCTCCATCACTATAAACCCACCCCCCTGTATGTCATGGACGAGATTGACGCTGCTCTTGACTTTAAAAATGTATCCATTGTCGCTAATTACATCAAGGTAAACTTTCAGTATTGTGACATTTCAATTTATTTTAATAAAAGATAATGCAAAGAAAAAATGTCAATGTAGAAAGGATATTTATCACACTGAGGAAGATAAAGTTAATTATTCCCAAAAAATTTAAAAAAAAAAAAAAATAGTTATAATAATAATAAAACTTCTAGGAGGTTTGAGATTTTTTATATGCAGTGATGATTCTTTTCCGATATTTAGCAGAATTCCGCTAATTTGAATCCAAGAATCCAATATTTACGAGTGCTTTCCGATATTTCAGTACTTTCGTTTTTTGCAGCTATCTGTTTCCATTTTTGTTTGGGTAAAAAATTAAGTTGTTTCATCCATGTTTTGATCTAATCTGCATCATCCAGACGTTTTCTTATATCTCCAAGTACGGTAAACATAAATGCAGGGATGATTGAGACTTCCTTACAATGGTGTGGCGGTTCGTTCAGCCAGGTCAAGATGTAAAAGTAGTTGAACAAAGTGTTACACTCCAATTTTCGTCATTCATCTAAACCTATTTTGGGCTTGCTAAAGCCCATATTTCGTCAGCCCCTTGACTTCCAAACTATTTCAGATATTTTGTGCCGATTCACAGAATCATCACAGTATATGTGATTGATATTCTTATGCAAGCTAGATCTAAATAAATACAATATAATTGATAGATGTACAAAACATGCACAGGTCCCAGTGAGAATTTCAAAATTGACAAGAGTCCTTACCATTTTAAGAAGTATCCTTAATTTGAACATTCACCTTTTTTTTGTACAGGAGAGGACAAGGAATGCCCAGTTCATAATTATCTCACTGAGAAATAACATGTTTGAGCTGGCTGACAGACTGGTGGGGATATACAAGACAGACAACTGTACGAAGTCTGTGACCGTTAACCCCAATAACCTCATTCTTCCCCTCCAGGAGGTGAATGCCAATGGCTGAGGAGCAGATTCTTCTCTATGGGGCTCTAGCAACAGGTGCCCATTTCTTATGTTGACATTAAGACACTGGTCTCAAGACTAAATTGCAAGATAGTAAGCATATATCTTGTAAAGAAGTTTTCCTGATAGTGGAGAGTAGAGAAAAAAATGAATAATAGATATGCAGATGTACATGAGATAGTCTTTAAGTTTGAGATTTTAGTAAGGATCACTCTTCCCTCCATTTACCACTCATGTGTTCAAAAAAAAAAATTTTTTTGTATATATTTTTAAACCAAGACTATATATATACTTATGTATCAGTACAAAGTACAAAATTGCAAGTGTTCAGGAATTGAAAGTCAAAAGAATTCATATTTGGTTGAAACATTTATTTTGTTCAACATTTATTTTTGCATACATTTTTAAACCAAGACTCTCTCTCTCTCTCTCTCTCTCTCTCTCTCTCTATAGGTACAAAATAGCCTGCATTCAGGAATTGAAAGTCAGAAAATTCATTTTTGGTTGAACTTATTGTTTTTCTGTAATGTCATTTCACACTTTTCTCTCATCTTCTGATTTCCTTCAATCCGGTCTGTTTCTTGGCAGGTCTTTTTTAAAAACATTATTTATGTACAAATATAGTCTTTATTCATCGTAATAAAAGAAAAGAAAATGAAACTTTTTTTGCTTGTGAATGATGTGGGAACCAATGATTAGAAGATCATCATGTTAAAAAATTTACTTAGCTTGATGCATAGCCCAACTTCAACATGGACACAATTTTCTTGATGTTATTTGTGTACAAAGTTCTTAAGCTCAATAAGTGTGACCAAAAGTGAAGTAGTGTGACATACCTCAAGAAGCAATTGGTCATTTATGTCAAAAAATATTTAATCCAGAGCAAAAGAAATGGTTTCAAGGTCACTTAATCATAATTGACTGGAAATACTTTGATAAAGCTTGGTGTTTTGCAAAACTAAGACCTAGCATCAGTTCTTACAAGGCTTTGTGTTATAGCCAGAACAGGGATGGTCTTTGGAATTCACATAATCTTGTATGATACAGAGTTTACATAACAGTTAGCCCCAGGAGTTGATGTAAAATGTGCAGAACTATTGACACAGCTAAAAAAAAGCAGTAAGAGCCTCATGCTGAAAGCAAAGTTTGTAAAGGTCATATTTTGTTTGTTTGAAATGTATATTTATTACATGTACCATCAAATCTTGCTGCAGTAATGCATCTTAGTGCAATTTAAGTAGGTGATAGTGATTCTGTTTGGAATGATGTGGCTATCGGTTTCATCACAGTTTCAACGTGGCACTTTGAAATTCTGTGATCTTTACAGCATACAGGCTTCAATTTAATATTTTGATGCAATTGTCAGGAAAATTCCAATTATTTGCAGTTTCCGTTTATTTTCTTTGCAGAGGTTGCACATACTGAAATGAAATTTGGTATACAGATTTATCATAAAAATACATGTATCTAGGTCAACTTTTGTTTTAGGTACGATCGAACAATTTTTGAAAGTGTTATGCCCCTTGGACTTTGAAAAATTCCAATTATTTGCAGTTTCTATTCATTCTCTTCACAGGTTGCACATACTGAAATGAAATTTGGTATAGAGATTTATAATAAAATATCTAGGTCAAGTTTTGTTTTGGATAGGATAGAGCAATATTTGACAGAGTTATGCCCCCTGGACTTGGAAAAATTCGATTTATTATTTGGGGGGGGGGGTTAGTGTTTCACAAACATCTCTTGTTTTGTGATTAAGGGATAATCCATAATTGTGATTCTTCATGACTTTCATATGTTGTAATGGATAATAAGATTTTGTCAAAGCTTTTGACCCCCAGTGATAATCAGAATACAAAAGAAAAGGATGGCAATATTATAGCATTAAGGGAGTTAAGGCTAGGTAGAGGCATTTCTATGCAAATGACCTAATCAAAACACATAAGAAGTCTATTACAAAGAGAAGGTTAAACTCGCTGTTTAATGTATGCTTAGTACCCACGACATAAAGGTCAATGCACGTTAAGACATCATTAAAACAGCTTCAGTGCATAGGCAAAATTATGTTATTGTACAAAAGTATTGAATAAGAGGAAGAATATACCACAGATTGATATTGCTACACAAATCTTGTGTTGACTCATTTGATCGGAAGAAATTTGCCCCATACTCTGCATTTTTTTTATGCATTTCAACTCAAAACTCCACAAATAGTAACTTACCTGTAACAATCAAACTGTCGACATTTTTGCATTATTCTGCTTATAAATTATTAAATCTTGTTTTTGTTGAATTCAATAAAAAGACATGAGTTATTTTTGAAGACTGACTGAAAAAATATTTCAATGGAAAAAAAATGAAATTTTTGAATTTAATCAAAAAAAAATTTTTTTTTTTAAATCAATCTAAAAACTATGGAATTTCAGCTTTTAGTATATCATATTTATCATTAAAATGGATGTTCAAGGTATTGCGTGCCCAGCTCTGGCAACTACAACTAGCAATATGCATGCAATTTTTATCACCTAAAACACTTGGACTGTGTGTAGAAACACTAATTGCTGCTTTTCTACTTACTTGAGTATACTGCCGCCATTATTGAGTTGTCGAGTCAAGTCAAATAAATGTAACGAATAAGACTTATTGAAGAAATCAGAATTAATATTTAATTGGGGGTGGGATGGAGGTTAATCATAAATTCTTATGTAAATGTTCTCTATAATTTTATTTTTTATTTACCAACCTATCAATCCAATTATGGGAAGAGTCTTGGAAAAAAAGAGCTAATAACAAAGTGGCCCAAAGGATTACTTCGTTCATAAAACTCCATACTCTGAAAAATCATTGTAAGAGCAATTATATTTATATTTCTTATAACTTTCCCTTAAGATTCTTTACTTGATAAAGGAATGAAACTCATTTCCTCATGAACTCAAATGGATGAGCATGAATATCTTCATGATGTCAAAAATTTAGTGAAATCATTTTCTTGTATTCAAAAAATGATAGTTCAATGACATAATTTATGACTAGTCTTCAGATAATTATGTAAATACAAGGTACATGAACTAAAACACTGTTGGCAAGATTTATACAACGTCTGATAAAGTCATTCCATTCTTATCTACAGCACATTTTTCCCCTCACTATGATGTCTTTTTTTTTTTTAAATTGTTTATTTCCTAAAAATTTCTTTAGATTTTTAAAATCAAATCTAGAATTCTTTTTAGGAAAAGACATTGTAGTGAGGGGAAAATGTGCTGTAGATTTTTATGCCTCGCCATTAAAATGGCCAGGGCATACAGAGTTTGTCATGTCTGTCTTCCGTCCTTCCATTGCACTTTGCGTTTAACTCGGTTAAAAGCTCAGTTTCAAGGAAACTATTCAAGATATTTTTATCAAACTTCATATGCTGATAGATATTGATGTAAGCTATTCAACTGCATCAAAAAATTTTGACCTTGACCTTTCCTTTTACCTTGACCACTTTTTAGGTCACCTGAGTCACTCAGGTGACCTATTGCTATCTGTTTTCGTCCGTCGTCGTGCGTCAACATTTGAACATTTTCAGCTTCTTCTCTGAAACCGTCGAACCAATTTCAGCCAATTTTTGCGTATGGCATCCATGTGTGAAGGGGAACAAAATTTGTGAATTTCATGGTCCCTGCCCCCCTGGGGCCTGAGGGGTGGGGCTAAAACCATCAAAATTGATGCAATCTTTAAAAATCTTCTTTACTCCTGGACATCAAGCAGTCAAACTGTTGACATGATTGTAATAAGCATTGAGCCCTCTACCAAAATTGTGAAATTCATGGCCCCAGGGTCAGGGGTTCTAGTGCTAGGGCAGGGCTGTATAGATCATATAGTGAAAGTGCATTATTTCTTTGAAAATCTTCTTCTCTACTCCAGGGTATTATTGAAACAAATTGAATACATAGTTATGATAAGCAAGGGTGACTCTAGCAAAATTGTGAAATTCATGGCTCCAGGGTCAGGGGTTCTGGTGCTAGGGTGGGGCTATATAGATCGTATAGTGAAAGTGCATTATTTCTTTGAAAATCTTCTTCTCTACTCCTGGGTATTATTTAAACAAATTAGATACAGAGGTATGATCAGCAAGGGTGACTCTACCAAAATTGTGAAATTCATGGCCCCAGGGTCAGGGGTTCTGGTGCTGGGGGGGGGGTATATAGATCATATAGTGAAAGTGCATTATTTCTTTAAAAATCTTCTTCTCTACTCCTTTGGTATTATTGAAACAAATTAAATACATAGTTATGATAAGCAAGGGTGACTCTACCAAAATTGTGAAATTCATGGCCCCAGGGTAAGGGGTTCTGTTGCTGGGGGGGGGGGGGGGGCTATATAGATCATATAGTGAAAGTGCATTATTTCTTTGAAAATCTTCTTCTCTACTCCTGGGTATTATTTAAACAAATTAAATACATAGTTATGATAAGCAAGAGTAACTCTACCAAAATTGTGAATTTCATGGCCCCTGGGTCAGGGGTTCTGATGTTAGGGCGGGGCTCTATTTATTATATAGTGAAAATGCATTAATGCTTCAAAAATCTTTTTCTCTGCTTCTGGGTATTATTTAAACAAACTAAGTACATTGTTATGATAAGCAAGGACACCTCTTCCAAAATTGTGAAATTCATGGCCCCAGGGACAGGGGTTCTTGTGCTAGGGTGGGGCTATATAGCTCCTACAATGAAGGTGAATTATTTCTTTGAAAATCTTCTTCTCTGCCCCTGGGTACTATTTAAACAAACTAAGTACATTGTTATGATATGCAAGGACGCCTCTTCTAAAATTGTGTATTTCATGGCCCCAGGGTCAAGGGTTCTGGTCAAAAGGGGGGGGGGGGGCTCTATTGAATATATAGTGAAAAATCAAAATTTCTTTGAAAATATTCTTTTCTGCTTCTGGTTAAAAAGCAAAGAAGCTAAGTATATAGTTATGATGAGCAAGAGCGCTTCTTCCAGAGTAGTGAATTGCATGACCCCTGGGTCAGATGTGCTGGTATAAGGGTGGGGCTATTGATAATGTAGTGAAAATGCATTAATTCTATTAAATAATCCTGTCTGCTCCTTAATGTTAAGCAGTTAAACAAAGTGATTACTTATGATGAGCAAACTTGAAACTTCTGGTCCCAGGGTGAGAGGCTCTGGTGTTTCTCGGTGGTGAAGGGGGGGGGGGGGGGGCTCTATTGATAATATAGTGAATCTGTAGTGAAAATGCATTATTTCTTAAAAAATCTTCTCTGCACTTGGGCATATCAGAGGCAAAAAGTGTAAAAGTTGTAATAAGGAAGGGTATTTTTACCAGATTTTTGAACATCTGGACCATTTGGTCAAGTGTTCTGGTCCTAGCCAGGGCTCAATTAATTTGCATTCTACTGAGAGGAGTTATTCCCCTTTGCCGTTTACTTTTGATAATTAATCATTGTAAATAAAAATTAAGAGAATATAAGAGAATTATGCAAGAATTTTTATTGTATAATACAAAAAGTATTTTCATAGTTTTAATGATCATGTGGACTTGTAAGTAATAGATAAATAAAAATGAGACAAAAATAACTTGTCTTATTAAATGTTCATCAAAGACCAAGAGAGGCCAATGTAAGAGATTACAACAAGGAATTAAAATAGTACAAAAGCACTGATAGTTTGTTAATATACTATATGGTGATAGTGATAAATGGGAAACAGATTAGAACCTAATTTATGAACTGTTAATGAATAGTAGACTAATTATTTTGTTGATCCTGATCACCCTATTTTTCTTGCTTTTGGGCATCAAAGCTTCTGAATCACCTTTCATTTCATTTTAATACTCTATGGATCCTCTAAATCATTGTATTGTACTCAGGTGACCGTTAAGGCCCTTGGGCCTCTTGTATTTATTTAGTGTTTAGCTCAGTTTTTAAGAAACTATTCAAGATAGTGTAATCAAACTTCATATGCTGCTACATACTGATGTAAGCTATTCAACTACATTAATATTTTTTTACCTTGATCTTTTCTGTGGCCTTGACTTCACTTTTAAGCTCACCTCGATGAAGTGCTATACCCCAGGTGTTGGCGTCGGCATCCAGGTTAAAGTTTTAGGAGCAATTCTATTCCCAAGTAACTATAAGCCCTACCTTGACAAAACTTACATGGATGATGCATCTAGGGATGGACACTATCAATATCAGACTTGCTTCGTATGCTGGATCTGACCTACATTTTCCAGATGAGTGACCAGGTTAAAATTTTTGGAGCAGGTTCATTTCCAAGTAACTATAAGCCCTTCATGGACCAAACTTGCATGGATGTTGCATCTAGGGATGGACACTACCAGGCATGCTTCAGATGCTGGATCTGACCTACATTTTCCAGATGAGTGACCAGGTTAAAGTTTTTGGAGCAGGTCCATTCCCAAGTAACTATAAGCCCTACCTGGACCAAACTTACATGGATGATGCATCTAGGGATGGACACTACCATACATGCTTTGGATGCTGGACCTGATCTACATTTTCCAGATGAGTGAATTTTAGCCATACTTTAACAAAATTAGCAAGGATGATGTATCTAGGGATGGACACTTCTAGACTTGCTTTGGATGCTGAATTTGACCTACATTTTCCAGATGAGTGAACAGGATAATTTTTTGGAGTAGCTCTATAATTATATGGCCTTTTATGACTAAGCTTGCATGGATGATGCTTCTAAGGATGGAAACTTCCAGTTTTGCTTTGAATGTTGGAACTGACCTACATTTTCTTGATTAGTGAACAAGTAAAAGTTTTTGGAGCAGGTCCATTCCCAAGTACCTACAAGTCCTACTTAAACCAAACTTGCATAGATATTGATCTTGGGATGCATACTAATTAGGAAAAAATATGATGTGAGATTTGCCAAGAACTGAAAGATATCATTTGTCGAGGTGAGCATAGAAATCTCTGATTACAAATGGTAGGTCACCTGAGTCACTCAGGTGACCTATTGCTATCTGTTTTTGTCCGTCATTGTGCATTAACTTTTGAACATTTTCAACTTCTCCAAAACCGCTAAACCATTTTAACCAATTTTGGCATATAGCATCTATGGGTGAAGGGGAACAAAAATTGTGAATTTCATTGTCCCTGCCCCTCTGAGGCCCGAGGAGTGGGGCTAAAACCACCAAAATTGATGTAATCTTTAAAAATCTTTTTCTTTACTCCTGGATATCAAGCAGTCAAACTGTTGGCATGATTGTAATAAACATTAGGCCCTCTACCAAAATTGTGAAATTCATGGTCCCAGGGTCAGGGGTTCTGGCGCTAGGGCAGGGCTATATAGATCATATAGTGAAAGTGCATTATTTCTTTGAAAATCTTCTTCTCTACTCCTGGGTATTATTTAAACAAACTAAGTGCATGGTTATGATGTACAAGGATGCCTTTTCCAAAATTGTGAATTTCATGGCCCTGGGTCAGGGGTTCTGGTGTTAGGGTGGGGCTCTATTGATTATATACATGTAGTGAAAAAGTGCATTAATTTTTTGAAAATCTTCTCTGCTCCTGGATATTATTTAAACAAACTAAGTGCATGATTATGATAAGCAATGATGCCTTTTCAAAAATTATGAAATTCATGGTCCCAGGGTTGAGGGGGGGGGGGGGGGGTCTATAGATAATATAGTGAAAAAGCATAATTTCTTTGATAATATAGTGAAAATGCATTATTTCTGTTAAATAATCCTGTCTGCCCCTTAGTGTTGATAAACAAAGTGCATAGTTATGATGAACAATTGTGCTTATTATAAATTTTTTTAAAACTTGTGGTCCCAGGTCTTGGTGTTTTGCCGGGGGGGGGGGGGGGGGGGGGAGGCTATATTGAGAATATAGTAAAAATGTGTTAATTCTTGGAAATTCTTCAACTAAGTGCATAGTTATGATGAGGGGGGTACCTCTACCAAATTCATGAATTTCATGACCCTGGGACATGGGTTTTAGTGTTAGGATAGGGCTGTGTTGAATCTGTAGTGAAAATGCAGTATTTGTTTGAAAATTTTCTCTGCTCCTTGGCAGATCGAAAGCATCAGAATATAAAGTTTTTAATATGCAAGAATATTTTAACCAGATTTTTGAACATCAGGACCATTTGGTCAAGTGTTCTGGTCCTGGCCAGTGCTCTATTAATTTGTATTCTACTAAGAGAAGTTATTCCCCTTTGCCATTCACTTTTCATGTAATTAATCACCGTAAATAATGTATTTGAAAGTCAATAGACTAAAAGAATTATGCAAAAATGATATTGTATAATACAAAAAGTACTTTCATAGTTTTAATGATCAAGTAGACTTGTAAATAATAAATAAATCAAAATGAGACAAAAATAACTTATTAAATGTTCTTCAAAGACCAAGAGAGGCCAATGTGAGAGGTCACAATATGGGATTAAAAGTGGTACAGAAGAACTAATAGTTTGTTAATTGTCTGCATTGCGATAGTGATAAATGGGGGATAGATTAGAATGTAATTTATGAGTTGTTACCGAATACTAGATTAATTATTTCATTGATCCTGATCATCCTATTTCTCTTGCTTTTGGGCAACAAAGCTTCATCTATCAGTTTATTTTATACTTTATGGATCCTCTTAATTGTTGTATTATACTCAGGTGACCATTAAGGCCCTTGGGCCTCTTGTTTGAAATTAGGTTTAGCTCAGTTTAAATAACCCATTCAAGATAATTTTTTTTTATCAAACTTCATATGCTGATACATACTGATGAGATCAACTGCATCAACATTTTTTGACCTTGACTTTTACTTTGACCTCACTTTTCTTAAATGAATGTTTAGCTCAGTTTTAAATAAACTATTCAGGATAGTGTTATCAATCTTCATATGCTGATACATACTGAAGTAAGCTATTCAACTGCATTAATATTTTTTGACCTTGATCTTTCCTTTGGCCTTGACTTCATTTTCTTAAATTGTGTTTAGCTCAGTTTTAAAGATATCATTCATGATATTTATGTCAAACTTCATATGCTAATATATACTAATGTAAGCTTTTCAACTGCATCAACAGTTTTGACCTCAAACTTTCCTTTTACCTTGACCTCACTTTTCTTAAATAAGTGTTAAGCTCAGTTTTAAATAAACCATTCAAGATATTTTTATCAAACTTAATATGCTGATAAGTATTAGTGATGGCTATTCAACTGCATCAAAAACTTTTGACCTTGCACTTTTCTGTGACCTTGACCTCACTTTTCTTTAATTTGCATTTTGCATAATTTTTAAGAAATCATTTAAGGTATTTTTATGTAAGCTTATGCACTTATACATCATTTTGTGAGAATTAATCATTTATATCCATTTTTTTAGATTTCAATTTCAATTTTAAAGAAACTATTCAAGATATTCTCTTCAAACTTCACACACTAATACAGATTTTCATGTTGCATTACTAATATACACTCGGTGGGGCATTCATGTTCTTCAGACATATTTCTAGTTTTGTTTATTTTTTATTTCAATTTGATCCTTTTGAATCCAATTGTACACATGTTAAAGGTATAGTGAAGTGTGCTTCAATGGTTTTAATGGTATACCATACCTTAAACAATGTTAAGTATGCAGATTCAAAGGTAATTCTTACTTCAGTTACACACATACAAATTACTTTTCTGTCTTGGCAACTATGTAAATAAATCTGTTGAATATGATATATAATGATTGGCAAGAATTATAAAATATTGTCTTGTAAGCAAGTAAAAAAAAATATTATGGTGTAGTATGGTACAACACATAAAAGCACAAAAATGCTAAATATTTATAAAAAATACATTCAAAATAAAAAAAAATATCTGTACATTTCACAAAATCTGTGGTAAATGAAATATATGATTAAAAATTACAGAAAAAATTGATATTTTTCTTCTCTCAAAATTTTTTGATGTTATTTTTCAAAGAAACTTTTCTTATGCATGTTTACATCTTAACAATTGAGACTATCATCAAAAGGGAAAAAGCATTGTTGAAATTGTCCTTTCTTTAATTACCCATAATCCTGTCAAATCGTGTCATAATTTGTGCCATAAAAATATGGAATGACAACCACAGTATCTTTCACAACACTGCCAATAGATCTTAAAAATGCTTCCAACATTTCTCTAACTTGGATTTTATATATCAACATCTGCTAAACTGCATTGTGCAATACATGTACATAGAGGTACATGCGCATTTAAACACATTTCTTTTGAATTCTTTTGAATCTCTGTACTGATAAACTGCCCATTTACATCCAGGTCTTATAAAAAGCATGTAATGTTCCAACAATACTCTCAAATTGTTTGATACAGCAAAAGTACAATTTTATACAGTATCTTTCATCCCTAGCAAATGTCTAGTAAGCTCCAACAAAGAAACAAAGTTCATTTTGCACTTCCTGCAATGTTTGGTGGAATTGGATTCCACATGAACTTTTTTCACATGGACATTCAATTGGCGACGCGACTCAAACTTTTCATCACAGCATTTACAGATGTCCCCAGCATGAAGCAGCATGTGTCTCTGCAGATAGTTATTGTGAATAAAGCCCTGCCCACAAGTCTCGCATGTAAACGGCTTGTTGCGGGTGTGCTTAATGCGCATATGATTACGAAGAAGACTGTCATGTTTAAACTGCTGATGGCAATACTGACACTCCAAGTCTTTTTGCTCTGTATGGATGTATTTGTGAACTTTCAAATTATATCGCCGGCTAAACACCTTACCACATACCGAGCAGGTGTGTGTTTCTCTTTCCACGTGTCTACCTCGCTTTCTAATGGCCGGTCCCTCGTTTCTCAATGATTTACCTTTTCGACGATTTTTCCTCAGTCCAGTCAATTTTCCAGGATTTACTTCTTCAGCCTGTTTTGAGATCTTCTTTTGAGGTTTTACTAAGCTATCTTGTTCATTGTTTACTGGAAGTTCTTGAGTGATGTTTGATTCATTAGCTGGACTAGACCCACTGGGAATTCTACGAATCTGAATTGACTTTCCTTGGTTTTGGTCACCAACAATAATCATATCATCTTCCTGAAGAAGGTTAATGATGGACATGCTGAATCCAGGTAAGATACGATCTATTGTATCGTCGCTAGCTAACCTCCCAACAGAGGACTTTTTAGAGTTTAGAACATCTTGGCAAAGTTTATTTAAATCAAGGTCAGACATTTTCTCCCAGGTAGGTAATGTCATTAAAAACTGACTTGAAACATTACCTTCATTATCTGACACCTCCAATACAATAGTATCATCTTTTTTCAGACTACTCTCTCCAGGCAAAGTTTCTTCATCTGATAAAATAGTGGTGGAATTGCTTGCATTAGAATCTTGTCTGGTTGGTCGTGAATCAGGGAGCAGAAAAGATGAAAGGTCTAAAGAGTTGCCTGATGCTAGAGTTGCAGATCTAGTCTTTCTTGTAGTATTCTCCTTGTTCGCATTGCATCCTGTTTGACTACATAAGCTTTGGTCACTGATCTGAATCTGTGGTTCAATCACTATAGTGTCAGCTCTAGATAACCTAGTCACCTGGTTTTCACTTGCAGCTCTAGATATTCTTCCAAGAGGCTGGTTTTCATTGGCAGTACAATCACCTATCAATACAGTGTCAGCTCTAGATAATCTAGATGTCTTATTTTCGCTGGTACTTCTTGACAATTTAGAAGTTTTACTTAACCTGGCAGTTTTTGATGATCTAAAAGTCCAGTTTTCCACATTTCGCATGTCTGTGTTTGATATTTTAAGAGATGAACCGAGAGTCAAGATTGCTCCGGCCACATCCTCTATTGTAGTCTCTGGATTATCCTGATCTTTGACCTGGAATCCTTCGGAATCTTCTCTGGGCTGTGGTGTCATACTTCTCCTTTTTCTTGGACTGGCCTCCTGATGATTTGTAGTCCAACTTGAGGATGAAGAACTTATGTTAAGTGATGAAGTCCTTAAAAAATCACTATGATCCTGTAGATGATTTTGAAAGTTTTTAGTATCATTGAAATTCTTGTAACAATAAATACAATGTATATTAGTACCTGCCTCAGACTTAGAGTGCTTGATTTGCAAATATCGCAGTCCACAAAAATCACATCCTCTGATTTCCATTAATTTATTGCTTTCAATCAGATGAACGTCAAGTTTCTCTTTACTACATACCGGACATGTTTCTGTTTCTTTATTCATATTTGTGCTAAGAGAAGCTTCTTTAGTTCCCCTGATCTGAACAGACTGGCGTTTTCTTGCTACCATTTTCTTGCTTAGATGCATACTTATCCAAATAAGATGAAAAACTGCAAAAGATTTAGCTGCAAGATAACCAACATTTTTGAAAACGCATTGTGATTTTAACATAGGTGCATGGTAATGAGAGCCCCCCTCCCCCAATTTTGCCATATTTACATAGAAAAGAAAGGCAATTTTCAGAACTTTGTGTCCCTTTATATAATTTTACCAGTATTTAATACTATAAATTAGAAAACAATATAAATCTAATTTTGGGTTGTGCCTCTTCAAAAAACTGAAACTATTCCCTCCCCTTTTTTCTGCTTATATGTATACATTGCGGTACTTATATATATCGATTCCAGAAATCCATGAGTGGTTGCCTTAACAGTTCTGAGAGTCAATGAAACGGCATATAAATCTTCATCAACGATGAAGATGAATTCTTGGATTTCTTAACAGAATTACCATGCATATACACAAAGACATATATAACAAAAATATACTACGTTATGTTTACATTAATGACATGATTTTCGTTAAAAAGGGGAAGAAAAGCATTACCAATTACATTCCTTTTTATATGTAAATAAATAAATATGCTGCAGATTACTTACCAAGAATATACCATCTGCAGGATGTCTGGACGTTTACCTGATTGGCAGCATTTGGCAATTTTGGTTTGTTAATAACCTTCTTACCGGAATTTTCATTTCCTCATGCATGGTTTTTATGTCATCTTCGTCATACAAATGTTTACTGCAGTTCACCATAAGCATTGTCTTCAAAACACCAACTTGACATTGATTCATCTTGTCACCATGTCTCTCGAGAGCAGCCCAACTGCTTCGCCTCTTCGGAAATCGACGAAATTTGAGGGTTCACCGTCTCGTTTGTTTTTGACAGCTCTCTGTGCAAGTCTTGGCCCCTTCACATTCGGGTTTACAATTGGTTATAGCTCGCCTGCAATTCCAAAACTAGAGCAAGAAAAACTTCTCGATGGGAAAAGTTTGACAGGATGGTTTGGTGCTTTGATGACGGTCGGCGCAATTTTCGGTGGTCCTTGTGGAGGCAAGTTAATCGAGAAATATGGCAGAAAACAAACATTGACAATAGCTTCCGGCGTATTCCTTGTTGGATGGATCATGACAGGATTGGCGTCAGGTATTCAAAGCCTACTCTTTGGTAGAACATTATGTGGATTTGCAAGTGGCCTTGTAACAGTAGCTGCCCCTGTCTACTTTGCGGAAATTTCCACAAAGACACTGCGAGGATTTCTTGGAGCAAGTATGCAGTTGTCGATAACCATTGGCATTGTAGCAGCATATGCCATAGGAATGACATGTTCCTGGTCTATGTTAGCATTCTTTGGTGCCATGCCTGCAGCACTGGCGATATTATTACTCTTCTGTATCCCAGAGACACCCAGATATCTTATCCTGAAGAACAGGAGAAAAGATGCATTGCTAGCATTGGCAGCTCTGAGGGGACCTCATACAGATGTGGAGGATGAATGTAGAGATATTGAAGAGGGATTCATGCAGGAATCTGGATCCTCTTTCTCTTATTCAGAGTTTAAAAAACCAGAACTATCTCGTCCCTTGTTTATCTCTGTCATGATCATGGTTTTTCAACAGTTCAGTGGGATCAATGCAGTTATGTTTTATACAGTGTCCATATTTCAGAGCGCTGGGTATAAGAACAGTGAACTTGCGACTGTTGTTATTGGCATTGTTCAGGTACTTGCTACACTTGTAGCTTGCTTCTTAATGGACAAAATGGGCCGAAAGAAATTGCTAATAATAGCAGGCTCCATAATGGCACTGACTTGCACAACATTTGGATATTACTACTTTCGCATCAGAAGTGGAACGCATGCAGACATCAGTTGGCTTGCTATTACAAGCCTTGTCATCTACATCATAGGGTTTTCCTTGGGCTGGGGCCCAATCCCTATGTTAGTGATGTCGGAACTTTTCCCAGCCCCAGCACGGGGAGCAGCTAGTGGCATTGCAATGTTTACAAACTGGTTTTGTGCTTTCCTCATAACCAAGGAATTCATTTTGTTGCAAGAACTGTTTGGTCAAGCAGGTACTTTTTGGATCTTCGGAGTCTGCTGTCTGTGTGGTGTTATGTTTGTGTCCAAGTACCTACCAGAAACCAAGGGAAAATCCTTAGAGGATATTGAGTTGTATTTCTTGGGAAGGAGTATGATGATGTAAAATTATCGAGAATCTCATTTATTTGTTAAAATAATTTATAGGGCTGGGACAAAACACTTTCCTCTATATCAATACATATCACAATATTTGTGCCACAATAAAGTATGTAGAATGATGTTGTGCATGTAATTATAAAATTTTCATTTTGTGTTGAATAAACACTATATTTCTTCACTAATAATAATTTATTCATAGAAGCCTTATATGTGATGTAAAACAAAATGATATAACAAAAGTGGTATTGATTATTATGTGTTTCATATTTAGAATATTTGTATATATTTAAAATCCAAATGAAAAGTAAAACCAAGAAAAAATAAGTCTGAAATTTTGTTTTCTGTATTAAGATTTCTACACACAAATTAGTATGCGTATCATCTTCACACAGAATTACAATTTCGATATATTGTCCCAGCCCTAATGAATTACATGTATTAATCAATATTTTTCTACAATAATATATAATTGTACAGTGGGATATCTTGACATGGTACATACTTATTTCCCTATTTTTGCAAGCATCTGTTAACCTTCAATCTCATAATTTATACAAGTTATGCTTTAAGATTATTTTATCTACATATATCTGCCAAAATTAATATTTTATTCAAAGGGGATTGGGCAGCAGGCTCAGCCTATCTTAGCCCTCTCCCTACATCAAGGTCTAGGTAAACACTGTAAAATCACTTAATTTCATGGGGTCAATTGTTTTGTTTTTTGCCAAAAAATGTAGGTTCGGTGGGATTTGATTTTATGATTGAAGAAGTGTACCTAACTTAAACTGTACTATGCCATTTTTACATTTCCTGGAGGATTTGAGTTCGTGGGTCTCTCCATACCATGAAAACTATGGAAATCAAACGCCCACAAAAATTTAGTGATTTCACAGTACATAAAGTAAACAGAACAAAAAGTAACAAAAGAAGAAAATTTTAGTGATTTCACAATACATAAAGTAAACAGAACAAAAAGTAACAAAAGAAGAAAAATATGCCAAAATCATCAATATGACTAACATTTAGGTATGACGTTTTTAAAATTACTGCTCGTTGACAATTTTTCTGCCTTTTGTCCACCTGAGTAAGCAATTTGTGTTGTGTATTTATAACTATGAATTTTAAAAAAAAAAAAAAATATTTATTAATGTTGGTATATAATTGTAGTACAATTGTACATATATAAGAATTTTTTACTTTTTATTTCTAAACTTTTGTCATAATTGTAAGATGTTGATAACAGAGATTGATATGGTTTGACTCATATCTGACATAATTCAGACATAATACAGTGTAATACACTGATGTATGCATTTATAACTTCATTTATGTTAACATGTTTGTTTTCAGAACATTTTTAGCCTTTCATTTCCTTTTCTTTGTACTGGGTATATAATTTTGAATGACAGGTTTTAACAAGACTAATATGAATAATACAAAAATCTTTTATGTTGTAGTCGAAAAATTAGTGCCTGATATTTGTTCAGTTTCACATCAAAATATGACTTAAGTAAAATATTTCTGAATCTCTATGTTCCATTATTTACATACAAGACTTTTGGATCGAACATATTACAGTGTAATTGGTAGGGATTTAAAAGATATTTTGGTGTAACAATTTTCATTAAATTCTGATCCCTAGTGAAATTGAGGGGGGTTGGGATCTTGTGGGTCTATTGAAGATATTATAATTTAGGTGATGGCAGGCATTTAATGTTATACACTCACTGTGTACATTTGCATACTCTACATCAGGTAGAATTATAATAAAATACATATCTTTCACATCTCCTTCCCCCAACCAATTTAAAAAAAAATCAGCTTTTGCCATTTTAGCTCACCTGAGCCAGACTTAAGTTAGCTTTTTCTGATCAAATAGTATCTGGTGTCTGACTGTCCATCTGTCTGTCGTGTGTAACATTTGTAAACTGTTCACATTTTTTACTTTTTCTCCAGAACTACTGGCCAGATTTCAACCATATATGCCAAAGGATCCTGTGGTAAAGGGGATTTTAAAGTTTGTTCACAGGAAGTGTCACATCCTCTTTCAAGGGGAGATAACTAAGAATTGGCGACTTTTTACAAATCTTCTCCTCAAGAACCACTGGGCCAGAAAAGATGAAACGTATGTGAGAGCTTTATTACATACTGTAGGTTCAAGTTTGTTCAAATCATGACCCCGGTGGTTGGGTGTGGCCATAACTGGATCAAAGTTATACAAAGGACGATATACATGTATAGTGCAGATTCAAGATTTTTCAAATCATGACCTCCTTGTGGTTAGGTGGGCAACAACAGGAGATCAAAGTTATACATAGGAATACATGTATATGGGAAATGCACATCTGAAAACCCTATCTTTTCTCATTCAGAAGTTATAACCAAGGTTAAAGTTCTTGTGACTGATAGATGGTCAGCTAAACTGTGAGATAGATGGATGGACAGACAGATGAATAAGATTTAATGTCCCATGCTTTTGCAAAAGTGGGGGGAAAAATATTTAAAGCTTACAAATACATGTACTTAACGTAGTATGTGTGTGTTTTGAGTGGGGTTGGGGGTGGAAGGAGGGTGAAAAAATATTGAAAGCTCATACTTTAATAGGCTTTTTTTTGGAGGGGGTTGGGGGGGGGGGGGGTAAAGAGAAGCATGCAGTGTCATTTTATATGCTTACTTGCAGTATATATGTATAATGCTGAAGAAACATTTCCCCACATAATAGCACAAAATCCTAAGGCTACCATAAATTATGTTCATCAGGAATATAAATATATATATGTGCTGAAATCTCAGTACTGTTGGAAAGAAAACAGATTATGTTGAATGACCATCTTGCTCAGAAGTTATGGATCCCTCATAACCATTACTAATACATGTGCTTCCATCATTCCAATTTTCGACTTTAACAAGGGCACAGAATAAAACATGGATATATGAAACAGTTATTGTTATCCACAGAGGTTCATTAATGTTCATGTTCCCATCTATTTATGTACATTCAAAATATCTTTTCCAAACATAAAATATACATGCTCTTTTTATTGGTGGTATGTGTACACTGTACTGTGGTTTTAATTATTGTTTTGAAATTACATTTTATTTTCTATTTATAACATTCTCTATTGCCCCTACAATTATCTCCATTGTACTGTATTACCTTGTACATGTGTATAAATAGCCAACTTTTCTCACTGCTAAATATAACCTCTTTATAAAAGATAAGTTTGGTTATTAATAAAAAACTATGTTATATGGTGGAACTTATTTGTTTATACTTTGTGATGACTGATGTATAGATCATATTAAATCAAAATATCTGTAAAGAGATGTGATTCTTGTTCATACCCAATAGGGGTGTAACAATCAATACATTGATACTTTGTGGTGCAGAGGGGATCGGTTTGATACATCCATACATTAAAAGAAATATAAAACTTTTCAGAAGTATATAATGTGCAACTTTTGGTCTTAAAATGAAGTATTTGCTTGAACATTAAAAATTTTGCATTAAAAATCAAATAGAAAAGTCAAATTTCTTTTTATTGCAATTAAAAAGGATAAAGTTAAATCTTTCTTTTGCTTTAATCTTGGTTTTTCAGAGTAAAAAAGACTACTAGAAGCAGATTTTTTAATAAAGAATTGCTCAAAACTACATTATTCTTCCTTTAAATGTAAAAATTTGAAATGTGATCTTTTTCTGAAATACTGTGATCCATTGCAATACTGTAGATTCCTTATTTTACGCGAGTACTTAATATCGGGAAATGCCTCTTAGACGTCATATCGCGAGGAATATTAAATCGTGAGTGGGAGGTTGATCATAAGATTTTATAAAGAGTTCAGCACCATAAAAATAAAAGCGAGTTATTTTATTTCGCGACTGGAGCTTCTCTCGAAATTACGCAATAATTAATTCCTCGCATATATTTAGGAATCTACAGTATCGTTTTTTTCCCTCACAATACACAGTCTTTTTTTAACAGTATAACAGTTTTTAAGAACAGAAAAAGGAACTAAATGGGAGAAAACTCTTCACAACTTGATCATCTGGGTCCTTGTCTTGATACATGTATAACAGAGAGTTAATTGTCTTCGATGTTAGAATAAAGTAACTCCCAGAATATCCTCTGGTGTGCATTCACTAAATAATAAAGAAATGTTGGTCACAGGTCAACTGAATCACACTGGATTCGCATTGATTCCGCGAACTCAAGTCGGTTTGCTTTGATTAAGAATTTCCTTCATCTATTAATGGAGTTGAGCTGTTCTTGAATATCAGAAAGTGTACTCATGCTGCAAAAGAAGAATTCTGTACATTAATTATAGCTTAATGCACTTTTTTTCAGTTAATGAATAGGCTCAATTTGTATGCAAGCAGCCTTAATATCTATTAATTTACATAAAAATTAATAATTACTAATACATTGTCTCAGACATCAGACTTAAAAAGCTTTTATAACTTCTCTCCATATAAGTTAATTCAATTATTATTTTTTCTGTCTTTTACAAAAAATGAATTTATTGATTTGGAAAAAAAGTGGTACTCTCTATATAGCTTCCAATTTCCAGGTTTACAATTAAAATTAATATGGTATAATATATGTATAATAAAGGCTCAAAGAATTATTACCTTCTTTCTATTGCTGACTCTCTAAGAAAAGAAAATGCAAATACGTGTTTATTGGAAGATATTGTGTAAAAACTATTTTCCTTTCTAATAACATAATTCTTTTTATTATTTAACAATAATGTATTTTGTTTATAATTATGTATATGTTAGAGCTAAATATATTTAGCAAGAGTGAAATTCAGAATCACTGATACTTACTGATATTCTAGCTGAGTTTTTATTGTTATCATTTTCTTTAATGACTGTAAAGAAAATATGTATTTACATGTAATTATAATTCGGAATAGTTAGTTTTCAGAGAGAGAGAGAGAGAGAGAAAGAGTTACCTCTGATGAATTATGGATGACGTTCTCCTGACAGGAAAAATTCTTTGCCGCTTGTGCCAACAGCTAGATTAAACAAAAATAAGTGGATGTTATATCAATATCTAACCAACAGACCAAAGACATGTCACCAAGGCAATCAAACTACTTCGAGGAAATTCTAGCTGTGGGAGTGGGCGTTCCTACCTCGTTGGATTTCGACGTTTTTACCACATGTCTTACAAGGGAGCCTACGTCTTGCACATTCTGTGCAACTTTTTCGTTCAGTCTGTTCTTTGTTTCTTGATTCCAATTCATTTCTTTCGTAGATCTACGAACAAATAAAATGATAAATGTCAAATGGAGCCTTGGTTTAGACTTTGATCCCGATCTGAGTTGGAAAAAATAGGAAAAAGCGTGTGTAATGTGAAAGACTTTATAATAATTATTTTTATGGCGACAAAGTTTAATCAGAGACCTATATACTAGTTAGTATATGTACGTCCCTGATTTCATATGTAGATACTCGAGCTATCCGGATTGGAGGAATCTCTCATTTATGGTGCGAAATTCACTTCCGATGTTTGAATTCAGAACAGCCTGGAGAAATTGCCTGTTTGCCTAATCGTGGGACGATGGAATGATGAAATATGGGCGGTGCATTTCTGAAAAAGATTGACTAAATATAAAACAGAATGGCCTACAGTCGTCTCTCCTCCGAGGATGAGAGGTATGTTTTCTGCAATTGATGTTTTGCCTCATGACTAGCCATGAAGGCATGAAATATATTTGAACGGTTTAGTAGTTGATAGTTACTTTACATTGTAAGTAAAATGATTCCTTTATAGATCCAGGGACCTATATACTAATAGTTAGTATATAGGTCCCTGATAGATCTTTTGGGAGTTTGTGCAGATGTTTGATTTAAATGTTTTCACACAGAAGAGAGTATTGTCTCAGGTTTATTATGTTCCCCAAACGAAGTTTGGGAACATATTGTTTTTACTCGGTTTCTTATTATTATTATTATTATTATTATTATTATTCTTTTTTATGGGTAGACTTTACTTTACCGGTCCCCAGATCCGCAAGTTCCGCGCGCTCATTGCACTATGACGTAAGATTTACGTCACTCAACTGATTGGGGTTGGTTTTGCACATTTTTCGACTGGTTAGGGTTAGTCTTGCACCCACCCGAAAGATTAGGGTTAGTCCTTGCATAAGTTTTTGACTGATTAGGGTCAGTCTCGCATCCATCCGAAAGATTAGGGTTAGTCCTCGCACATGGGTTAGTCTAACATGGTCTAGCATCCGCCTGGGAGATTTGAGTTAGTCCTCGCATACCATCCGAGAGATTAGGGTTAGTGTCTTGTTCTTTTAGATTAATTAAGAAATCAGTTCCGTCTGTATTTTTTGCAAGATCTTAATTCAGCTTTGACGACATCTCGTTGGTTTGTTTACATAAAAAAAATGGCTAAGTACGAAAGAAACGGCACTAAGCATGCGCCGCACGCGCTTCGTTCACAATTATGTTTTGTCTCCTACTCACTGAATAAACAATATTTATTACTTTTTTTCAGAGAACAAGGTTAAAAACTTCGTTTAAAAAGAAGTTTTAAACTAAACTTTTGACTGTAGAATTCGAATTTGGGGTCCAAAAGGCTTAAAACCTCATTTTTTCATTTTTTTTCGATCGCTCACGCGATCTCATATATATGGAAGTCGCCTACGGTGACAATATATTTTAGCGCGTTTTTCTGGGGACCGGTAAAGTAAAGTCGTTCCTTTTTTATTCTTATTTCTTCTCCGGTACTTTTTTGTCCGCGAGTGTTCTCGGAAACTGCACATCCAATTGAGTTAAAACCTTTTTAGGGTTACTAGGCATGTTATGTATATTTGCGGAACGAAGGTCGTTTTGCGCGCACATGCACGCACGTGCGTGCGCGTGCAATGCGTAAAATGACCAATATACATAATATAGCTGTAACTTTTATATTTTTTGATGAAATGCTTTGATACTCAGAATACAAGGATATATTAAGTGTAGACAAGATGACATGGTCAACATGCACATGCATGCACGTGCGCGCACGCGCAAATCGTAAAATGACCAATTTACTTGATATAGACGTAACTTTTATATTTTTGGATGAATTGATTTGATACTCAAAATATTTATATATATTAAAAGTGTAGACAAGATGACATGGTCAACATGCACATGCATGCATATGCATGCACGTGCGCGCGCATGCAATGTGTTAAATGACCAATATATTTAATATAGTCGTAATTTTTATATTTTTTGATGAAAAGCTTTGATATTAAGAATATACAGATATATTACAAGTGTAGACAAGATGATGTGGACATCATGCACATGCATGCACATGCGCGCGCATGCAATGTGTTAAATGATTAATATACTTAATATAGCCGTAACTTTTATATTTTTTGATGAAAAGCTTTGATACTATGAATACACAGACATATTATAAGTGTACACAAGATGGCATGGTCATTATGAACATGCATGCAGGTGCGCGTGCGCGCAATGCTAAGATGACCAGTATACTTGATATAGCCGGAACTTATATTTTTGATGAAATGTTTTGATACTGAGAATATAAAGATACATTAATAGTATAGACGGGATGACATGGTCATACTGCACATGCATGCACGTGTGCGCGTGTGAAATGGAAAAAACGATCAATATACTTCATTGCCTTATTTAATGAAGCTTACAGGAAATAAGACACCAAAAGGGAGTTGGGGAGCGTTTGGGGAACATCTGTAACGGTCCCCGTTACAATTATAACTAGTTAGTTATGTAACAGGTAAGGAGGAAATGTATTTCTGGACCGGGAATCGAACCCGGGACACCTGCATCACTAGTCAGGTGCTCTACCGACTGAGCTACCCAGGCCAATATCCATGGTCTAAACCATGGCCCAAACTATTACACTCCTCCCTCCTTAAATTGTCTTCTCCATTGAAGACACAACCCAAGATCTTATTTGCCCCTGGCAGGACTTTCACCTGCAAGTCCAGGGGTGGTCAACGGCACCAAATCTGTAACAGGAAAGGAGAAAATGTATGGCTGAACTGGGAATCAAACCCAGACCTCTGCATCAACAGTCAGGTGCTCTACTGACTGAGCTACCCAGGCCGATATCCACTGCCCAAACCATTACAGTGATATATTACTGTCCAAACTGATTACTACAAAATATTTTTTTATGCTGTAGGAAGTGTTGCTGGGTTTGTTTCGCTACAGTAGAAGATGACTGGGAAGCTAAGTGGGTGAAGCCCTGTAGATGTCGGGGAACTACCAAGTGGGTCCACCAGAGCTGTCTCCAGCGGTGGGTGGATGAGAAACAGAAAGGAAACAGCTCAGCAGAAGTTTTTTGTCCACAGTGTGGAACAAGATACATCATAGTGTTCCCAGAGTTTGGTAGGTCACTAGTTAGAATAATCTGTGTCTCGAGACAAGCCCTCACCACAGTTAGAATACATCCCATACAGTTGCAATGCAGCAATTTGGAGCAGATCCGCTCCGAAACAATTTTGAAGAATACAAAAGGAGTTACACTAGAAATATGTATCAAATTAATCATAACAAACTTTCTGAGCTTATGCATACTTTCTACTCTAAAAAATAATCCATATAAGGACAAACGTTCAACTCACTTTCTCAACATTTTTATCTCTCTTTAAATTTACATGCCATGTTGACGTTCGGAACTCTCTGGATTATACATAGTACATGTGTAGTTTAGAATTATCTGCCCTTGTTTATTTTGCTACATTGACAACACATGGAACAAATTCTATCATTAAACCAGGTTATAAGCACAATATCATGTTAACAACAGAACATTCTATCTACCGTAAATCTGGAAATTTTTACGTCGATTTATTTTTGCGAATCTGGGTCAAAAGTCTGTTGATTAATTTTTGTGTTTAAAATTTTTGCGAATCGTCATTTGAACTAAAATATAAAAAGCTCTTAAAATTTTCTTAAACATTTGTAAGTTACGCATATACATACAATAAATTACGAATAAACATACAATTTTAAACTACGCCAACGTTCAATAGTCAGATAAAAATATTAGAAAAGATAAATCATCCAAAGTGTTGAAAGTTTTCATAACATTTTCATAAATCACACATGTACATAAAATATATATAACGATGTAATCTTTAAGTAATCTTTAGAAAAAAAAATTTTTTTTTGATTTATTTTTAAGAAAAATATATTTGCGAATGCAATGCATACGCAAATTTGCTAAAAATTTATCTACAGCAAAAATTTCCAGATTTACGGTAGTAGATCTCCTGTCAAAACACTGGACCTCAAAGTATTCCCTTGAATAGTTGAATAAGTTTATAGTGTTCTCTCATCTGTGTGAAACCAGTTATGTTCCCAGAATTTGTATCCCAGTTTGGTAAAGTCTCTGTTCTCATTATGGCATCAGATATTTTATAGTGTTTCACTTCATGGTTGTTCAAGATTTTGGCAAGTCTTCTGTTGGAAAATTTATATGGATCTCTAGCTAAAAGTTTTGTCCAGATTTGGGTAAATGATCATGATGATCAGTTGTGAGACTAAGTACCTTGCAGTCAGTGAGGTGTTAGAGTTTTGTAAATGTGCATTTAGTAATATATTGTAGATTTTAATTCATCAAATTTCAGATTATTCTAACTTCAAAAAAATACCATAGGCATAGATTGTGTGCAGTGTGTAGAGGGTTCTTTAAATAATTTTTACATTATAAATAACTCCTCTCTTCTTTTAAGACAGAAAAAAAACAAGGAACAATGACAAAAATTCATATCATTTACAGGTTCCTTTTTAAAATGTGTGGATACATTTGATAAAATGATTCAACACATAAGTCCTTTTGGGGTGGGAATGTTGTTCTGTGCTGGTGTCTACTGGAGTGCATTTACCTATGGATTTATAGTCGTATTACAGGTAAGATTCTTATTATCTATGGATTTATAGTAGTTTTACAGGTAAGGTTTTTATTACCTATGGGTTTATAATAGTTTTACAGTTAGGATTCATATTTACCTATGGATTTATGGTAGTTTTACAGGTAAGATTCTTATTACCTATGGATTTATAATAGTTTTACAGGTAAGATTCTTATTTACCTATGGATTTATAGAAGTATTACAGGTAAAATTCTTCTTTACCTATGGATTTATAGTAGTTTTACAGGTAAGATTCTTCTTTACCTATTGGTTTATGGTAGTTTTACAGGTAAGATTCTTATTACCTATGGGTTTATAATAGTTTTACAGGTAAGATTCATATTTACCTATGAATTTATAATAGTTTTACAGGTAAGATTCATATTTACCTATGAATTTATAATAGTTTTACAGTTAGGATTCATATTTACCTATGGATTTATGGTAGTTTTACAGGTAAGATTCTTATTACCTATGGGTTTATAGTTGTATTACAGGTAAGATTCATATTATTTACCTATGGATTTATAATAGTTTTACAGGTAAGATTCATATTTACCTATGGATTTATAATAGTTTTACAGGTAAGATTCATATTTACCTATGGATTTATAATAGTTTTACAGGTAAGATTCTTATTACTTTTGGATTTATAGTAGTTTTTTATAGGTAAGATTCTTCTCATTCTGATAAAGCCTTACTTGCAGTTTTCAATAAATGCTTTACTTACTTTGAGAGGTAAGATTCTGTTGATTATATTTGTCTTATTTGCCTTTTATACATGAAACATAAACAATGTACAGTCAATTCTTGATAAAACACCACCTTTCGTTATTCAGAAATCGTGGCAGTATAACAAGTTTAGTGATGAATTTCATCTCGGAGGATCAAATGTATAAAACAGAGTTACCTTTCTTTGGATAAAAATATAGAACATCTATAATGTACCACTATTTCTTTTGCAAAATTTGAATTGTTTAATGTTGGGATCTTCAAGTTAATATCATCCTTGTTTTTTATGACACCCGATTTCATGATACAGTAATTTTACTTAACAGAATAACATTTCTTATGAACACAACCTGTTAGCTGCTTCACTATCAAAATAAAACCAAATAAATTAAAAGGAAACTAATTTACAAACTCTTTTTTTGTATGAGTGAGTCCTTTCATACTTTCATTTGTTACACTCATGTATTAATAATTTAGCTCATATTATAAGAACAGTAGATGAACATAAAACAGCAAAAAGAAAAAGTAGAGATGAGCAGAGCGTAAATAGAGAAAATGAATAAGCACTCTGTTTATAAATTTAAATATGTCTATGAAATATTTTATGTTAAATTCCTATTGGGATATATTTACCAGGTGATGGGGACAGAGGAGGGGTACACATTTATGGAGGAGGTAGAAAATAAAATGTTACTTCTGATCAGCATGCCCCTCATCCCTGTCCTCCTAATCCTCGGGAGGATGGTTCAGTGGGAAGAAGCCCTCCTCAAGCTGTGGCGAAGACATGCCCCCAGGTTCCTCACCAAACTCTTCACTAATGGTTTGTACCTGATTTACACTTTATATGAATTGATCTAAACAGGAAAGGCAACATAATATTCTTTGGAATTAAAAATGACGGTCATGAGTTGAAATTGAGTTCTGACCAAGTGTTCAATGCAGTGGTCATTAGCAGTGAAACAGGTGCAAGTGCCCTACTGTTATTCACCTATTTCAGCAGTGATAAGACCAGATTTATAAAATAGTGATGATGTTCTTAATAGACTTCTTTATGATTTTCAAAAAGGGTGTTGAAAATGTTAAGGTGACTTAAATTTCTCTTTCATAATAATTTTTATGGCAAAGTTTGAAGCTCAAAAGCAACTATTTTGATTCAGTCACTCCATAGGTTGGTCCTTGTTAGACATGACCTTTTTGTAATGTTGCTCTTTGAATTGAAATTTAAAAATCTACCGGTACATTTCAGTAAATTTTAAGTGCAGACTGATGAAAACTGTCCACCCTCCTCTGTCCTGTTGATTAGAGGGCAAAGGGGAGTGGGGATTGGTTTCAGTAAGACAGAATTTTACATAAACATTTGCATTTACTTCAGTGGAAAGGTCAACCCTGCCAAGGCTTCCTGCAGACACAACACGCATAGTGGATCCTGTGTCAGCCACACGCATTGTCTGTGGGGCTTTGGTTTTACCCAGCTGTGCTGTCTTGTGTGGAAATCTCTTGTTCAGATCTGTTCGCTCCAATATGCAGAGAACTATGATGGTAGGAATTCACAGTCTTTTCTTTCTTTTTTGGGAAAAAAAGATTAAGTATCATTCATGTTTAAATTTATTTGATGTTAAAATACTGGTACTCCTTATTCAATTTGAAAAATATTTATTCGATTCGCTCAAAATGAGATTTTTACATGTATGTCAGTGCTAGAAGTTTCACACTTGATCTTTAGAACCTGACCGTGCTTCCTGTTCAATGTATTTCAATCAATACAGCAAGCTTTGTTGTAGCATCAAAATCTGGCTTTATTATTATGTACATTTATTCCCCTAAAGTGACTATACTCAGATTACATTGATCAATCTTGCATATGAAATATTTTTTATGATGAATGATCATGATATAACATTTGAATCAGGTCTATTTCTTTTGACTTTTCATGTCCAACATTGATGATTTTGATATATGACACCATGCTTCAGTTGCCAAATATGACCTATATTTTACACATGAGTGATCAGGTTTTAGCTCTTTAATGCTTCAATTGCTGAATGTGACCTACATTTCATAGATGATCAGGCCAAAATTCCTTGGCTATTAACTTAAATCTCCTTAAAAAATGATATTAATTTTAAACCTGCACCACATCTGGAATTTCTCTCTGGCCAGTTGGGTCTAACGTAAACTAAATGGTTTTTAGAGTGTCCTGGCATAGTGAGGGTGCAGCAGTCATTTCTGAAGTAGTGCCCAGCTCTGATTAGAAGTTTACAATCATATGGGGGATCTAGTACTGACTTGGATGACAGTTTTCCTTCTTCTTTTTTAGGGAGGAATATCATTCATAGCATTCAAAGGAGCCATTAAAATGTACTACAAACAACAGCAGTACATCAGGCAGGCCAGGAGAGTTATAAAGGACTATGATGAGGATATACCTTTGTTCTCACCCTTACCTCACCATAATTAGTAACTGTACATTCTGTGAAGACACCTGTGATATCTGAGTAAAAGCAATATGTAGATAATGAGGCTCACGATATAAACAGACATATACGATAATTTGTGTGGAAAAAAGGCATTGTGAGAAAGCAATAATATTATTATAAAGCACCTTTATTTAACCTATTATGATTTTACCCATAGGCTCTTAAACATGACAGGATAAATAAAGGAGGTTTGACTGGGGAAAGAGGGTGATTTAGTTGGTATAATAAAATGAGAATGTTTAAGAGAAAGACTCAGAATGAACTGTGAGTACTTCAAAGAGAACTCCTTACTTCCAAGAAAATTAAGATTTTTTCAACTGACACCAATAGAAAAAGACCATATTTTAAATGTTTATTAAGAAGTGTATTTTTACAGACTTTTTAAATGTGTGAAATCCCTCCCCCCCCCCCCCCCCCTTTCAGCTTTAGCAAACTAAATTTTTGAATGTGTTTTCTTTCAAAAAGGTCAGTTATACAGGAAGCATTACACCAGATATTTAAGAGTATTTAATCCTAAAGTAACATACATTCATTTCCAGACACAGTGTAAAACATACATAAACTAGCATAGTCAAAACTAAGTGCAATCTTCCTATTTAATTGATTAGTGCAAAATAAATTGGTGCACTTAAATCTAGTTTTAAAATGAAGTCTTAGTTTGAATACTAGAAGTATTTTAGCGTATAGATGAATTAGCAGACAAGAAGCAGAATAAGTACCATATACATGTATTTAGCTGAAATTGTTTTTAGCTTTGAATGTCAAGAAATTATTCTTGCTTCTTCACAAATGATGAAAGATATTAATTTAAAAGTGACTCTTTACTATGTAGTGTACTGTAATTTATCTAGACTATGGTAGATATGATGGCACAGATTATAGAACCAATCAGATTGCTTGATGCAGACAGACCTGTCATTGTTGTATACAGTGTATTCTGTGGGTAAAATTAAGAGCTTTTAGCAAAACTGTGTAGGGGAAGTTTGTAAAAACATATTTTAACATATATATGTGCATGTATTATCAATATCTGTCAGAAAATCCTTAAGTATAGCTTTGAAAGTTTAACCTATGTTATCATGGTATTATGTGGTAGATTTAAACAGAATAGAACCACTCACTAGTAGTGAATTAAATCTGCTGCCTCCACTCTTAGATTAAAAAATATATTTCCCCTTCCTATACAATGTATTGGAGCATACCTCACATTTATTTAAATCTCTTGTACATTTAATTATTAGTAAATCACATTGATGCAGAGATATATTTTCTAAATTTTGCTTTTAGTTTGCTATTGGCTTGACTTAATTGTTTTAAATATTATTTAGCTGGGGATTGTGACTATAATTTATAAGATCCATCATTCCTCATTCAGGTTTAACACTTGGTGATCCTGAATAAGTAGTAGACAAAATAGTACCACCCATATAATACCGGTAAACTAGAGTCTCAAACATGACTCAAGACTAAAGCATGGCTCTATTAAAAAATATTCAAATCAGCCTCAAAGAAGAAAACTATTTGACATTGGAATCAAATGTCAAATCAATAAAAGGATGCATGCCTCTAGCCTTTGTTTTTCATTTTTCAAGGAGAAGATCTTAATAGGATAATTTTAAAATGATGATCACACAACTGTTATGTATGAAAGGTGTGAACATAAGTTATTGTTATGCTTTTATTGTAACGTAATTGTAAAAGTTTTGTCAATGCATCTGACAAGGTTGTTATAAAAATTTTTGAAAGCTAAAAAAACTTCTTTTTTTTCACTCCATCATCAATAGGGTATTAAAGGAACATTTTAAATGTGCTATAAGGAAGAGAAGTTAGTGCACACACACTGGATAAAAGATTGATGGTGTCCTTACACAAAAAACCTTGGCCCAGAATTTATAAGATATTGGTGTCAGGTGCAGGAGCTAATGATTCATGTAATTTATGTAAAAATATGCTTAAAAAGTGTATAAATTGATTGTATACCCTAACTATTACACCTACACATTTAGCGGACATTAACCCCTTATTTTACCACATGGGAAGCTCATTCATTATGTTGAAAGATTAAATTATCTGTTTTAATTAGTTTCATAATTTTTGGCATTAAATCACATAATGATGATGCTTTCATATGAAAAAAATATATCTGTGATCCTTTTTTTATGATGGAGATGAGAATTTTGCACATATGGGTAATTAGTATTTAGACAACTAGGCCCTGCTTTGGTTTTTTTTGCTTCTGTGATAAAAGTTTCAGGAGCATATATTTTTGGTCTCTCTCTTGTTTCTGTAACTTAAACCTTGCCCATAATCATTAAAGTAAACAACTTAGAAACCTTGCATTTGGTCAGATGCTTGTTTATTGAAAGTGAATGTTGAGTCAGGCTATTTTAACTATAGCGAGAAGGATAAATAGTGTGAAATTATTATGTGATGTGTGACTTAAGTGATGGAGAAGCAAAAGAAGCTCAAACTTGGTACAAGGGTAACTTATGATCAGGGCATGTTATGACCCTGACTTAAGGTCATTTTGATAAGGTTAAGGTCACAAGGATAGGAAATGGAAAATTAATGTCTAGATCTGTATTTTTGAACATAAAAAGATGATACTTGACATGAAGGAACTGATATGATTTGATCATGACAGAGAAGGGAATCAAGGTGGCTGTCGTGTTCAGTTTTTTATAAGATCCATACATGTAACTCTTGGACGGAAAACCTTTAGATCATGTTTGACAGAAACTGCTTATGACTGGAGGATTAATTATGAATCTGACGTAAAGTCATTTGAAGGTCACAGAAAAATACAGTGTAAAACTAAGGATTTTGAGTTCTTGGATGCAATTTTTACCATGCACAGTTTTTAATATGCCCAATAGGAGATACTAGTTCAACCAGGTTTGTCCAAGATACATGTACTACCTTTGCAGATAAAAATAGACTACTAAAAACTTATTAGTAGTTACTAGTGTATCAAAGTCAATAATCACTTGATTTAGACAACTCTTTAAGAAGATTGTTAACATCAGTGTAACATTCAGGACAATTCTTTAGGTGGTCATTGTCATTAGAGTAAGATTTTCACTGAAATTCTCTCCAAACATTTTTTTTCTCTTAAAAAGATTGGGTGGCATAATGTGATTAACTTTGAATCTTGCAGTATCTCAATGGCTCCTTTTGTAAGTATTTTTCCAGTCTTGCACTGTTGATCAATTATATCTTTAAAATTATCAAACATAAGGAAATAAAACCTTTTAAATCTTATTGATAAATGATTCAGAAAGTTATATTTTTGTAAGTTTAATTAATAAAATAACAAAAAGAGGAGTTTAAAAGGCAACAAGTGACATGGTCAGCCATATCATCAAGATTTCATCAACTCTCAATTACTAATCTCTTAAATTTGCATATTTTGCTTTTGTTAATAAATGTTTACATATTTAATTATATATATTAACTTTTGAATGAAATATAAAACCAATAAAGAGTAGTTCTAAGAATAATACCAGGTCAAGTACATATTAGCAAATAACACTTGTAATGGTGGAGATAAAATCATTGATGCTTGATATGCTCCCATTGAAAAAAAAAATTGGAACAATCCAATAAATATAAAACATATTATAAAACCAACACATCTAACAAAGAATCAACCAAAAATGAAAAAATGGTAACAATATAAAAATACGAATTTTGTTTCAAAGTAGGATATTATATAGTATCAGTAGTTTTAACGTGTTCATATATAGATTAGAAAAACACACTGTTTACATCTTGTCTTATAACAAGAAAAATGTTCTTTACCGGGTATATCTTAGGGAAGAATTATATTTGAATCATACATTGTATGTAATATATATACAAATCATTATTATGTAAATGTATGTGAACCACAGGACACATGCACATTACCAAAGATAAAATGTTAAACTGACATTCCTTTCTTCCATCTGTTTATTGTAGACTGCATCAGCTAGTATTGACCAATGATTAGCTGTTTCAAGTTTTAAGAGGTCATACATTGATCATATAGTGTTAACTATGTTTTTCCAGGCTTTCTCATTGGTTGATTTGATTTGGCTATGTTTTTCCAGGCTTTCTTGTTGGCTGATATGATTTGGCTATGTTTTTCCAGGCTTACTCATTGGCTGAGCTCGAGATTCCCTCCAGGCTTTGGTCAGTGACATGGTTTCCAGTGGGGGACTATATCTGGAGTCCCTGTGTGCAGTGCCCCTCTGGGAATGAGGGACAGGACTATCTAGCACTGTCTTTGGGCTCTTTGGATTCCCATTGACTGTCCCTCTCTGTTTGTCTATAGAAGCTCTCCGACTTTTGGCCTGCTCTGTATCAGAATTTTGGGGTTTTGCTGTGCTCCTTCCCATCTTGGATCTCACTGCCTCTGTTTCACTTTTGTCAGGTACAGCCACACTAGCTCTGGAAGCTACTTTTGTCACACCCTTTGGACTGGGAGGAGGGTCCTCTGTAGGAGTTGGAGGTAGATCTACTGAAGGAGTACCTCTGTTGGAGCCATAAAACTGTGAACCCCATGGTGTGCCTCCTAGAGCTGGATTGTTGAGAGAACCAGCAGGAGAGATGTGGCCCTTTTGCTGTGGTGTCATATGCTCCTGGGGTTGTGGGGATTTTTCGGTCTGATGAGAATATATTGATGCCTTTATGGAGGAATGTGACCGATTATTATCCATGGCCTGGGCGACCCCTTTGGAGACAGTTCTTTCATTTTCTCCTTGAACCACTGCTGGCCAGACAACAAAGTCCATTTTGTCTCCTGCCACAGTGTAATAACTAAACAGCTTGGTGTCAAACGTTGACTTTCGTATGACCTTGGTGATAAGGTGCAGCTGAGGTGACTGTATACACATGTACCATGTGACTTCCACACATTTCTGTGTATATCTGACCACCACCGGCTCATTTACATACTGCACATCCAGGAATTCAGGCAGGACTTCTTTAAGGAAAGTCTGTAAGAAATTATGTTTTAGTTAGTTCTCCTTCTTTATTTCTCAGTAGAATTATTGTACATTGTTCATTACTTGACACCATTTTTAATACAAAGAAGACAAACTCAACTCTCACTCTATTCATAAGGTTGTTTATTTTTTCCCATATCCTTACCTTACTCATGTTAATGATGTTCTAGTACTAAGTTCTGTAATGTCAGATCCTTATTTTCTGTAGGATAGGGATACATTGGGGGGGGGGGGGCTATGTTTTGTGTTGCTACACACTGTGCTGTCCTGTAGGATAGGAACACATTCTGCTGAGGAGACCACATTTCTGTATTGATGCACATTATACCATACTTACCTCCTGTTGGATAAGGATATAAGAGGAAGTCTTGTATAGGATTGAAATACACTCTGAGGAGGTCAACTTTCAGTATTGCTGTACACTGTATCAGATACTTACCTCCTGTAGGATAGGGATAAACTCTGATGAGGCCATGTCTCTGTATTGTTGTACACTGTACCAGATACTTACCTCCTGTAGGATAGGGATAAACTCTGATGAGGTCATGTCTCTGTATTGTTGTACACTGTACCAGATACTTACCTCCTGTAGGATAGGGATAAACTCTGATGAGGTCATGTCTCTGTATTGTTGTACACTGTACCAGATACTTACCTCCTGTAGGATAGGGATAAACTCTGATGAGGTCATGTCTCTGTATTGTTGTACACTGTACCAGATACTTACCTCCTGTAGGATAGGGATACATTCTGTTGAGGCCATGTCTCTCTATTTTTGTACACTGTACCAGATACTTACCTCCTGTAGGATAGGGATACACTCTGTTGAGGCCATGTCTCGGTATTGCTTGGCCAGACTACTGATGGAAGAAGAGGTTTTCGATCGAGGAGTAACTGAAAACTCCAGTCTCTTGTCTTCTGTCCACTAAAACATAAAATGTAGTTGCTTTTGCATTCAATTATTTTCAAGGAGGCTATTTTCTGACTTAAATTCTTTTTTCTGCATACAGTGTTCATTTTTGTGTAAATTACAAAATATAATATCCTTACGGTTGAAAGGGGGCAGTAAATTTCTCCCTCTACATTCTTTATCTGAGCATCAGAGATGTCTTTACAAAACTCGTAGGCTGCCTGATCAGGGAAGTAAAGTAAAAAACATTTCATTTCAGTCCATTAATATTATCATTTAATTAAGTGTTTGCTTTTTATTCTTTTTACAAATAATCCTTTTGATCTTTCATACAGAATTATGCACAGTTTTTATCCTTTAAGAGTTAGTGCATAAGATATTAATGATAATTCAACACTGTAACATGTATACATGATTCCTTTTGAAATAAATTTTTGAATTGGGTCATTTTTAGTTTGAGTGATCCTACCCTGAGTATCCTCTGCAGAATGTCCAATACTTTGTCCTCTCTTTGGTTAAGGTTGTTGTCCATGAACTCGTAAGCCTGTAGCCATTGCTCCGCAAAAAGTCTGTTATAAATCTCACTGATCTGAAGAAGTGTATCTCCTCCCATGTTTGAGTTACTTCCCCTGTAATCATAGTGTTTAAATTAAAATGAGTTTTTGAGAATGAGGATGAAAGACAAGAAAATTAAAAATGACAGAGAGAATCAACACATACTTCTGCAGGGTCTGTAATCTCTGAATCTTGTCCTCCAAATCTTGACACATGCTAATCTTGAGCTGAAGTTCTTGTCGGAGTCTGGTAATCTCATTTTCCGATTCAATCAGTTTTGTCTGTCGCTGTATTGGGAGGTCCTTTTTACAGTTAGGACATTTCATGCCCTCAGCTGATGCCCTGCCCTGCTCCCCTCGGACAGCTACTTCCTGTCACATGATCATTTCAAAATAAGAAATTTTTAATTTAAGAAATTATTATTTAAGTTGTGGAGAAACAATTATTTTTTTTATTGTTAAACAAACAAATGAAGTTATATATGATACAGCTCTAAATGTCTTTCATGAAGATTTTATCAAATTGTCAAGAGCATACAGTGATGGTCAATTTTTGAAAAGAGACAAATATGTTATTGTGGAGAAAAAATTTTAGTTATTTTTTAAACATCTAAATTTGGTAGGTCATTAATACCTTGAAGGCATTATTCAAGAATAACATGATTTTTTCCCCACAAATCTCTTATCCCAAATTGGCCATTACTATATACATGTAGTAGGAAAGGAGAAATGCATGAAGAAAATATATTGCATGGCTGGACCAAGAATCAAACCAGGGACCCCTGCAATAAAATACTAGTCAGATGCTCTAACACTGCATTAAAATACTAGTCATATGCTCTAACCACTGAGCTATCCAGGCCCATGTCCAAGGTCCATAAAGTCCAAACTTCCACATTCCTCCCTCCTTAAATGGTCTTCGACCTTGAAGACACAAGTTCTAGGGCCCTGCCAGGAATTACTAATTTACACATAACATAACCTGAACATAGCCCGCCACACTGGCCACCAAATGTAGTAGGAAAGGAGAAATGCATGAAGAAAACATATGGGTGGACCGGGAATCAAACCTGGGACCCCTGTATTACTAATCAGGTGCTCTAACCACTGAGCTATCCAGGCCGATGTCCACAGTCCATAAAGCCCGAACTTCCACATTCCTCCCTCCTTAAACTGTCTTCGACCTTTAAGACACATTAGTTCTAGAGCCCTGCCAGGAATTACTTATTTACACATAACATAACCTGAACATGGCCCCCCACACTGGCCACCAAATGTAGTAGGAAAGGAGAAATGCATGAAGAAAACATATGGGTGGACCGGGAATCAAACCTGGGACCCCTGTATTACTAGTCAGGTGCTTTAACCACTGAGCTATCCAGGCCGATGTCCACTGTCTGTAAAGCCCGAACTTCCACATTCCTCCCTCCTTACACTGTCTTTGCCCTCAAAGACACAAGTTCTAGGGCCCTGTCAGGAATTACTAATTTACACATTACATAACCTGAACATTGCCCCCCACACTGGCCACCAAATGTAGTAGGAAAGGAGAAATGCATGAAGAAAACATAAATGTATGGCTGGACCGGGAATCAAACCCAGGACCCCTGCATTACAGTACTAGTCAGATGCTCTAACCACTGAGCTATCCAGGCCAATACCCATGGTCCATAAAGCCCGAAGTTTGAGGTAAAATACTTAAGGAATCAGCAGTTGGGACTTCAAAATGACTTCGACATATCCATGGTATTCGAGATAACCGTGTTCGAGATACCGAAGTTCAATTGTATTTCCAATCCAGGAGAGTTATAGTCTAGATATGGTTTTGTGACACAAAGACATATATAGGTGACTTAAGACAGACAAACTTATGCCAAAACAATACGTTTCCCCCCTTCAGGTCAGACACATAAATATGAAAGATATTAAAATTTGTTGCATTTACATAAAAATTATGTATTAGTGTTGAACTGAATGATACACCTTATCCAAATATATTTTCTATCAAAAGTTTCATCAGAAAACTTGTCTCACAATTTTTTGATCTTGAGGAACATATAGTTTTTTAAAATGCTTCATTTGCAACCACACATTGTTGCAAATATACTAAGAGTGGATAGTTAAGCTCCTTGTATTGGTGTATTGATTATTCAGAAATCCTTTCTAAAGGTAAAATATTTCGTTGTCCTGAGCACCTCACACTTGTTTAATCCAATAAATCATCAAATTGATTTCATACAGACTTACAGCTTAAGGCCAGATAGGTTATCATATGTTTTATTTTCAGTATTCCTCTAATGCACAGTTCTTGTTTCCTTTACTTTGCATGTGGACGCCTTACCCTTATTCTGTCATATTCCTGCTTTGCCTGTTGAATCAGGGTATTTGTTATTGGTGTGTTCTGGGTCAGGGCAGTGAACAGCTCATCAAGCTTCTGACTCATGAGTCCAGACATATCTAATAATAAAATATATAAAAACTCACAAATCCTGTCCAAAACCATATTCTATGATTTGAGCAACTGTTACAATCTGCACTACCTGATGAAGCTTGCAGATAGATATGATTAATAATGGCCCTGTGGTTCCTGCATCACCAGAAACCCACTTTTGATTACACTTCAGTTCCTCTCCCCGTCATGAAGCATAATCAACCGTGCATGGGTTTCCGATGATGCTGTTCTTGAGTAGAAGACATTAAACTTGGAGCCCTATTTAGTTCCCCCCTACTCCCAGGGTAGCTCTCACATAAACTATTCAACTCTTAATCATTAAGGATTGAAGCATTAACATAGTTTTGTCTTTTCTACTCCAGTGGTTTTGGTGAGCTAAAATTCTAGCTCAGCTGGAGTCTTGATCAGTCATATTAAAGAAATTAAAAATACAGTTGAACTTTGGTATCTCGAACACTGATATCTGGAATACCGGTACCATGGATATGTCAAAGTGATTTGGAAGTCCCAACCTCTTATTCATTAAGTATTTTACCCTGAATATCTTGAATCCTTGGATATCTTGAATTTTTTTCTCGGTCCCATCAAGTTCGAGATAACGAGGTTTGACTGTAGCATCCTGATAATGGTATCTTATTTAAATTAAGCTATTTCAGGGAATTTATATTGCCCTCTTAAGTACAAAATAAGTGGAAGACCTAACAAAAATGCAGATGGAGGAAGAAAACAAGGTTTGGCCTTGACCTTTCAACTTTTGGTCCCCAAAATCAGACTTAATGGTCTTTTGCAAGTTAAAGTCATCACCTTGTTTCATTGCAAAAGCTAAAAAGAACTTATAATAATGTTATCATCTGGAAATTACTTAACACTTACTTAATGTAATATATGATTTTCTGACCTTGAACTTTGACATTTGACCTAAACTTTTTTATATGCCGAGTTATGATATAAAATTTCATTGCAAAGGGTAAAAGACTTTTTGAGATTTCTTCTGGAAAATAAGTTTACACACAGAAAGACTGGGGGACAGAATCTGTTGGTGAAAGTAGGGAACCAAAAGATGGTGATTGTGACTTCACTTGATTCAAGGTCAAGTCACTTAAAAAATATAAATAATGATTCATAAGTCCTGACAAATCTACAAAAAATCCCATTGTACTAAATTATGGACAGTAAACTCAACAAGAAATATTTATGATGCTTTAAATCAGTAATGATTCAAAAATTGACATGCTATTTAGGTCCAGATGAAACCTGAATATTTACAAAAAATGAATTAATATTTTAATTTCATTCCTCTTTAGAAATTCCTTGGCAGGGGAGAATTAAATGTGGGATGATTGATAGGGAAAATTCTGCAAATAACGCAAAATGAATCAATTTTCTTTTTATGAATTCTAAAAACTTGAACATTTAATTTGACATATTTTTCTATAAGTTTAGAATCTGACAATACAGTACAAATTATATGTTCAATGTTTCGTGAATTCTACATATACCGGTAATTTTATTATTAACCCATCAGAAACAGAATAATATCTTTTTAATTATCTAAAATCTGATACCTACCTGAACATTTATAATATTTTCTTATCAAATGAGGAGAAGGGTAAATTGGGTAAATTTTTATACAAAGCTACAGCTCTTTGAAAATCCAATTTGTAATTATTATTTGATATCTATGTCTTTGTTTTGTATATCATATGCAGTTGGAAAAATATATGCTTTATTTTGTATGCTCTATATTGTGTATAAAATCTGATGAGCCTAAAAAGGAGGAGAAATAGTATTTTGATTTGTTGTGTATATGTAAATGTGTAAAAGCAAAAGCACCCAGAACATCCATAATTTTAATTGCAAGATCTTTCTCTGAATTCAATTTTGTGAAATTCAAAATGGAAAAAAACATATTCTTGTTCAACTGGGGAATCCTGAAAGATATAAAGATCAAATTGTAACTTTGTCAATTGAAATACACAGAGAATTGTGTACAGTATTTATGATAATTATTGATTTTTAAAGTCATGCATATATGGCATATTTTTTATTAGTTCAGACTAACTAAAATTAAAATGATCTTTCTATTTGTTTTATTACTTTATATAAAGATAGGACATTCCTGTAAATTACACAATCTAAATCAATCTCATTTCAAAGATATTAGAAATTTAAAAAAATAACCGATTTATTTACTGAGTCCGCAATTAAATAACGGGCACAGTTTAAAGTCAATTTGACTATGGAAACATGAGGTTATTCAAGTTCAAAATCGGTGAAAATTTTAATTTGAACGTAAATAACATGCATCATGTTTATCTACACTCAATCTCATGTTCCCTTATTTTTTTAGCTCAGATATGCTATTATATAGCTTTAAAAAATCTTGTTTTCTGATATACTAATATTTGAAAAAAATATAGTTTAATTTGCACTCTCAATGAATAATAATGAACAATAAAGTATAACTGAGGTAAAATGCTGTGGAATTAAACATAAAAATTACATAAAAATAAGCAACTTACATTAAAATAAGCAACTGATAGCCATCTTTTTCATGAATTATCCAATATATGGACTTACCTGCCATAAAATCAGATACCTGAACACAGTGATAATCTATTTAAATTTGCAGATAAACACAATAATAATATTTATCGAAGTACCGGTAGCATATTTTACCTGTTAACAGATACAGTTAAATCTCTGCTGAATTTGCCATCATTCTAACATCTTTGTTCCAATTTAAGTCTGTGCAGAACTGTGGCTTATTTCAAATGTATTTAACAAACTTGTCCCCATGAAATGATGTAAAAAGAGTTTGTTTATGTGTGCTTTGGCTGAGAAACATTCCAATCTACGATGAAAACCTCCAGTGTGGTTTCAAAGTTGTTTAAATCCTGGTATCAGAGGCATTAATAGAAAATGCATTTACTCATGAAATCCCACATGTGGTGGCAATACTAAATATGAATAGAGAATCTCAGGTAGACTTTTAGTTCCCTTTGACCTGTTTTAAAGTTCGATATTGAATGTTGTAAATATAAATAGGGGGTGTTTTTAGAAAATTAGTGAAAAGAATAAAGACCATAACAAATACAAAGAATTGAGAGACGTGACGAATCTATCAATGCTTCAATGACTGGTGTATAAATATCAATTTACTCAAAGATATTAAAATTCTCAATTCTTTTGTGGCATATATTAAAATATCTTAATTGTTTGAGTACACAATTCTGATTCTCCTTAATTTTATATATTCTATTTATAATGTAATTCTACGAAATGATGTAATACCAGTTTTTCATACCCATCAAGATTTGCCAACATTAGTTGCCCTCCTTTAAATACTAAGATTCCATTTCATTAATAATCTTGTACTTGAGACATGTAAGTTTATATTCTTTAAATTACATTAATGCAAGTTTGTCTGGCAGCAGAAATACGTACAATCTCACGCCTAGATAAACAGTTAGTATTTTACACTAATGGATATCTCATCCTTTCTTTTTTTTTTTTTTTTATTCATAGGGGATTTGCTTTAATTATAATTGAAATGCAAACAATTTCAGCATGCCTTGCAGAGCAAAATTTGTCAGAAATGGCCAATTTTTAAGTTGACAATTTTTATGAATGTCATCCCAGTGAGAGTTACCTCGCTTATCAGAGGGTCAATGAACCTTAACATGCATTTATGTCAAGACTGCAACTTTGTCATATTGAAGTTAATGAACTCTAACATATCCTCTCAAAAGTCCATATAAAGATGCATACACATAGGTAACAGACATAAAAGCAAATGATCTCTGTTAAAAACTGTTATTTTATTCCAACAAACATTTAAGGCACTTTCAACAAATTCATGAAAACTTGACACAAAATGGAAAGAGATCACAGAACTTTTTTCCCAATTCCTGAAGATGAGAAATTTAATTCTCATCACAGCATAAACTAAAGACAATTTCTAAGAATTGTAAATTCACTGTTTTTAAAGATCTTGACTACAGTTTCAGACAATATTTGGATGAAAGTTAAGTCAGAACTTTCCCCCCAAGAATCAATAGTACACAAGTTATTGATATCCGTGCTACACAATTAAATGGATGGTTCAAGCTCTTCAGGAAAAAAGTATTATTTATACATGAACACATTAAATGTCAGCTATACAATGTAGCTTACCACTCAATATACCTATAGTGTAAAACAAAATACTGAACATATATACAGAGGAATAGCTGAAGACAAATTAAGTTTTTACAATGTCCGTCCTGGCTTCCAAGATGGGAGTTTGAGTGGGATTTTAAATATGATTATTGAGTGTAAGCTTCAAGGTTTAAAAAAAATCTTCAAAAACATATACACAGACTGTGCTAGTTTTGACACTTTAAATATTGTAACACTGATCAACTGACAAGGCAAACAATTTATAATGAAAGAAGCAAAAATAAAAAAGGAAATATCTCAATATACTGGGTTTGTGAACATAGAATCTAATATTGAATGAAAAAGATTCACTTATAATATTTGATCAGGCAAGGACATTGCTACAGCCATTCAGAAGAAATTTAAGGCAAACAGAATTGAAAAGAATTCTTCAATGAAATGTATATACATGTATAGTGATATTGATAATTTATCAAAACATATATACGTATCAGATGTCCTGCTTTTAATTCCTGGCTTTTGTGAGGTTTAAGAGTATATACTGAATGACATAAGATATTCTGTCCTATATATAAATAAAAATTAACACTCTTCAACAAATGTTACAATGATTTCATTCAAGTTGCTGCAATTTAACTGAAGTTGGCCTTCAAGCTTTCATTTCAAAATACTTGAATTCATTTCATTTATGCACTTTCTTAATAAAGTTACTAGTAAAATGTGAAAAAAAGAGAAAAATGAACAATGAGTGAAATGATGATACAAAATATATCTACTTCAGAATCTGTAAAATCAATGTATCAAAATATGGAACATGAACACAGGTAAAAATGGCACCAAATCTCAAGGGAGGCTACCCCATCCTAGCACTGTGGGAAACCAATATGGCACTATGGAATGTAACATCGGAAATCCATCTGCAGTATAAAAGAGGATTATTTAAAATGAGCAAATGCTATGGTCAGATCAAGCTTGTTACGTAATTTTACCTAAAGCATGTTTTCATTGGTAATATTCTCTATAGCAAAAACAATTTAAATCATCTGTCAGATAAAAAAATAAATTCCATTAATAGTGTCCAAAGTAATCTAGAGGTATATCCCCATTCCACACACATAACATGAAATAAAACCCTGGACAACTGAGTTTACAAGACTATACCTCTAATGATACTCTGTGGCACTCATCTACCTGTACTTATAACTATAAACATCTGATGACTCAGCTTTTCGTTTATCATTAATTCAAACGTTTATCATTATTTCTGTGTTTATTATCAAATCTTTAATTATTTCATTGTTGATCATTAGTCCAGTGTTAATTATTACCTTCTGTCAGGAGCCTCTACACATGGAGAGCTGCGGTTTACTTTCTGGGTATATCATAAGCTGGGAGTTAACATAGGTTGTGGGGTAACAATGAGCACTGCCGTAGTAACCTGCAGTATTGTCTGAGGGGTAGTGATTGGTAACCATGGTAAACTGGGGAACCACAGCAGTCATACATTGGGAAAACTGCCTGTCTTTCTTCTGGAATCTGAAAAATTAAGAATTACAAGGTTATCTAACAGATCCACTGCACAGAACCCACACGTGCTACAGAGAAAACACATCGAACACAACATTCAGTGATGTTGCAAAAGCAGAAAATCTTGAGCAAAGAAATCTTTGAAAGTTTAGAAATAACAGTTTTCTTATTTTGCAATTACTGTAAATGATAAACTGATCACACTAGTCAAACTGATCAAATGAAATTCTCTTAAAAGTGGTTAGTACACCCTCTGGGTTTTACAAAACCCTAATTGTTTCACTGACCTGAGCATGACATTTACACAGGGTAACAGTTCCTCCAGGAAATAGTCAGTCATCAGCTGAAGCTGCTGAGGCCATGTCGGTGTTAGTCGCAGTGAAATACGTGATGCTGCAATACAACTGGCCGCTTTCAAAGAGGGTGCATAATCCCGAAAAACATGGTCTGTTTAAAGATAAAATAATAAAATTCAAGGTCTGCACATTTTCATTACCAGTAAATGTACAAATGTTATTTTGAAGTGCAATGTACATTTTTTAACAGAAAATACAAAATATCACCAATTGAAAATATATATATTTACATGAATTGTACAAACAAAAAAACAATTACATTTGTTATAATTATACACTTCCCTCCTCCAGGAGTGTATTTGCTTATTTATATAGAATTGATAGACCTCTCTTGAATAATTCAAACCTTGTAAGGAGATCTCCATGAAGTACTTTGTGTGTCTCTCCAGGCATTCTTTCACAGCAGTCTTGGATGAAAGAGGAAGTCCATCAATTAGGTCACAGTCATCCACCGCAACCACAAGAAAATATGGCACAAACTGAGCAACTGTGGGGATGGATAGTGACCAATCAAAAAAGTTTAGCACCGTGATCTCCATGTTCATCATCTCAGGGGCCGAGTAGCCAACATCTAGGAGACTGTGAGAGGGTAACAACTGATTTAGACTGCTCAGTCTCAGAGTTCTGTCGCAATGCTCCTCAAACTTTACTGTCAAATATAAGATGGTTTTCTTTCCATCATCAAATTATTACATTAAGAGTATTAATAAAATGAGTCAGATCAAATATTGTATTTTGAAAATTTTTAAGACTACTTTAAAAGACAGCATACATTTTTGAGAAATGATGAATTACTAAATATCTTGGTGACTGCATAAATTAAGAATTAATATCTCCATGACTGAACAGGGTATCTTTCCCTTATAGCATACTTAGTATTGATGCTGTTAAATATTTGAGATACCCTACCTGAGATGGATAAACAAGCCATTGCCAAGAGATACAGATGACTTTGGTCCACCTCCAGTTTATCCATGAAGAAGTCTAGCAAGTGAATAGCTAAATGCTGTGAGGTAGAACCCAGATAAAATGTCTCCACCACAATGGCAAGCCAGTCCACAAGGTGGCGTCTGAACCACATCTGTGGGGAGTGTCCATGGTATGGAGGCAAGTTTTGTTCCTTTGTGCGCAAAGTCTCATAAATGTCTCCAGAGATCTTGTTTTTCCACCACTCTACTTCCATCATCTTTTACATTTCTGATAAGTATGTCTTCATATCCCAGTTCTTCAGTATTCTAAATCAATGTGGAGCATCTGTTATATCAAAGACACAGTTGGTGAGTTAATGTCACTAAAAAAAATAAATAAATCCTTCCTGTATTAAACAATTGAATTCCACTGTATTTGTAAGGAAGTTGCAGTTGATAAAAATCCTTTCCTAAAACACAATTTCAGACAAAGAACAACATGACAAGAACTGAATACAGTGTCAGTTCCTTCAGGAGTGTAGACCATTCTTTATAGCTTCAATATTTGTTGAAATAAGCCGCTTAAAATTATCAGTGTTTGTATAAAAGCTGCCAGATCATCCAGATTTTTAGTAACCTGTCCAATGACTGCCAACACAAGCAATCTGTCTTTGCTAATTAACTCAAAGTCTGTGAAAACCAGGAGATGACCAACAATTAGATCACTGCTGTAAAAACATCCTGGAGTGGTTAAGTAATTGAACTTCAATAGCCTTTGAAATCAGCATTAATTAAATCTAGTTTTATTTCTTACTGTCCAGCTGGGGGCACAATACTGGGGTCTAATCTCTTAAATGATTTTCACACTTCAGAGTAAGCAGAGTAAATTTGTTACAAATAAATAAATAAAATAAAACAAAAAATAAATAAATTACATGTATCCTCTGTTACATCGCCCCTTTTACTTGAACATTACATGTATTATGAATTTATAAGTCCACTTTAAAAATAAATTAAAAATTTTGCAATAAATTTCTCAAACAACTTACTCAAGCCATATATATAAGATAAATATTTTGATGAATAGTAAATACTGAAAATAAAATTGTTTTTAACTTACTGATCTTGAAAATCACAAAATTTCATTTATTTACACATTTGGTGAATACTAAATGTTAACCTTGTCTTTTGAAGTGAATAAATAATTAATGGTTTATACATGATATAAGCCTTCAGAAATATGACCACTGAAACATTTCCTCTTTTTTTATCTGAAGTTTGTAATTCATTCTGACCTGCTCGATTTCTACGGCTTCAGGGTGATGTCAAAACAAATTAGTTTCCACGGGCTATATTTTACTTACTGTGAACGAGATGAAGAGAGACGCTTTATTTATCGTGTACCTAAACATGTAAAGATTATCCCCGATAAAAAGTTTTATTGATGGTCAGTTAACACGTGGGGCTTGTAATCCATAGACTGTCACAGACACCTTTATGTCCAATCAATAACCCGCTCTCCGACCGACAAAGGCAGGAAACAGACGTAGTGCTTCTGTTCAGCTGTTCAATGGGTAGATCGTCTTTTATCAATATTTTATAAAATCATATCATATGTAATTAACATTACGATAATGATTTTTTTAACACCACTGAGAACTTTCGATCAATACCCCCCCCCCCCCCAGAACAGTTCAAAAGCCTGTAACTGTAAGGGCAATAGAAAAATAAATATAATATCCCTGTCAATAAGTTAGTAGGTCTATTAACTATTAACATTTAAAATAAAAATATATCTCAACTTACTTCTTCGCATCTTTCTCTATTTAGAGCTGGCGCTGAAACCACATTTACCGAGCATCCAAACGCTCACATCATCTTAGTCTAGTTCCCTCCCTCGACACGGCTAAAGAGGAGTAACTCTAGCCAAAAGGGTGTTTGGTTGCGTGTTGCCTTTTGATATCACGTATTTTTTTTTTTTTTTTTGTGCTGAAATCTGCAAACGATAGTATTGTTCTGCCGCCTATATCTTAATCAATTTTCCAAATTTGACATATTTGAACAAATTTCAGATTTACACGTATGTAGATGATTTATAAATGAATTTTCACAAAACATAACTTATTTGGATATAAACAGAGAGATAAAATTTGGGAAAATCTTTGTTTTCACTATAGAAATCAAAGGAAAATACCCCCCCCCCGCCCCCCATATGTGAAAGAAATTCCTTTTTTACGGGTATTTCACAGCAAAATTGTTCATTTAATTCCAATTTTCAAATGAGATTACAACAACAACAAAAAAGGTATGTTATCAATCTAATATGTTTCATTTTACGCAAGTTAAACATACGGAAAATTTTAGGGGTCATTTATCCATATGCTTGAGTATTTTTAAAATCTGGTGATGTTTTAAAGCCCGATTTCTCTACAACTCCTTTACAAAGAGTTGCTGTAATTTAGAGCAGTTAACTATTTGACACTGGTATTAAAATTATTATTAATCTTTTACTATTTTTGTATTCAAAAATTTTTTCTGGATAAATTAAATATTACCATTCATATTGAATAAAATGTATGTGCGAATCGAGAGCTAATGTGCGTAGTTCTTTGTAATCTTTGTCGTGAAATGAAAATGAAATATATGGAGATAACGAACAGTACACGTCAATTAAATAATCTTTGTCATGTGATGACATTTAAACATTTTTACCCCATGATTTATGCAGAAAAAGAAACATGATTAGAACAACTAGTAAAACTGCAAGGTGGATTGAAGACAATTTTACTGATATGATGATATCAACTCTGTGCTTAGAGAAAATGTTGGTGCACTACTTGACTGTTTACAACATGATTTTGATAGTTTAGAAAATGTAAACAATTGTGTTGAAAGTTTCAGTCATACTGTTTGTGACTTAATTTTACCTTATTGTAAAGTTTATAGAAGGTAGAGATTTTTATATAAGTCATAAGGTCAGAAGATAACAAACCATGGTTCAATGATAGTTGTAAAGTTAAGTATTCTGAGTACAAGTCAGTATTACATCAATTTAATTTATGTAAATCGAATGAAAATAGAATTAGGCTCTTGGATATAAAATCAGCCTATAAGAGATTCACGCGAAAGTGTAAACATGAGTATGAGAGGTATCAGGGGAGCAATATAGAGTATTTAAGAAAACATAATCCTAAAAAATTCTTTAAACTTTTTGATAAAAAAAGAAACAAATCAGAATCAAGTTTATCTGCAGAAGACTTTTTCGAACATTTTAAAAATTTGTATAAACAAGATTCAGTAACAGATATAGAAATAGAACCCACTCAAATTAATACGCAGGAACGGTTATACGAGGAATTAGATTTTCAAATAACTGATAATGAAGTAAATAAAGCTATCAGTAGATTAAAAAATAATAAGAGTAATGCAGAAGACTGTATAATTAATGAATTTTTTATTAATTGTAAAGATATAATGATACCCATTATATGTAAATTATTTAACAAAATTTTTAATTCTGGTCATTATCCTGAGAGTTGGTCAACAGGATGTATTGTGCCCATTTCTAAGAAAGGTGACAAAAAGACCCTAATAATTACAGAGGTATCACATTAGTTAGTTGTTTAGCTAAGCTATTTACAAGTATACTAAATCAAAGATTGTTAGAGTGGGACAAAGAATACAATATAACGACAGATGCACAATTTGGTTTTAAACACAATGCCAGTACTATTGATGCAATTTTTGTTCTACAAACTCTGGTAAATAAGATGCTTAGAAATAGAAAAAGATTGTACTGTTGTTTTGTTGACTATAAAAAAGCTTTTGATTATGTCAATAGATCTAGTCTGTGGATAAAGCTTAAATCATATGGCATAGATGGAAAATTGATGTGCATGATTAAATCACTTTATCAGAATGTGAAAGCATGTATAAAATATAATGGGGCATTATCAGAGTATTTCAACCGGTGTATTACAAGGTGAAATTTTGTCACCATTATTGTTTTCAATGTATGTTAATGATTTTGAAAGCCATTTTATATCTACAAATTGTCCATCAATAGAACTTCAAATGATTAATTTATTTTTGCTTATGTATGCTGATGACACAGTATTAATGTCAGAAACGCCAGATGGTTTACAAAATATGTTAGATTCATTGTATTCATATACAGAAGAGTGGAGTTTAACTGTAAATGTTGAGAAAGCAAAAATATTAGTCTTTAGAAACAATGGACGTATTAGAACTAATGAACACTGGGCATATGGTGGGAATACTGTAGAAGTAGTTAATGAATTTAATTACCTTGGTATGTTGTTTAATTTTAATGGTAAATTTTCAAAAACACAACAACATTTTGCATCACAGGGAAGAAAAGCCATGTATAGTGTCCTAAATAGAATGAAAGATTTAAATTTTAATGTTAAAACACAATTAGATATGTTTGAGACTTATATTAGCCCTGTGCTGTGTTATGCATCTGAAATTTGGGGATGGCACAAAGCTAAAGATGTAGAAAAAGTACACCTTTCATTTTGTAAAAGAGTACTTAAGGTTAGACAGAGTACATATAACAGTATGGTATATTGTGAACTAGGTAAATTTCCTCTTGAACTGGTCAGGAAAAAGAAAATCCTTAAATACTGGTTAAAATTAAAAAATAGTTTTATTTGCATTCTTCAAGCATGTCTCCAAGAAAGGATAGAAAATAATGATGACTGGATTGCCAATATTAAAAATGAATTTCTTAGGTTAGGCTTAGCAGAACTGTTTGATAGAAATTGTGTAAACAGTAACACACTTGATATTTTACAGCAGAGATTATGTGATGAATATATCCAAAACATTATGTCAGATTTATGTAAATCACCAAAATGTCTCATTTATCAACACCTTGTTGATAATTTTATCCTTCAATCTTACTTATGTAAACCAATACATTTAAAATATAGAGTATCAATTACCAGATTAAGACTATCTGCTCATAACTTAATGATTGAACAAGGAAGATATAATAAAACTGTGAGAAATAATAGAACATGTAATCTTTGCCAATCAGGTGACATAGAAGATGAATTCCATTTTGTGTTAAAATGTCCTCATTATAATACATTAAGACAAAACTACATTAAAAGCTACTACTCCCGAAGACCAAGTGTCTTCAAATTGGTACAGTTACTTAGTACACAGAATGTAAAAGAATTATGTAATCTAGGAAAATTTTTGCAAATAGCGAGTGCAACAAGAATAGTGTATTTAACTAATTTATAAATGGTTTAAAATATTATATGTATTGTACATGTTGGAAGTTAATATCATCAATATATGTATTAAAATGTATGATTGTAAATACTGTCTATGAGATGTATGTCTCTTGACTTTAATAAACTGAAACTAGTTTTTCTGATCTCATGAATAGTCGGGATATCAACTTTATCATAGGGTACCGGAAAAATGTTCACAGACAACGAAGTATTACAAACATCACTGAACAACACTACTTATATCTTGGTCTAATATACTGTAAAGAATACTTGAACTTCAATTTTATTTACTCAAAACCATGTAAATGGTACATAGGTGCATAAACATATAAAACATATATACATATAGTATAGTGGGCCAAGCAAAAGGTGAGATTAATTAAGCTAGCTAGGGCGAACAGACCATATACTATTAATTTTAGTAATAAATGTACATAATTTTTTCAAAGAATCAACATCATTTTGGCACATGACTTCACAAAACTTCATAGTGTTTGGCTTATAACAAAATTTTTGGTTCAAATTTTTTTTCCTCGGATGGTTTAAAGCACTACATTCTAAAATATATTATATTCATCTCCTATCTGATTACTATCGCATTAGCTACAAAATCTTTCATTTCTTTGAGTACCATTCCATCTACCTGTTTCAATTGGAAGGTGGGGGTTTGTGGTTCTAAATTTGACTAAAGTTTTTCTTAATTTACATGATAGCAGTGTTAAATATTGAGTGAGTGATGATTGTTTCATACACTAAAGATTTCTTTTTATATTTTGTTTCACATTTATAACTAACTTGATAATACAATGTGGAGTAGGGTAGTCGGTCTGTCTTCTTCCAGTGTTCATATTACAAGTTACTGTTCTATATAACTATATATAGAATATTGTGCAAATAAATGAGTAATTTTTGCGTTTTAATGTGATAAGTCGCACGTTTATTCCTTAAGGAAGTGTTTCAACAAAATGGAGCAAAGGTTCGAGAAGGTCAATTTCGCCTATTTATGTGTGTGCATGCTATTATATGCATGTACATGAGCTAGTACTTTCAATGTTAATGAGATTGAAATATATGTTTATATTCTATAGCTCATAAATATTGCTTCAACCGTTAAAATAAAAAAAAATGCAATTTTTTCACTCTTTACAAGGCCGTCGCCAATGGGGATACGTTGGGTGCACCCTCCCTTTAAAAAACACTCAAATAATATCCTCTTTTGAAACAAAATTAATTTATTATTCATCTGTTTAAAGTAATGTTGTTTGACTTTGTTTATTTAGTATTTGAAAGAATGAATTCAAGAATTCACCAAAACCAACCAAAATGTACCATTTTATATATAAAAAAAAATCTGGCTCAGAGGAGGGGATACCGGGAGGGGGTACCCCAGGCAGACCTTCTCCCGCACCACCCTCTCCAGATACAGGGGATGGCCCTGCTTCGTTAACTGACAGTTCTGTGAACAAATTTATTAGCTTATTTTGAATACAAATTTATCATTTAAACTTTTCGTCATACTTACTTCTTGTTGCTGAAATTCTTCAAAGATTTGAAAGTTGTTTTCCATGCTCGAAAAATCTCCAACTGAGGCATGACTGTTGATATATTTTAATCCCAATAAAATGCATTAAGCCTAGTATATAATAATTAAAAACCCAATGTAGTTCAATTATAATCGTGACTTAAGTAATTTTTAATTAAACTTCCAAAAAATGATTCATTCAAGAATGAAGATTTTTTTTAAAAAGTAAAACCTTTTTATAATTTATCTTTAGGATTATAACAGACCTGTCATTTAAAAAATAGCAGTTTAAATAATTATATGTTAGCAAGGTTAGATGGTGTTAAAATTCCTATAATAACTGATATATGCATTGAAATGAATAAAAAAAAAATTATGTTTTGTAATAAAATGGATACAAAATCAAATATATCATGTATATCGCATACTGCTTTGAAAAAATATTCTCGTATCATCAGGGACCTAAATCCAAACTAGAGGTCGACCTCGCTAACGATGCAGGAGTTTTCTTTCTTGCTTTGTTATGCAGTTCATGTAGGTGAAAGACAAATATATATATTTCTGCATAAATTCATATTTCGGGTGCATAGGGTTGTAGATAAACATTTATTTAACAAATATAACGTCGAAAACTCACTTATTTTGCCTTACAACAGGTGAAAACGAGCTGTGAAATATTGCATGCGCATGCGCTAAAATTCTTAATGGAGACCCCTAAAAATGGCGGAGCTAAAAAGAAGACCTGGGGCAATTTCAAAAGGCATGAAACTGCCTATAACAGTAGAGGATGCCATTGACGACGTTTTAGTTGTATGCCTTGAACATGGTGCTAAACTTTTCAAGGGTATTTTGTTGGATATAAATAAAAGGTAGCTAGAAACAATGTCACAAACACGAGTAAAATATTCATGTTACGAAGCTGTTTTCTAAACCATCTACCACTTACTGTACACAAATAATGTGACAACAACCGTATTATATCATATTTTTGTTTCCATTTATTATAGGAATCTGCCACATGGTGTATGCGTGCCATTCTCGGCGAACGGGGACAATTCAAAAGATGACCCTAACGCACATTCTGTCAACAACAATGCACATGATGTTGAAGTTTCAGCAACAAATTTCAGACACACTTATAATCGTGGAAATGACGAACATGTAAACAATTTTATCTTACGTTCCAGCAAAGACCGGCCTGCACGAAGCATCCGGTTGCGCCCAAGATCTACATTATGTAGCAAATGTAAATCTGTGTGTCAGGAGACAGAGAAAGGCATCATGCCTGTTCAGCAAATTGTTAAACAGAACACACAAAAGAACCAAGTACCTCAGCAGTCACTACGAGAAGGCCTGCGGAGGCGTTCCGTCCAAAATAAAGATCCTTCAATTAACAGCAAGCAGACAGACAATAATAAAAACTCAGTTGTTACACGATCTAGTCCATTCATTAAGATATCTATTGGTGAAGGAACGGTGTTAAAAATTCCACCCCGTCTTCATGATGAGGTTGATGGAAGTACTGTGAAATCAAAAGCAAAAGCAGAATCTGTAAAAGAGGAGAGTTCTTCAGAGCAGGACAAGAATAGGAGAACCAGTAAAAGGAATCTCCGCAAAACTAAGGATCGTGCAAAGCGTTTGGAAGAGGAGCCTCCAAAAGAAAGTGAAACTACAAATGAGAATGTAACTAGTCATCACAAAAAACATAAACGTAAGCATAAACACAAACATGGAGACAGCGAAGAAAAAAATCAAAACACAACCTGCGAAGGTGTAGATGAGAATTTAGAAAGTGCAACAGAAAATCAAAATGATGGTGTTCCCCAAAGACCAAGGTTACTATATACATGGCGACAAAATAAAGGACTCTCACCAAGGCGAGAAAATACTACAGACAATATTGAAAATGTAAATAAAAACATTTCCATGAAGCAAAATTTCCCTGGAAATCTTTCACCAAAGCGCAATGTTCGATCAAAAAGTAGTGAACAGGTGCACAAAAAGGAATATAAACTAAGGAGTCGAGAGCGACTTAGTGTTGATTCCATGGAGAGTAAGAGGTCAGAGGAGAAAGTGCAAGAAGAGGATGTTTCTTGTGTAGATGTTGGCAGTGAAAATGAGCCTGAGGGGAACATGAATGTCAGCGAAGAACCAATGCCAGATTTAGACATGGAAAGCCAGGAAACGTCTCGAGATATTTTAGATTGTATAGACTCTACAGACAGTGCTCCTGTGTACTTTGGTAATCTTAATGAAAAACATACAGACTATTACTTGCATGCAAATCATGATTACGTTGTGACCTTGAATAGTACAAACAGTCTTAGTAACTCCATAATGAGCACAAGTTCAGAAGGACATGATAAATATGTGATAATTGACACAGACAAGTATTCTGTGATATCTTCGGCTTCGGAGCGAGAGTTTGATTTCAAGGATGAGGATATTCCAATGTCTCCTGATGGTGTGTCTTCATCTGTGGTAATGCTTCCATCTCCAATTCACCATTTAAAACCATTTTCTCCTGCCCACCAACCAGAACCAGTCTCTCATGCTCATGAACTGGAACCGATATCTCCTCCACAGCCACCAGAACCTGTGGAAGAACCGGTCATTGAAGAAGACGAGGAGAGGGAAGACATAGATGATGCCCCGCCCACCAGTGATGATGTGTTCAGAACATTAATGATGAAGATTAGGACTCATGATGTGCCAAAGTGTATGGCTAATGATGGCCGAACAATTCACGTGGGAGATATTGTGTGGGGTAAAATTAAGGGTTTTCCTTGGTGGCCTGGTCGTGTTTTGTCAATCAGTGTGAGTGAAAGAGATGGTGGAATTGTGATTAGGAGACTTGCACACGTGTCATGGTTTGGTTCATCTACTATGTCACACATTCAGTGCTCTGATCTTTATCCATTTCTGGAAGATTTTAAGTTACGTTATAACAGGAAGAAGAGGGGACCATATAAAGTGGCCATCAAGCAAGCCACAATAGCAGCACAGAGCGTGACAAACACCCATCATATTGATTTCAAAGAGTTTGATTTGTAGCGGTGACTTGACACGTCTAGAAAAATGTAAGCAAATACTTTCATTAAGAATTATATCTGTCCCATTCCCTAGTTAAGTAAACAAAGGTGTGCTTCTCTCTCGAAATACTTCCTTTTCTCATTGTTTATGAGATATCTACATAAGAAGAACTGGACTATGCAGATTTATTAATGAATTGCCTGTTAATGATTATTCTACAAACCATTAATCCTCAAAAATCATTTTTTTAAAATTTAATCATGCTGCAATCTAATTAAAATTTGATGTTCCGAATCCGCTACCGCTTCTCAAACATCTAACAACATCCCTTTCGGGGTCACGTCAGAGCGACCTTTCAATTATTTAACATAAAAATTTTGGCCAATCAGATTAAACCTTCTGTATACGATTCTAAAATTAGTTCCATGGCTACATCTTAACATTATTGATGCTCAGTAGACTGTCTTACGTTGAATTAAAGTAATTTTGGTATAAATTGAACGCATAGTCCGCCAATCTGGTATTCTTACCTAAATAATGCAAACGAAAATGCACAAACTACATGTATATGTCTATATATCCCGAACGTCACATTCATATTTAGCACGGTCTTTACCATGCATATTTTGTTTACTACGAAACCCCTCGGCATTTAGGTTTGGCATTTAAAAAAGAAACGCATCCGAACTATAAGCTAAGATTTCAGAGACGGTGATTTCATTGGGTAATCGAAAGGTCGCTCTGACGTGACTGACCCCGAATGGGATGTTGTTAGATGTTTGAGAAGCGGTAGCAGATTCGGAAAATCTAATTTTAATTAGATTGATCATGCTGTGAAGTATGATTTTACAAACACCGAACATGACTGAATAACGATTTCAACAGAAAATGGAGATTTTGTACCATGTATCAAACTGACAAAAAACCCAAATCGATACCACAGTGAACCCTTTCACTCCTAGAAAGGGCTAGTATTGGCTTAGCTTGCTGCCATTTTTCTATCAGTTTGTATTCTTGAGTGGAATAAAATGATGGTGTTAATTAATGATAAGTTAAAAACATTTTAAACTTACACATTTTACAGATTTGTTACGAAGTATAGTGTTGTTTCCCAACTTTGGGAGTATCAGATTGAAAAGCACCATTGAGAAAAGAAAGTGCTTGAATTGAGAGATTAAAGAATACCATTCACAAAAGAAAGTGCATAAAATGAGAGATTTAAAAAAAAACACCATTCAGAAAAGAAAATGCATAAATCAGTTTTTCAAAGTCAAATGACCATATTATAGAACAGCTACCTTTATCTCTTTGTAGCTCACCTGTTTATGATGTCCTGCCTTGAGGAGACTTCATCCTACAACCCACAGCGTTATCTCACAGCATCTGATACCAGTGTCCATTAGGGAATCCCACATTACCAGATTTCACTTAACTGAGTACATTTCAGTCTGTAGCAAGGTTGGAGTTTGCTCCTTTGCTGATAAATTAATAAGAATTACTGATGTCCTTCAACATATTAAATGTGTACATTTTTTTTTTGCAAGCTGCCAGTTAAGAGTGTACACATACAGTGTGATTGTGCCATTGAATTTTTGTTATTGGTTAGTTGTACATGTATACCTCAGCATTCACTTGTAATTGAGTCATCGAAACATTTTATATTGATATACATGTATATGGTGTATGATTGTTTTTTTTTTTTTTTTTGTGACTGAATGTGCTTTTTTTTGGACCAAGTTTTATGGGCAATTCATTTGTTTACTGGCCATATAGAGACGGTAGATTTGAATTGAAATGTTCTAGTGTTGTAATTGTTGATGCTTTGTAGGAAAACAGTAGTTACAGAAGGTGTTTTGGTGCCAGTTTTTTTTTCTTGTTTGTTACCAAATGTCTGTTAGAAGTAAGTCAAGAGTTTTATCTGCAGTGTGAATTGTTATGAATTTGAAAGTATCTTTAGTTCTATTTGTACCTTAAATTATTACACTTGGAAATCAATTGCAAAGTTCTCCATTCTTTTGAAATGGCCAGTATTTTTGTATTTTTGTTGAATTATTATTAGCATAGTAAGAAAATAATATTTGAAGGGATTTCTTAAAAAAAATCTTTTAATTATGAAATAAGTTATAGCTCACCTGAGCCAAAGTCTTAAGTGAGCTTTCTGATCGAAATTTGTTCATTTTTTGTTGTTGTCATTGTCAGCCTTTTCTCCAATATCGACCAATCTTGCCACAAAGAATCCTTGGGTTAAGGGAATTCAAATTTTTTTCACAGGATTACACCCTCTTTCAAGGGGAGATAATTAGGAATTAGTGAAAATTTGGTGGCATCTTTTAGAAAAATCTTATTCTCAAGAATCAATGGACCAGTAAAGGTGAAACTTATATGAAAGCTTCTTGATGTGATCAGAAATAAGTTTTTGTCTATTGTAAATTTAAGTTTGTTCAAGTCATGACTCCAGGGATGGGGCTACAATAGTAGGTCATAATTTTAAATGGGTATAAGAAACAATATTTTAAAATCATCTGTTGAAAAACAGCAGGGACATTATTAGTCATTGATATGCAAGCATCCTCAGGTAGTGTAGATTCAACTTTGTTCAATTCCTGGCCCAGGTGTTGTGGTGGGACAACTCAATAGATCAACATTTTACATGGGAATGTATATAAAAATGTCTTTCAAAATCTTCTGATGAAGAACAGCGGGGCCATGTTTAGTCACATTATTATGCAAACATCTTCAGATAGTGCAAATTCAAGTCTGTTCACATCCTGGCTACCAGGGATATAAATAAATTTGGTTAAATCATTACCCCTTGAGGCTAGGTTGGGGCCACACAATATGGGGTAAGAATTTTTCATGGGTATAAAGAGGAAAAAAAATCCTTTTTAAATCTTTTGAAGAACAGCAGGGCCAATATGACTTGGGTGAGTGTTGTGGCCTATTGGCCTCATTTTTTTATGCATGTCAATTCAGTATTAAATTTTTGATTGTGTCAAAAGATTCTGGGATTATGAGATATATTTTATTTGCCTGCCATGCAGTCCTTGTTACGTCAGTCTTTCCGTCATTTCATCATGTATGTCCCTTCCATTTTGCAATTACTTAAATGTCAAAGAAATTGATTTTAAGACAGTGAGAACCACGTTTGATCTGAATGTGTAATTAAGCTTAGACAGACTATATATTTGATGTCACATATATTATTTCTAAATTGACTTTTAGCATCATTAAAGTGCTGGATGGGAGTCAATGTAGGCACAAAGGAACATTTCTCAAGTTTAAAATGTTTACATAAGAAATAACCATCTAAGTTTATGGGATTATACATGCATATGTATAACCATTGGAGCACACTTATAATTCATGCATAAACGACTTCATCATATTCATTTATGTAACAACCTTCACTCCAATGTATACATATCTAAATATACCGGGTATTTGTGTTTATTTGTGTGTGTGTGTGTGTGTGTTTTTTTTGGGGGGTTGGGGGGTTGGGGGGGGTCATTATAATGTTTTCTGGATTGCATGTTCATTTTGGGTATCTTTAAGTTGTGTCTAGTTCTTGTCATAAACTCTTATTTTTGTTGCAAGCCCAAAATCAAACAGTAATATTGGTACTGCATGTATTTCTTAAGCTTTTTTTTATTGGACAAGGGATGAGAGACAGTGTAGATATTTTTTAAAGAAGAATGATGGTTTGTAAATAAGAATTAATTGAAGCATTGAAATGTCATCATTCATCAAGTATAAAATGTATTCCAAATTTACAGTCTGATTGTTTCATTTCTAAGATAAGCTATAGTTTTGTGTGAATGAAGTAATAATATGAACAGATTGCATGCTCTTGTATGAAAAAACATTGTGTAGTGCGAGATTAAACATGTGTAAGGGTGAAGGTATGATTCAGTATGACCTGTTAATTATACATTGTATAGTCTTTCAGGTTATACACCTATTGACGGTATCAGTTCTGAGCATTTTAATAAAATTCATAATTTACAACAGATAGAAATATGTAATTCCATCTCATTGCTTGCTCATATCTCACTGCTAAGTGCCCTTGATTTTATATATTTTGTATTTTGTCATGTTTCCATTTAGTATGATCTTTTGTTCATATGCAGTGTTTGTGTATGGGCAAATATCCTGTCTCGTGAGTTTCACTATTCACAGAAATATGTAATCCAAGGATCTTCTTTATTCACTAGGAGATTTTTCTTTTCCACTAGTCAGATAGATGCTTGATGAGTAAAAATTGTTAAGAAGGAAAGGTCTATTTTTAAATTTATTCAGCCATTACTGTGGTTACAGAGTGATATTGAAATTAACCAGTACAATAAAACTGGGAAATACTTCTGATTTATGTTTTATTTTATATTCAGAGTACATCCTTAAGTTAACTGTACTATTGAAAGTCATTGACTAAAAAAAGGCATGTTTGTAAAACCTTTAATCACTGAGACAAAAACTTTCAAGTACTTTATGTCATTTTAGAAAATTTGATATATAAAATGAGTCAAATTCTTCAGATGATATCTGTACTCAGTTCAGCAGGGAATATACTGAATTTTTACATGGTTAACCAATGGCTTCAAGACTTGTGATCTTGAATCATGTCCTTTTATATGTATATCAAATATGTGTCTTGAGGACCCTCTATACACTAATGAAAAATGTCTTTTGGTCATTGAGAAAATTATATTGCAGAAAAGTCTAAATATTGTGTTTATGTTTTTCACTCACAACATAGAGTATCAGCCATTTACCCTCAAGAAAAAAAATATCCAGTGACAATAATGCATTAAATAGGGGGAAATATATGCAAATAGTGTTAAATTCATTATTATAACCTAATCAAATGCTAAAAATGCATAAACTGATAACAATTTAAGTACTGAATACATTTAAAGATTTCAGTTTATTTTATTTTTGAAGTAAGGGCAGATACCCTAAATGCATAAAAATACCACAGAATTGTAACACTTAGATGTGTTTTGTACAGAGGTTTCTTACTAAAGAGTTCTAATTCCATTGTATTTTTTATGCCGTTAGAGTGATCTGCTCTTAGTTCTAACATAAAATAAATTGAATTCTACTGTGTTTTATTCAATTTGAAATTAATTCAGGCATTCTTAATATTTAATTAGGTCAAAGTAAAAAATTAACTTAAAACACTTTATTTGGATGTATTTTCCTAATTTAAGCAAGCAACAGTGATTTCTGTTCAGCTATACTTTGTTGTCTTTGAACATTTTTCCTGGGAATAAATGGCAAATACTTTATGTTGAAAATGAAATAAAAAAAATCAACATTTACACCTTCATACAATGTAATTTTCTCAATGTCCAAAAAGATTTTATCATTGTTGTATATAGAAGGTCCTTAACATACTTAAACCTACTTTGTATGATTATTTATACAGCTATAAATATAAACAATAAAATGTTTTTCTTTCTTTGTTAGTAAGAGAATGGTTGCAGCTATTGCAGAAATAAATTACTTAACCTGCTTTTGCAATGTATGTATTTTTTTTCTGCTACAGCTGCAACGTTAATTTCCATACTAATAAAGAAAGCATTTAATTGCTTAAGTAAATCCAAATCCTGCTAAAATAAGTACTCATAATCTATCAGTATCGTCACCAAATCTGGAATTTGATTTTTTTTCCCATCTTCAAATCTTCAGTTTCTAGTTAAGCCCAAAAACTAAATAATGAAGGATTTATACTGGCTGGAATGTGATGTAAATGATTCAAAACGTCGCCATCATAAGTTAATGAAATGTTACTGAGCTTTAGCAATATTATTGTCATTTTTTAAGCACATCGTAAATGCCTTGTAGAATTTTACAAGTATATTTTCAAGATAATCCTGCTTTGATAGATGGATTATAACTAAAAAGCAATAAATCTGAATATTAAAATAAAAAAATCATTTATTTTTCCTTACATATATACACCCCTCTCATTTCTTAAACAATCACACATACATGAATATAAAACCAATGAGCTCACCACTTTAGAAGAGATGATGATGTACAATAATCAAGAGTACCCATACACAAAGTAAAGACAATATTTAGTACACACACAATAAAACTAACATACAAAAAAAACTCTATCAGCCAGCAGAGAAATGTCTAATATGGCCTTGGGATTTCTGTTTACCAGCAGCTGTCAGGAAGAAGGGGGGCCTTGTTTGAAGCTGATGTTGTATCCCCCAGAGTTAGGGTCCTGATTCAGCTGGAAGTTCTCTGTTGACAGTCCAAATGGCTTCAGCACCATATTACCCAGTTCCTTTAACTTCCCTGAAGGAAACAAGAGAAAAATACCATACAATTATTGCTGTTTTTTAAGGTCAATATGATGATTTAGCCACCTGAGGAGTACAATATTCACCTCGCCCTTCGGGCTCAGTGAATATTGTACTTCGAAGGTGGCTAAATCATCGTATTGACTCAAAAAACAGCAATAATTGTTTTATCATATGATTTAATAATTAAATGATAAATGAACTCATTAAGCAGTTCATGCCATCTTACTTGTTTACATTTGCTGAAGTCCAAGCTAAATGCAATGAGAGAAGCAAGGTTAAATAAACATTACCAGTTGTATTTGGAATTTTTTACATCTACTTAAGTTGCTTTGAAAAAAAGAATTAATGTCAGACTCTTTTATAGAATAGATTTTGAAAGGGGGGCATTATTAGGGAAAAATGACACCTGAAAAAAAATCTTTGATTTGCCCCCACAAAAAGAGAATTTTTTTTAATTTCAAATTTTGTTTAAGGGTTGGGGTGGGGGATTAGGATTCAGAAAAAAATTGTTTGGGGGGGGGGGTCCCCTGCACCCAACCCCACCCCAAATTATACATTTCCAAATGTTATGTTCACCTGAGTGGAAGTTGGTAGCAAGTGAAATAGCTTTCCAAACCTATTTGTATCAATTTGGAATTTCCCCATCTAGTTTTAGACCAAAGTAGAGAAAATAAATCCTTATACTCACCTGGAAGATCACGTGCAGGTGAATATAACATGATATTTTTCCTACATGGTTGGATCTCAGCTTATCAGAGAGATAGGAATTATTCAATCATATAATGAAAATATTTATACCATGATGAATTTTTAATTTCCCACTAGTATCTATTTAAGATGCGATTTTAGCCCCCCCCTCTCCCATTATTTTATATCAATTATAAAGTCTTAGTACCTTAAAAATTTAAGAAATAAATATTGCATATTCAAGCTCCTTAGCAAAAAAAAAAAAAAAAAAAAAAATCAAACTACACAAAGAAATCCTACTATAGGCAGAAATGATAATTAAATGCATAGTACTTCCATGTGATGCTTTGAAGTATAAATTTCAGTATAAAGGTTATCTGAAACACAGGAGTTAGTGAAATAAACTCTTGTCTTATTCCTCACCGATCATCTCCTCTTTCATCTTTTCATTTTTTTCTTTGATCTGGTCTGGTAATCTCTGTAACAAAAGAGTCATCAGTCAATACTAAACATTGAGGAAATGAATATAATGTCAACATTCACTATACTTGAGATGTGTATTTCTACGCAATCTTTTCTGCTACAGTTGAAATTGAGTACATTTATCTAATACATAAATATGTTGTATTATTTTCCAGGGATATCCTCTGCTGAATTTGAGTGGATCCCTAACCTTTAGTAAAATTTTTTCAACTTTGTTACACAGTTTAACTTTTCTCCATTTTTTCACATGTTCATTTTCTCCAACTTCAATATCTCGAATACCATGGGTATGCTGAAGTCAGTTAAAAGTCCCAACCACATTTTCTTTATGTGTTTAAACCTCAATATCTCAAATCTTCTGATATCTTAAAGTTTTTTCTTGGTTCCATCGGGTTGGAGATAATGATGTTTGACCGTATCTACAAACTGAGATATCTTACAGCTTGACAGTCATTTTCAAGATTTAGCTCTATCTTTTATCCCAAATTTTCAAGAACAACATATATTTTTGCTATATCATGTTTCATATTTCTGTTTATCTGTTTGACCTACAAGACAAGCAGCCCTGGCAGAGTGCTGTGTGGGGTCCATCTCCACCACCTTCTGATAGTCTGTCAATGCCTCCTCCAACTTGTCAACTTTTTCATACAGCTCTGCACGTCGTAGCAAGGCTTTCAGGTACTGAGGGTGGAGCTCCAGAGCTTTGTTACTGTCCATAATAGCTTCTTCATTCTGGCTCTGGATGATGAATTGAAACAATACTTTAAAAAGATGGTATCAATTTGCTTCAATAAGCTAAAACTATTATATGTAACTAGAGTAAGATTGTATTAAACATAGGGCTGAACTTCATGGTCTGTAACATTTACCTCCTTCATTTTACATGCTGCTCTGTTGGAGTATAAAATAGCCCTGTCTTTGATAAAATCCTTTGGACACAACCTAAGGGCTCGAGTATAAGCATTTACAGCATTTTCATACTCCTGCTTCTTGAAAAAATCATTTCCTTTCTCCTTCTGTTCTTGTGCTTCACTTCTTCTTTCCTTGTGAAGAAACAGAAAACTATTTTATAGCTTGTAGACAACTTAATGCATTTCTGAATTAAATGACAGTTATAGTGCAGCAGAGTTATATAAAATGTATGTAGCTCTATATGCCAGAGTGTAACATAGAGTCTGTAGATTCTGACCCCTCCATTTCATGTAGATGCCTTTGCCCAATGAAGCGGGTAAACATTGCACTTGTCTGATCCATTAAGGCACTAGTTAAGCAATCAGATGCAAATGAAAATAGAGAGTTTTTGAATGGCATATACATGTATTATCTTCGAGTTATTTCCCCTGGCTGCCTTCTATGAGGACAAACTTGTGAACTTTCCTCTTTGAGCAATGAGCAACCAAGTTTAATACAAGTATGATTGACAAATGAAGGAATCTGGGCTTGCTGACCCATAATATAGCAACCAACAGGAAATAAATATAGCTAATTTTAAAATTACGTTAATGGAAAACTAAGATTTATATTAGATAGAAAGTTCTGTCGTTAAAATCATAGATAGATTTTATTCCGTGTGTTGTCAATGTTGCAAAAAAAAAATAAAAAAAGAAAAAAACAGGGGCAAATAATTCTAATCTACATATTTATTACTAATAACCCAGAGAGTTCTGAATATAAACATGGCATGTAAATAGGAGTGAGAACAAAATTGAGAAAATGAGTTGAACTTTTGTCTTTGTATGGATTAATTTTTAGGGTAGAAGGCATATACAAGCTCAAAAAGGTTTGTTATGATAAATTTGGTAGTTATTTTTCAGTGAAACTACTTTTGTATTCTTCAAAATTGTTTCAGAGTGGATCCACCCTCATTAGCATGCTACACTGCAACAATATGGGATGCATTCTAACTGTGGCAAGGGCTTGTTCAAAGACTCATCTAGTTAGATTATTCTAACTACTAGTACATCTAATGATCTTGTTGCAATATATTCGAGTTCTGAATGAAACTTCATGTTGTATATTCTGTTATGGATTAGAAGCATACATGTAAATGCCCCTTACCTTTTTGACTTCCTCTGTCAGTATTTCTTCCAGCTCCTCTTCTTCATCATCAATAATGTTTTGATCTTCTTCCGCTGACTCGTACTCACTTCCTGAGGAATCTTCGTCCTTTGAAGACTTATCCAATTTACCTTCATCATGAAACTTGTCATTTACGTTTGAGTTCGCTGTAAAATCATCTGCAGGACTACTATTTTTTTGTCTTTCATCAGATGACACAGAATTTGACATTTTGTCTGCCTCTGACGAAGCAGCCATCTATGATCAACCAATTATAAATAAAAACTATTTAAATTTCACCATACTGGATATATATTTATGTAGTTTCACTCGCCTCCTTTCCCAGCTTACGTCATTTCAATGTCAGTCCTCATTTTTTATCACAAGGTTTGAAACACCCTGTTAATAAACGCTGGGATGATGCAGATTATGAATATAAAAATCTGCAATTTTACACGTTAAGACATAATATTTCCGAAATATTTTTAATGAAATTGAAATGCCCATAGGCTTGCATTTTTTGGTTTTACACACACTTATATACTATAAAATAAAAACTTGAAGCTACTATGAACACTTCCCTAGCTGTTTGATTCTTGAGTGAGGCCATTTAAAAAACCCAGTTTTTATAACTGGTAGTCAGATTAATTAAGGACATACGCAACGTAGTTTAAACTTTATTGTCTTTTTCCCTGGAGTTGAAGAGTTTCGATACTTAAAGAAACTGTGTACTACATTTTGATGTTTATATATGCTGTTGTACACTTCTTCTAAAACAAGTTTGGATAAACAAAACATCTAGAATTTATGTTTAGTAATTTTTGTATATTTTTCTTTAAAGAATTCTCATCAATTGATATCTTTTCAAAATCCATGCTGATTTTTTGCCTACGAACATCTGATGGCACTATAATCTTAAATTAAGAATATCTTGAAAAATTATCAGTAGGTAAGGTACGTTGCGTATGACCTTAATACCCATCCTCACAACATCAGGTCCTGTGTCAACTCCTTGTGAGTTGACACAGGACCTGACGTTGTGAGGATGATTTATACAGTCTGAGGCCTGTTCAACAGAGCGAACGTCCGAACATTTCTGTAGGAATTAAGAATAAGGGATTTTGGCGAGCGCTCTCTGTTGAACAGATTACATCAGACTTCCCATTGCTTTATAATAAGTATTTAAATCGAAAGTTTACCTTGATACTTCAGCTGTAAATTGAAGGTAACAAAAAGTGAAAGGAGTGCTTACTCCTCCTGGGAACCTGATCCCACCTCTGGAATTTTCTGGGTCCGTGTCTTATGCCCTGTTCACAGATTTGTATTGTTTGTATTTTTTTTAATTTTTAAATCGATCACTGTTCGTTATTTTCCCCTCTTCTTTTTCAATATTTAATTTGCAAATTTGGTCACTGTTGATCTTAAATTAATCACTTGAAAAAGAACCTCTTTCGGAAATTTTAATCTGGAAAATATATAGGTTACAAGCGGCATCTGATTCATTTCTGATGTATCTCTGGACACAATATCTAGACGGCTATTAAGTTGGTCATTGTACATCAGTACCCACAACGCCAAGGGTCCTGAGTCAACACGTTGCCGTTGGACCCTTGACAAATTTCATTCTATATCCTCGGGCTTGCTTCTCTCATTGAGAAGCACCAATCAAATTGAAGTAGACAAATAATAATTACACAAACAAAAAAAGAATCAGTTAACACATAAAATGCACGTGTTACGCATTTGTTTATCACAGAAAGGCTAAATGTGATTGGTTGAGAGATAAGAAAAACAATCAAGATTTGTAATTTTCCCGAAAGACGTCGCTTCAATCAGTCCGAAAGATATCGAATGAAATTTGTCAAGGGTCCAACGGCAATGTGTTGACTCAGGACCCCTGACGTTGTGAGGCTGTGAATTACCAGACCTATACTGGATTCCTAAACTACATAAATATCCTTACAAACAAAGGAACATAGCATATATATACAAAGATACAGAATTTACTTCATCACAATCTTTAATTTCAGACCGGTAATGAATTCCAGTAAAACTTCAACTTTTCTATCGCCAACTTCCCTTTTTTATGTAGCAATATACCATTATCACATGTATATATGGTGTTTATGTCTCCCAGTTAATTTGAAACGTTTTTTTTAATAAAACGAGCAAGCTATTGACAAATAAGTTGATGAAACAAGAACGAGCAAGCTATTGACAAATAAGTTGATGAAACAAGAATATCAACAGTCTCATTTAAAGTCATCATTTCGCAAATTCTATGTTCGATACAATGACCTTATCAGTAAATACCATCTATCATTTAGTTTTTCATACAAATTGTTAAGGCCATTATTTTCTCACTAAATTGTCAACGGATTTTTCGTTCGCCCTATCATGACAAGGAGCACAAGGCGGGTGTGACCGGTCTACAGGGGATGTTGACTCCTCCATGGCACCTAATCCCACCTCTGATGTTTTTAGAGGTCCGTGTTTGCTCTGCTCCAAATTTGTATTGTTTCAATGGACTTTTGAGCTTGATTACTGATCGTTATCTTCATGTTTTACAGATGTGACAGACTCTGTGGTGTCTTTTATTTTAAGGGTACATACCACAAACAAAAATTCGATGCATTGATTGATATAAATATTTTTTGACTGATTTTGAATGGAAATGACATAAATAATCAATCCCTAAAATATAAAAAAATCGTAAGTTTTCTTTGGTGCTTAGATAAACAACGTTGTATCGTTTTCTATGTAATTCTATACAAAATTTTGCACATATTTTTTGACATTGTGTCAAAATCTCACTTTACCCAGAAAATATCATTCAGGTTACTTATTTGAATATTAATCTATGAGAAATATTGCTGATTTCTGAAAAAAAAGTTTGTGTTATTTATTCGACATATGAATGGAAGTAACTATTGTTAATTGATAATCGATATATCTGAATGTCGATTTGAAGGCCACAGCAAGTGTTTTCTTCTTCTTCTCATGTAGAAGTTTTTGAATAAATTCTGCTTTATAAGAATATAAAAACAGGTCGGCTAATAAAGGAGCATATTAGGGACCCATCACAATGTCTCAGAAGACTCCATAAATGTTGTCAATGAGGACTCCAGCATCCCTTTAATATCAGCTTCAGAGTACTTATGTATAGAAACAATGATTTTTAACAAAATTTCCGAGTTCCATTTTTATTGAAGAAGCAGTTGTCTATCATATCAAAAAGATGAAAAAAAAATGAAAATTCCAAAACCTTATTTCACATCTGTAGAACACCCTCAATCATCTTGCAAAAGATGAAATGGCTTCTGCGTAAAATGTAAGAGGAGTTCTGGGAACCAGGTTTTTCTGTAAAATGATAAATGTCGTTTTTCCTTCCCAATTTTACCCCCTGAGTGAAAATGAAAATTCCGAAACCTTATTGCACATGTGCTAAACACTCCAATCACCTTGCAAAGGATGAGATGGCTACTGTGTTAAATGTAAGAGGAGTTCTGGGATCGAACCAGGAATTTGTAAAATAAAAAAAAGTTCCTTTTCGACCTCCATTTGACTCTCATGCAGGGTGAAAATGAAAATTCCAAAACTTGATTGCACATTTGCGGGACATCCCCAATCATCTTGCAAAAGATGAGATGGCTACTGTGTAAAATGTAAGAGGAGTTTTGGGAACAAGGTTTTTGTAAAATAAAAAACGTTTATCAACCCCCATTTGGCCCCTAGAATGAAAATAATAATTCCTAAATATTATTGCACATCTAAAAGACACCACCAATTACCTTCCAAAAGATGATCTGGCTACTTCGTTAAATGTAAGGGGAGACCTTGGAACCAGGTTTCTGTTTAAAATATGTTTTTTAACCCCAGGGTGAAAATGAAATTTCTGAAACCTTATTGCACATCTATAGGACACCACCAATCATCTTGCAAAAGATTATTTGATAATGGATAAAATGTAACGGGAGTTTTAGGAACCAGATTTGTGTAGAAAAAAAATCGTCATTTTTCAAACTCCCTTTGGCCCCCAGGATGAAAATGGAATCTCTGAAAACTTATTACCCATCTACAGGGCACCACCTATCATATTCCGAGATATAACAGGAACCCGATTTTTATAGAAAAAGTAGAGTGCTAAAAAGGCTATGCCTGCTGCCCAATCCCATTCACTTTTTGTGAATGAAATGTATGGAGATAACGAACAGTATTCAAGCTCAAAAGTCCATAAAACAATACAAATATTGGAGCAGAGCAAACACGGACCTCTAAAACATCAGAGGTGGGATCTGGTGCCATGTAGAAGTGAGCATCCCCTTCCGACCGGTCACACCCGCCGTGTGGTACTTGTCATGATCGGGTAATAACAGAAAAATCCGTCGACAATTCAGTGTGTAAATAATGGCCTAACAATAATTATGAAAAACGTCAGTCAGCATTTGACTTAATGATAAATTGTATTTGCTGACAAGGTCATTGTGTTGACCATAGAACTTACGAAATGATGACTTTAAACGAGACTGTTGATAGTCTTGTTTCATCAACTTGTTTTCAATAACTTACCTCGTTTTAGAAATTGTTCATACGTAGAGCATACTCTTGCGTATCGAATCAACTGAGAGATATAAACCCCTTATGCAGGTGATGAAGGTATATAGGAAATTGACGATTGAAAAGCTTGGTTGTTAGATTACCATTAACGTCTTTTCCTAATAATGAATCCAGATATGAAACAGATGTGTCAGTCTCTGTGGTATCTTTTATTTCAAGCTCACTGGGATATATCGTGTCGATATACGAATGGAAATAACCATTGTTAATTGACAATACCTCGTTGATATATCTAAATGTCGAGTTGAAGGCCACAGGAAGTGTTTTCTTCTTTTCACGTACACGAGTTTGAACAAATTCTGCTTCATATGAATACAAAAATAGGTCTGCTAATAACGGGGCGCAATTGGTACCCATGGGAATTCAAATAGATTGTTGGAAGACCTGAATAAAATTATGTATAAATTTTTAAAAAGGTCAATGGATTACTGCTTAAGTTGTAAGAGGAATTATAGGAAGAAGAAAGTGTGACAGACGAACGGAAGGACCATTATAACAACAAAACGAGTATACCCGAACTTTCTTTAGAAAGTGTGGGTATAATTAAGATTTAAACTTGCGAGAACTCCTGTGTGACATAATTATACCTGACCTTTACTGGATTTTAAATTCTTACAAAGATTCATAACTGGATCCAGTAAAATTTTCTACCCATATTCTTTCTTTACTCATCACAGGCATATTAACAGCAATGAAGGAAAAATAGCAGCAATAATGTGCTACATGTAAAACATTTTCTAGAAGTAGTGGATACTATAAAAATCCAATAATTCTTTTTAAAATAGAAAATTTAAAATCGCAATATTTAAACAAATTCAAAAGCTTGAAATCTCAAATTTTAAAATCAAAGCATAAAAAAATTATGACTATTCATTGATTTATTTACCTTTTCCTCACAATAATTTATACACTCATTCTTTAAAATAAATTAAAGATTGAATTTTTTGAAATCATAGACTCTGCTTCTTCAGGTAAAAATTTAAAATATTAATTGAACTCGGAAATTTTCTGTGATTCGTCATCTACATAATTACTTTGTAAAAAATCATTCTGATTCTACAAACAAGAACTCTAAAGTTGATATTAAAAAGATATTGTTCCTCATTTATGATAAATACGTAGTCTTTCCAGACCAGATCGTTCTGAAGTCTGTTTGAATTTCCATGGGTACAAATTGTGTCCCCTTTATTAGCTTTTGATTTTTTAATTCATATGATTTTTCCCCCAAGAAAAATCTACATGAAAAGAACAATCTGGTTTATACAATGACCTTGTTTGCAAATAGGACCTATAATGAGGTCGAATGTTGATGAGGTTTTTAATTATTCTCATACTGTTTTGTCCGTTGATTACTTCGTTAACTTCACCGGAACAAGGGCTTGTATCGAGTGTAAACGGTCGACAAGGGGTGCCTACTCGTCCATGCCACCTGATCCCAACTCTGATTATTCAGAGATCCATGTTCGCTCTGTTCTTAGTTTGTAATATTTAATTGGGTTTCTGAGCTTGGTTACTGCTCACTATTTTCACATTTCATGCCACAACTTAAAATGTTTGTTCCAATGAATTTTGAACAACATATCCCTGGAACAGCGATAGGAATTTCAAAACCTTATTATACATCTACAGAACCACACCAATTATATACAAAAATAAAGTTTTTGCTTGCCTCTGAAAATGTAAAAGAAGGAGCGATGACTCGGGATTGTGACATAGAAGAACATCTCAGAATTTTCTTACTAAATACATGTGCATAATTATATATATAGTTGATGGATGGATTTGGTTGACAATGAAAATGAATGACTTAAAAATTGACTAAAATCTACCACAATAATACCTAAATTAACTTCATCCGAATGACATATTTTATTTAATACAAAAGCGTACTAATGGTTACTGTAACCAATAACCAGCATATAATGAACACTTGTTGGTGGTACATGAGTGGGGCACCATTAGGATCACAATCTAGAGAGCAAAACGGCAAAACCGGATTCTCTGAACACAGCTGAAACTTCAGGGAGCTGAAAAAATTAAATGTAATTTACTGAACAATCAATAAACAGTCGGGGATTTAATATTATATATTTCCATTTCTTTTTGTTTTCTCTGTGGTAACTCTTTGAAAGTTAGGAGAGTTGATTTCTTGATCATTCTAACGGAATGCAAATTTTGCCAAGCGAAAGGTCAGTAGCTAAGAGGGCATAATATGCATGTAATTCTCGTGCGGCTGTCTTTGTGTCTGACTCTAAGGAGGCCTAATATGCATGTAATTCTCGTGCGGCTGTCTTTGTGTTTGACGTCAGTGGGCGGGGTCTATTAAAATTGACATGTGAGGCCTCGTGTAATTTAAATCTGTTAGTCTACATTTTTAAAATCTAAATTTACAATTTTATTTCAAAATGAAATGGAAATATAAGGAATCACTGTCTAATTAGTAGAGTATGCCAGGGACATCAACGATAGTTGGAAACGTGGGATAATTTATGCATAACGGGCTTTGCCCGTTATGCAAATTATCCCACGTTTCCAACTATCGTTGATGCCCTGGCATACTCTACTAACTAGACAGTGATTCCTTAAATATACATGTACTATGACGACTAACCTTGGATTAATTTTACAGGTTACATTTGTGACACCATTGTCAGATAATTTTCTTCTTAGAAATTCCACCGATTGCCCCGAACAAGTTTCTCTATAAAATCAAATTCGTTAATGATGGGTATGCATTTAAAAAAAATGTATATTTTACCTTATTCATAAAGGTTGATGAATAACATCTAATACATCAGAAAACATTTGATATTTGTATAAAGTCGAAATAACTGTTGAAGAACACTTGACCAAAACAAGACTCGATAATTAGGATAATAAACTCATATACTGTTTTAAAATGTAAAACAATCAGCTTGCGTTTATGAAAGAAATACTCCTCATTGGTGCCGAAATCATCGAAATAATCACCTCGGAGGCAAGGCAGAATTATGGGCTAAGAGAATTCGAGCAGCAGTCACCCTTGGGTCCTTAAGATTGGGCAACTCAAATCGAATAAAATACCTACAACATAAAACACCATCGATATATCTCCTGAATGAAGAACCTGTCGTAAGATGCATTGTATTTACGAAATGATTTTAAGTTCCTACATAAAGTAACAGTCCTAGAAAAGTACCAATTCCACATCGTTGCTGAATCATGATCGGCAATTTACAATCTATTTACGGATAGGCATTTCAGAATTAATTTAGGACTTAACTGACAATTTTTTTTCTCATAACTTACATTTTGTTTCAAAAATGTATTTTTCAAGTTAAAGTTTTCCTTTGATATTTTTTGCTAAAAATCTGGATATGTTGCTAAATTTTGACGTATTGAATTAGACAATTACAGCTCATTTTGGCAATGTTGCTTATTTACAAAACATTGCCCAAATATGAATAAACTTAAACAATATAAACGCAGCAACAAGTTCGCAACAACTACCATCTAACACACAGGCGCTTGAGGACAGGACAACACGCCCTTCTCCGATATAGAACTCGGGACTTTTCGACTTAAAAAAAACTTTCAATAACATATTTGTGATCTTGTCCTTAACACCAATTCGAAAAACTACCTGAAATAAACATTTTGTAAAAAATCCTTCCCTATATATACACCGTTGTAGAGAGGGAAAAGAATTTTTACAAAATGTTTGTTTTAGGTTATTTTCGAATTGTTGGTATATAAGATCCCAGATATATTACTAAAGATAATTTCGTCAAAAAATTAGAAAAGACCCGGGTTCTATATAGAGGTGGTGGTGGGGGGTCTTTTCTATCCTCAAGCACCTGTCATCGAACAAGTATCTGTAAATTTATCAAAATACCATGTATCTACAGCTCTCTATGAACACTTTATAATGACCTACAACTAAAAAAAGTCATCTACAGTTTTTTTTTTTAAATGAACCCAAATACAATTTTTGAAAATTTAGGCATCTACATGTACAAATTAAAACGACAATTTCTATAAAATAGAGCATCTGCAACTCAACACATACCTCCAAAAAGTAATACCGGTATATCTACAATTCAAAATGCAACAGGCAGTTTTGTCGAAATAAAGTATCTTCAACTTAACTCCAGTTTCACAGAAAAATATATACTAGTACACCGCAGAACATTACAGACAGTTTTGTAAAAATATAGTTTCTCCCATTATCAACTGTGTTTCACCACTTCGGCGCAGTTGTTTTTTTTCCCGTGTTCATAACATGTTATGATTCTGACTGGCTGCTTAACTCCGCAGGTTTCAAAGTGAACCTAACATGCACAAGCTTATCTTTTACAAAGATAGGTAAATAAGTGCTGTAGAGGCAGTGGTTTATTTTGCTGAATCGATTAATTATTAATAGGAAGACAGTGCTGCACGGGGGTGGGGATGGGGGTGGATGGGGGTGGTTAAAGGTTTTCAATTCAGATAAGTAAAACTCGAGTGGGCTTCACGTCGGCAATAGAATTACTGTGGTTAAAGCAATATTTCATTCAGTGTAAATTCAATATTGATGTTTCGTAGCAATCGCATCTTCTTGAGCATTTCCGGCAAGCTTGGAAATACTTTACATCATCGGATGTTAATTTTTTAGGTCATCTTAGTCACTCAGATGTGACCTGTTGCTATCTATTTGTCCGTCGTCGTGCGTCATGTGTTAACATTTGAACATTTTTAGCTTCTTCTCTGGAACAGCTGAACCAATTTCAGTCAATTTCTCGCATATGGCATCTATGGGCAAAGGGAACAAAAATTTTGAATTTCATCCCCCCCGCCCCCCCCCCCCCCCATTGGACCTGAAGTGTGGGGCAACCATCAAAATTAATGCAATCTTTGAAAATCTTCTTTACTCCTAGACATCAAGTAGTTAAACCGTTTGTATGATTGTAAAAAGCATTGAGCCCTCTACCAAAATTGTGAAGTTTATGGTCCCTGGTTTAGGGTTCTGATGTTAGTGCGGGGATCTATCGATCATAATATTGTCATGTTGTAAATTTTGAATTTACCGGGTGGCAGTTGTCATGTTGTAAATTTTGTATTTACTGCCACCCGGTAAATTCAAAATTTACAACATGACAATATTGAAAATGCATGCATTCTTTAAAAAGCTTGTTTTCTCCCCCTGTATATTTAATATACAAACTACTATGATGAGCAAGGGTGCCTCATCCAAAATTGTGAAATTCATAGCCCCTGGGTAAGGGGTTCTGGTGTTAGGGTAAGTTCTGTTGATCACATAGTGAAAATGCATGATAAACTAAATGCACGGTTATAATGGTTATGATGAGCAAGGGTGCCTCTTCCAAAATTGTGAAATTCATGGCCCTGGATTTTAGAAACCACTTGTGTCTACAGTCTTGACAAAATAGGTCTTAGTTATTGGTGCTTTTTTTGTACAGGTTAGACAACAACACACGCCACTCTGTATAATGTGTACTTTTAGATGATAATACGAAACTGACATGGCGTCTTTTCCTAGAATGCCCTACTGTGAATTCGAGCTGGTATGCGTATTAGTAAAACGGAATAACGTACTTGTTGCTAGCGCTCGAAAGCGCTTACAGCAAGTCCATGTTTGTATAATGGGAGAAACAGGTCCCATTACCAGTGCTCGGAAAGCCTTGTGTCTCTTGAAAAAAAAAAATAAGGAACGAGAGATTGAGAAAAACCGGTTACTAAACAAGTACTAATAATGGAACATATATTTCTACAACTCAGAACATCACAGACAGTTACCAAAACATATAGTTCTACGGCACAAAACGTCACAAACAGTTTCCAGAAAATAAAGTATTTACTACTCAAAATCGTCATCTACAGCTTCCAAAAAGTAACCATTGATTAAATAATTTTTCATATCGGCATTGTTAAAAATCTACAACCAAAAGGCGTCACATACAGGTATTGAAATAGGCTTTTTATATCTCAAAACACCACTTAAAATACCCACCGATTTGTTTAAAATATCGGCATTGTATACTTAGGTGAAAACTCACAAAATTCATATTACGGTTGGTCCAGGAAAGGCTTCGCAATACTGCAGTAAACATTAAAAAGGATGATGCAGACCAAGATTAAATTTCAGTATGAGAAAAGAATTGTGATAAAACTCACGACTCGTTCGTAAAAAGGGGGTCTGAGGTAGCATCCAGCATAATTTCCACCTCCCCTTGGGCTGATTTTGAGTACTGAAACAAAGAACAGGTACCCGTATCTAGATTTCACATCATTTATATAAACTATCCTTTATTTGATCTATCATATTAAATTAGAAAGCATCTAAATTATTCTCTTTTCATTTATACATATTATTTATGAAAGAATTTTTTTCTCACTACATGTATTTTCTTTGTGAATCATTTTTATCAAGATATCTATAATCATTAAAAAAGAAAATAAGAAAACAGCTATTAATCTACATGTAAATGAAGATATTATAAAATGCATTATGTATTATACATATTCTGAGGCAGTTGCCCAGAAAGCAGCTTCTGTGGGCCAGGGACATGTCGGTGTCTGTTCGTATCCAGGACATTTACTGCGGTCCTGTTCTACTCCATCAGAGGAACTGTTACTTCCGCAAAACTTTGTGTCACCAAGGAAACCTAATTAGAGAATTTCAATCAATTATATTTCCTGTTAGTAGTTAAATACATGTATCTCTGTCACGTGCTTGAAGTGGGTACAATAAATAATAACTAAAGCTTTTAAACAGTGTTTGTAAATTTTCATTGTGATCTTACTTTATGATTTTAATGGTTAACTGAATTCGTATTGCACTATGAAGTTGATGAGCGTTACAAAATGTGGTCACTATTATCCATTCATCAGGATTAATTTAATCTACTACATAACAGATAGGAATTTATTATGCAAACAAGCGGAGTTTAACAGCCACTACTTCCTATAAGTTGAAATAGTACATAATCAGACATCGTAAAGGATAACACTATTGTAGATACATTAAGGATGTTTTCTGCTGACTACTCTCAGGTATCAGCCAAATTTACGGGATTTCTCTGTTTTTATCCATCAAAATAAGAATAATATATTTTGCCCATTAACCCTTGTTATATATTCACATTTTGTATCTTTGTGGTTTTCATAGTCTTCTCAAAAACTATGAAGAAAGAAAAAAAACACCCCCCCCCCAGTAAAATCCATTTCCAAAACGTGAAAAACACCTATTTCGTGGTGGTTATGGGGCGTCAACGTTTTCTAGGGGGGTCCAAAATAATTTTTTATTTGCTTCAGTATATACTTTTAATAACTCTGCAAATTCCCCCGACCTATCCCAACCCCCTCTAGATCCGCGCATGAATGTTTAATTCCAGATCATGAATTTTTCAGAGAGAGAAATCATTCATTGTCTATGAAATATCCCAAGAAGTCTAGTTTCCCACAATACTAGGGCCTTATATCTCAAAAATATGCTCACTAATTCATATTTTTTCTCTTTAGTATTTTCTTTCAAATTATGAATACATAAAAAAGTACTAAAATTGAAAACTTTAATTCAAGTTATCTTAGTAGAATACATCCTTAAACGGCACAATAAAAAGGTTGAGATAAAAAACAGTAAACAATCTCACAATCCTATAAACAATACGAATTGTGATCAAATGCCAAGGAGTAAACATCCCTTGTCGACCGCTCATACCCTCCGTGAGCCTTCTATATCTATCAGGTAAACGGTTTATCAGGTAAACAGAATCAATTTCAGAACAAAAACAATAGTATAACAATTGGTATGAAACATATCACTACCCAACCTCGTTTAAAGTCACATATCGTAAATTCTATGGTCTTATAATGATCTTGTTAGCAAATATAACCTATCTGTATCATTGGGTCGTATCACGACTGAATTGTTTCATATCAATTTTTTTGTTAGGCATTTGTTTTTATACTAAATTTGATTGCGGAATGTTCCGTCTACCTGATCAATATATACAGCTCTCGGCGGTTTTGACCGGTCAACAGGGGATGTTTATTTCTCCTAGGCACCTGATCCCACCCTTGGGTTTCCGGAGGTCCGTATTTTATGCCCTGTTCACAGATTAGTATTGTTTGTAGATTTTTTTTTGAGATCTGTTCGTTATCTTCATTTTTCTCATTGTAAGGATTTTTATGAAGTTTAGAATCCAGTATAAGTAGGGTAGATTGAACTCACTTGGTTGATTGAAATGTTAAAAGTATTAAAGACTGAAATGTGATTTTGAAGGATTTCCTTATTAGAAAACACTGTGAGTGTAGCTAGATTTCCAGACGTAGAATTAAAACCAAGTTCTATTAAAATACAGTTACAATGATAAACCTTACAAACAAAGACGATATTGTAACAAGCCTTGTGTGCTGGAACCATAATATATCGTTAGTATAGTCTTTCTAATTCTTTTGTCATCTCCGACATAGTGAAAACGGCAGGATAGATGGTTTGGATATTGTCTTATAACTTTTTAATGCGATTTTTCATGTATTTCTAAAACATTTGATTTTGACAAAGTGTTCAGATCTTCAAATTTTTACTTAGTCCAACGTCTGGCATAATCTTCGACAGACTTTATAATAAAAATGAAGTTCTGTCGTCAAATGAAAGATCGGGCTCCCTGTATTTAGGACCTTTTAAAATGATTGCTTTTAAGTCGTCATTTTCAACTATTTTTACATCATCGGTAATGACGTGTACAGCGGGACTTTAGCTGAAAGAAGAAGAACAAGAACACTTGAGAGGATTTCGTTTTAGATGCTCAACATCAAGGCAATGTAAGATTTGTTAATAATTGAAAAAATTGGAAGCAACAGTTTGAAAATATCTGTAGGATATGCAGGGTGTTGATTTCAATTTGAAATATGGTGGAATGGAATATTAAATGTTTGCCAGACAGAATCTATGTATACCTGTGAGTGTGTCGGAGATGGAGAACGCTCGTTTCCCTCTGTTGGTGTACCTCATCACTGTTTCGTATACATGTTCCCAGAAAACGAACTATAAAAAACTCTGCATGTCAAATGTAGTGATTTCAAATTATAGGTGCATAGTTTTCCTTACCAAACTGGCAAATGACGGGTTATTAAATTTTCTTTTGGATTTGTTTCGTTGATGAATAATGAATTTCTATGAATGTAGTTTATATGCCCCCGTATCGAAGATTCGGGGGGGGTGTATATAGTTTTTGCCCTGTCCGTCCGTCTGTCTGTCTGTTTATCTGTTTGTTTGTCTGTTTGTCCACAAAAACTTTAACCTTGCCCATAACTTTTGGAGCTATGGCTTTCATATTTCACATGTGTATTCCTTGTGACAAGACCTTGGGTACTACCATATTTGACCTTCTGACCTTGACCTTGGAGTTTGACCCAGTTTTGCAAAATTTTACCAAACTTTAACCTTGGTCATAACTTTTAAACAATTGGTGCTATGGCTTTCATATTTCACATGTGTAATCCTTATGTCAATGCCTTCCTTCGGATACCAACAACTTTGACCCTTTGACCTTGGAGTTTGACCTACTTTTGGAAAACTTTGACCTTGGCCATAACTTTTGAACGGTTGGAGCTAGGGCTTTCATATTTCACATATATAATCCTTGTGACAAGACCTTTCTTTGAACACCAACAACTCTGGCCCTTTGACCTTGGAGTTTGACCTATTTTTGGAAAACTTTAATCTTGGTCATAACTTTTGAATGATTGGTGCTTCGGCTTTCATATTTCACCTGTGTAAATCTTAGGAGTAGGCCTTTCCTTGGGGATCATTAATTTTGACCATTTGACCTTGACCTTGATATTTGACATACCTTTGGAAAAAAACTTTTAACCTTTTCCATATCTATTCAATGGTTGCTGCTAGAGCTTTCATATTTCACAGGTTTATTCCTCCAGACAAGACCTTACTTTGGGTACCAACATATTTGATTTGCATTTGAGAAAGTTTAACCTTTGCTATAAGTTGCCATACGGGGGCATCAGTGTTTCACAAACACATCTTGTTTCTTTGAATTATTGAAATAAATTTGTAGAATAATGTTTTATAACACAAGGCTGTCTAGAGAACTGAATTTCTTCTAAACACAATATGCAGAAAACTATAAGTAAGTAAGTAAGTAGGTCTTACCTTGTTACTTGGCACGTGGTGTTGACTCTCATTACAGAACCCAGCAAACCTCTGCCTGTCCACGTGACAGGGAGACTGGAAGGCAATGGCATCACGAAAGCTTTCCCACAGTAAAGAACAATTCTTTTTACTGTGAGTAAAAGAAAATATATAATTTATAACCTTATTAAATAATTTAATTGCTTTTCATCAATGAAAAGTGATATGGTATACATATGATTTAACAATATCTGGATATTTCTTTTGCAGAAAATATGTAATGCTATGTCTTTTGATGAATCGTGGATTTATGTAGCTCTTTGGCTTTAACGAAGGGTAGCATGGCGTCTGGTGTTTCCAGAGGTCCGTGTTTTTGCCCTGTTCATGATTCCTTTTATTACTGTTCGTTACCTTCACCTTTTACATTGTCAGTAAGTACTTTGAGGATTGTTAGTATCGAGATGACGGGAAATACTTCTCCTCGGGTCAAAAGTATTAATCATATTGCATTTTTCAAGTTTTTTTTGTTTATCTAGCTCTTTGCGTGAACCATTTGATACTTTAGAATAGTCTGCACTGAACTATAAAAACCATTGACTGTCTTACAATTAAGGTCTCAAAAGTTAAGCATTAAAGGAATTTGGAAATGTTTGAATTCTTCTATAAAAAAAGTGCAAATATCCACAAATCACAGGTAAGTATACACTCAGTGATGAGATTCTGTCAATTTAAAATTATTCAATTAATTTTGAACGAAGGAGGATAAATATTTTTACATTTATGACTTTATACTATTACAGAGGTTATGGTCACTTCCTTCTTAGACTATTCCAAACAAGAAGCAGAATATCTTCTAACATTATTTGCACTACTGTGATATGTAATAAATCAATATAATAGGAATAATAATAAATGATTATACAAAATTCTTCAATAAAACAACACAAAGAAGGGGTCAACTTAAAGGTCATTTTGTGTAATTTAACTTTCCTGACGCAATGCATAGTCAAAAAGTTAAGTTTATCTTTAAACATATCTCCAAAACTAAACTTAAACTTGTAGAGAATCACAAACAATGATGTACAGCTCTGACCTCAATAACGTAAAACTAACGAACGAATTCCCTGGTTGCCAAGATATTGAACTAATACTTGTTATATTTTTATCTAAAATCAGTATTTACAAATATTCAACACATCAGAAAAAAAAGAAACATTGATGACATTTAAGTTTTTACATTTTTTGAATAATAACATAAAAATTGATAATCATTTATAAAGTATGTATTCCTTTATTGGAAATCAGAAATATATTTTCCGGCAAGTGATTAAAAGAATTAAAAGAAAAATCTGCTTTTAATAGTACATAGCGCATGAATTAAATCATGCTATGGAATAATGGAAGTTTCGTCTAATTGTCTATCCTAATATACACAATGTATTTTATAAGCGATTGCAAAAATTATGACCCATAAATTAAATATAGTTTAAAAATGGCTGTTATATAACGAAAAAAAAACCTTACTTGTCAGTAAAGGGCAATGGATTAAGGGTGGTTTGATAGTAGAGACATTTTCCCACGAATTCCTGTCCCACGGGGGAGAGAGCAAAAACCATGGGTAGGAGGGCAGCTGTGATAGCAGAGTAAAGCATAGCCTAGCCTGGTGACCTCAGTAGCTTTCCACTGTCAGGCTTATCTAAAGAAAGTGTGCATACAGAAACCAAGAAGTCCTCTATGTAAATAAATCATATCCTTGTCATTGGATACTATTGTATTCAGACAAAAATCGAAAAATTTTCAATTTTTTTTGTCTGTATGTATATATTATTTGTACTCTTTTCAAATTTTACCTTGTCAGAATCATTATATTTGATATTCTTTAATGATAAAAATCGAGTGATATTCTGAGTAAAATCTAAAAATGATAATTGTGTTGTATGACAATTACAAAAAAAATGTATTGGGAGAAGACTATCCAAGATTTAAAACTTGTGTGTAATTCCTTGAGTACATTGTAAATAAAAAAAAAAATCAAAACAAACTTTACCCGTATTTCAAGTTTTAAAAATCCATATCTTTCTCTTCAGTGAAGGTAAGTCTATAAATTAAAAGGAGGAAAAATGAAAAGACATTTACATGTAGAACATCTAATGCTCTGCTTTATAAAGATATTTATTTTCTCGTGATAGATACCGGGAGTCTAAAAGCCAATTAAGAATGCTTTCTTGTTTAATATATCAAAAACATCAAGTCAATCTTTTCCTGATAAAGAAAATTTTAACTACTGCATTATAGATGTAGCACTGAATTAAAGAATGCATTGAAATATTGCATGTATATGTTTCAAACATTCAGCAGTTTTGTAGTGTAACTTAATCAGAAAACACTTTAAACTTTTAAATAACATGCCTGTTAGGGATTACAAAGATGTTTCAAATTAAACACAGACTTGAAGATAATATCTTACAAATTCAAGTTCCTTTAAAATAAGAACCTTAGTAACAATGGTATAAAAAAATGGAAAACTATCTAAGACATACCTCTCATGAACTGCAGTAGTGACATTGAATTTAGATCCGTTTTGATAACACATACTATTAGGTATAATCAAGTCCAGTAGAAGGACGAAGATAAATAATTGTTCATATTTACATATCCATGGAAAACTCAGCAAGAGGATCAGAAACGGCATGCATGACTTGGCTAATTCAATTACAATAATCCTCTTCTGAGTATACCAGGGGGAAATTTCTTGATCTAAAACATAAAGACTGGATAATGATCACACATTATGATAAACATTGTGTTGAGCAATTCCATTTATTTTTTTACAATTTATATAAGGAAAATGGTTCTCGGAATTTACGTATGAGAAATGATACAAAAAAAAATTAACATAAAGAAATGTTTAATCGAACGAAAGATGGCAAGGAGAGAAGAATTAAAACAAACGGAAAAAAAGGCAAGCGAGGAAAGGAAAACATAGAATAAATTATGATAATAATTTTTTATTAACAAATTTGTGTGTATTTAGAGGTGCAAATGAAAAGATGGGTGGAGAGAACACATAACAAAAACCTTTGTAAGAAAAAAGGACCAACCTTGTCTAATATCTTTGACACTATATAATTTGTATTATACAACTGTATATCACTTATTATTCGCATAAACTTTATTTTTGGGCAATTACAAGAGAAGGTCTGTCGCGAAAGTCTCAATCTCGCGCATAATTCCATTTACACAGATTATATAAAACAAAAACCAGAATTCTTAAAAAAAGTTGTCTCGCTTATAAATACCAAATACCTTTATCGCGAAAAAAAAAGATGTCGCGAAAAACTGGTGATCTACAACATATAAAATTCTTGACCAAGTAAAGAAAATTTTACTGAATGGTCGATGAATGGTCATTTTAGTGATATATGTGTACTGCTTGTATATATCATGTAATTACTCTTATTGTATATTAAATATATAGGCCCCACAAGGATGCATCGATTTACACATGCACCGGTAGATAATATCTCGCAAAATTCAAGTTCCTTCATTACCAAGTATGATTTTAGCTACAAATAATACAAAATGACAGGAAAATACGTCATACTTTTGTCTAATCAACAATATACTATAAAGTGTTATCAAAGCTTTATGAGGTTAAGAAGCATGTGAGGATAATTCTGCTGTAATAATTAGTGAATTTACATCAGTTTTGATTATTGTTTTTAACTTATTAGTATCCAGTCTAATCCTGGAGATGGTCAGGGAAAAATATTTATATTTACTGATCTGTCGAACACTCGACAGGAAAAACAGAAATGGCGTGCATGACTTGGTCAGTAAATAAAAAGAAGCTTTCCTAGAGCATATTTAAAAAAAAATTAAGATAAAGAATCCTTTTAAGCCTAATAAAAATAATCCGAAGTTACCTCAGTGGAGCACATTAACTCTCATTAAAGAAAATATAATATACTTATGGACAGAAAATAATTCTGTTTTTTACAGTAATTCTAATATAGATAAATTTTAATTGAGAGGAAAATGCAAAGGAGAGAAAACAAATAAAAGGAAAACAGGAAAAAAATTCTTTAAAAATGTAATAGAAATGAAATAAATCTGAAATTACAGAGGTTCAGATAATGGTCATTTTTGATTTTAAAATAAAGAGGTTCAACGTTGGAAAGAGAGATCATATAGTGACGTAAATATAGTTAATAATGATGACCTTAGATCAGTAATTTTAAAAGGTCCTAAATATAGGGAACCCCAATCCTTTAACTTTCATCGTAATTTCATAAATATTATGGTTCTGTAGAGTATTACGCCAAGAGTTGGATCAGACATGAAAAAGAAGACCTTGACACTTTTTCAGAATGGATTAAATGTATCATATATATATATATTAAAATCTCGCATTAAACGATTGAGGGGCAGTATGAAAACCATCTATCCTTCTGTATTCAATAATTCAGAAGTGAAAAAAAGAATTAGATAGATTATACGATCAGTACGTACTGAACCCTGCTGACAAAGCAGATAACAAAATTGTCTTTGTTTGTGAGGCTCATTATATAAATTGTATTTTAGAGGAACTGGGATTTATTTCTACAAGTGGTAATCCAACTTATACCCATAGCTCCCTCTCTAAGGAGGAAATTCTACAAAATCATATGTCAGTTTTGAATATTTTTAATATTCCCAATAACCAAAATGAATTTGAATTACCATATCTATAATGGATTCCAAAACTTCATAAAAATTCTTACAAAGATAGATAGCGGGTTCCAGTAAATGTTCTACCAAGCCTCTTTCTTTACTCCTCACTAAGATATTAACAGTAATGAAGGAGAAACTTCAAGAGTACTGTGCAACAAAATATTAGAGAAGTGGTTTAAATCAGATGTGGATACGAAAAAATTCAAAGGAACTTTTGGAACATTTGAAATTACAAAATTTTACCAAAATTAACAAAATAAAAACTTACGACTTTTCAACTTTATATACAACTATTCCCCACAATAAATTAAAGTCCAGACTTTTTGATATCGTCGACAGCTGCTTTTTCAATAAAAATGGAACTCGTAAATTTACTTACCTTATCTTTGGTCATTTGCAAAATTACTTTGTCAAAAAACAATCTGATTGTACACACAAGTATTCTGAAGTTGACATTAAAAAGATGCTAGAGTTTCTGATTGACAATATCTATCTGGTTTTTGGAGACCAGGTCTTCCAACAATCTATTGGAATTCCAATGGGTACCAATTGTGCCCCCGTTATTAGCAGACCTATTTTTGTATTCATATTAGGCAGAATTTGTTCAAAATCTTTTTCGAGAAAAGAACACCTGCTGTGGCCTTCAACTCGACATGCATTGACATTTAGATATATCGACGACGTATTGTCAATTAACAATGATTATTTCCATTCTTATGTCGACACGATATATCCCGGTGAGCTGGAGATAAAAGATACCACAGAGTCCGACACATCTGTTTCATATTTGGACATTTTATTAGAAAAAGACATTAATGGTAATCTAACAACCAAGCTTTATGATAAACGTGATGACTTTAACTTTTCAATCGTCAACTTCCCTTACCTATGCAGCAATATACCCGTATCACCTGCATACGGAGTTTATATCTCTCAGTAAATTCGATACGCCAGAGAATGCTTTACGTATGAACAATTTCTAAAACGAGGTAAATTATTGACAAACAAGTTGATGAAACAAGAATATCAGCTGTCTCGTTTAAAGTCATTTCATAAGTTCTATGGTCGATACCATGACCTAGTCAGCAAATACAATCTATCATTAAGTCAAATGCTGAGTGATACTAATTGTTAGGCCATTATTTACACACTGAATTGTCGACGGATTTTCCGTTATTTCCCGATCATGACAAGGAGCACATGGCGGGTGTGACCGGTCGGCAGAAGATGCTCACTCCTCCATGGCACCTGATCCTACCTCTGATGTCTTAGAGGTCCATGTTTGCTCTGCTCCTATTTTGTAATGTTTAATGGACTTTGAGCTCGAATACTGTTCGTTATCTCCAATATTTCATATATATTTTGTATGAAATCGGAACACTTGTTCTTGTTTCTTTGTAAAGAAATTGGAAATAAATTCCTGATTCTCGTTCCTTTCGATTCTAGCTGTCTTGTTGTAATTAATATTCAGACTTATATTAAAATAAACGATTTCAGATAATTCAGAAGTGGAGTTAGTGGTTTTTATTGATCTGAAACTATTTTTAATGTTAAAAAACACGGTTACTGTTTTTTAAGCCAAGTAAGTTTATTCAATATAAAGCATCGTAATTAATGTACTGGATGAGGTTTCATTCCTTATGCAATATTTCTGATTTGGTGCATTTATTGGGAGTTTATACCTAAGTTCAATATTGATATGAACCCATTACTTTTGTTTTCCCACGGGTCTTGATTTAAAAAAACATACTTTATATTTAAGAGCCTTCAAAACCATTTCCAAAAAAAATATATATATATATTTGGTTAAAAAAAAATTTAAAAAAATTGTGATAAAATTTTTAGTTAACATTTTTTACAGCTTGAAATAAAGGTTGTCGATTATTATTATCATTTTTTTAAATTAAATAGACAAAATCTATTGTAGTATGCATTTTTTATGCTTTGCAAAATGCTTGAAGACAAATTTACAAACAAAAATGTTTATTTCCAGTTAATACGATAGCTTTTAATTTATTTTTGATTAAAATACTACTAGTATACGGTCTGAAGTGTGTGAACTCTTATTTTCATCATTCCTTTCTGGACAACTGAAATAAAAAAGATAGTATCATTATCCTAAACTTTATATGATTTCACTAGCTAGTACTTCTCTGTTTATTCAGTATTAAATCTGCATATACCTTATTAAAAAAATCTAACATCCCAAATGTCTGCTCTGGGAGTTTAATGCATGGCATCCCAGTTTTCCCGATAAAATCTGGTGTAAGCTTCTAAAATAACCCTCCAGGAAGTGATCTTTCATGGCAGAATTTGACAATTTATGAAAGACGGGAATAAGTTTTGTGCTACCTGCACTGCAATGCTATCTATTTCTCAATCTCATTTTATCTATAAAATAATTCAAAAGCAATTCATAAACACGATTCGTATCTAGTACATGTTTGTTCTTCGCCAAAGAAGACAAGTTTTGAAATCAAAATTTTTCATTGAGCTAACAATTTTTGATTTACACAATTGTAAATTTGCCTTTTGTACATAATTGTTTGCTCCATGGAAAAAGTATCAAACATGTTTCTTGTGGAAAAATGCAAATTCAACCGCGAAAAAATAATATTGAATATGTTTCCCTATATGAATTAATTGTAGTTTTTTTTTCTTTTTTCCGTTAACAATATCTATCGAAATTTGTGTAATATTCATTTTCTAATCCAAATCTTTAAACATATCATCTTTTTGAGTTGATATACTTTAATTCATTTTTCTTTTTCTCTTTTCTGTATTCTATCAGCACTACTGTAAAAGATATTTATATGTTTTTTTGCCCTATCCCGACATGGAATTTCTATAATCATACAAAACCTTGTGCCCATATAAAATAACATTATCTTCTAGACATATTTCACACAAATCTGAAATGTCAGTAAGTATTTCTTTAAACGTGACTAAAGTAGTATTTGGAGATTTATTACACATTTCTTTTCACAAAAGCATATGTACATTTTTATACTCAACACTAAGGAGGAATATTTTGTAAGTTTTCCAAATTTTGTCTGCTTTTCCATGGGGAATGCAAAAGAGAACTGTTATTCATAACACGCTTGTGTACTATGCAGTATAGAGTTTCATCAGAATTATTCCCTTGAATATTTCATCCTGTGTACATGTTCTTTATGCAACATTGCAGTTTTAACCTTTTCTGTAGTTTTCTTTCTTTAAAAAAAATTCTTTAAGATACTGAAACCTTGCTTTATGATCTTTAAGTTTTAGTAATCTTTTTTACCTCACATGAGCCAAAGGCTCAAGAGTTATTGTTGTTGTTGTTCAAATTTTTTTCTTCTCAAGAAACATCGGACCAATTTCAATCAAACTTGGCACAGAACATCCTTGTGTAGAGGGGATTAAATTTTGTTCAAATGAAGGACCACGCCCTCTTTCAAAGGGAGATAATTAAGAATAAGTGAAAATATACTGACATCTTTTAAATTCTTCTTCTCAAAAAACCACATTCTTTTGCCAAAGCTTCAAGGCATACTGTTGATTTAATTTTTTTCCAATGATCCCCCGAGGGTAGGACCACTAAAGAGATTAGACGTTTACATAGGAATATACAGGGATAAATCTTTAAAAATCTTCTCAAGAACAAAGGCTCAACTAGGATATATAGATAAGTAGTACAAGTAAATATTTTCATACGCCAAAAGGCTGAAGAATTAATGTACAATGCTAAAGATTATGAGGAAATTTGGAGAAATTCTATGTAGCGTAAGAATCTTTTGGTAAAATTGTGGACATGTAGACAGGTGGACAGGTGGACAAGATGACAAGTCGACCGGTTGACAGAATGTTTGGTTGACAAGTTGACAGGTAGACGAGTCGACAGGTTGACAGGTCGACAGATTGACAGATTGTTTGCTTGACAGGTCTACATGTATTCATGAAGACAGGTCGACGGGTTGACAGGTCGACAAGTTGACAGATTGTTTGCTTGACAGGTCCATACAAGAATGTATTCAAGAAGAAAGGTCGACGGGTTGACAGGTCGACAGAGTGTTTGCTTGACAGGTCTGTGCAAGAATGTATTCAAGAAAAAATGTAGACGGGTTGACAGGTCGACGGGTTGACAGGTCGAAGGATCATTATCTCAAGTGGGTTTGAGCACTAACCTAATCTCTCGGGTGAGTTCGAGGACTAACCCTAATCTCTCAGGTGGGTTCGAGGACTAACCCCAATCTTTCCGATGGGTTCGAGGACTAACCCTAAACTCTCGGGAGGGTTCGAGAATTAATCGTAATCTCTCAGGTGTGTTCGAGGACTAACCCTAATCTAGGTGGAATCAATCAATCCAGTGGTTTTACTAACCCTAATGTCATGTGTTTGTTTGCGCAAGACAAAGCTGATTAATTCGAGAGGATGTTATGAGGGTAACAGGAATACCTAGAGGGAGTCAACTTTTGACTCGTCAACTTTTGTTCTGAGCTATAAAGGAAACCGAACGGGTATCAACTGTTGACTTGTCGACCTTTGTTTTAAGTGAAAATAGTATCCCAATTGGGTGTCAACTGTCGACCTGTCGACCTTTGTTGTGATGGATATTATGCAATTTGATGTCGACCTGTCGACCTTATATTCCGCTATCACCTGCATATGGTGTCTACGCTTCCCAACTTATTAATTCGATACTCAAGAGCATGCTCTGAGTACGCTTAATTTTTTAAACCGACGCCTGCATATGGTGTCTACGTCTCCCAACTTATTCAATACTCAAGAGCATGCTCTGAGTACGCTTCATTTTTAAACCGACGCAATCTACTGATAAACCTTGATGTTTCGACAATCTCTATTTTAATATCAGCAAATATAATCCATCATTGGGTCGTATTTTGGCTGATGTGTTAAGCCTTTGTATTTTATACTAAATTTTGATACGAATAATTTTGCCTACCTGATCAATACATAGGGCTCACGAGGGTGTGATTGGTTTACAGGAAATGCTTACTTCTCCTAGGCAGTTTATCCCTCCTCTGGAATTTCCGGGGGGTCCGTGTTTTATGCCCTTTTCACAGATTTTTTGTTGTTTGTAGATTTTTTTAGATTGATCACTTTTCGTTATTTTCACCTTTTCCATTAAATATAGAAACATCCTCAGATAGTACGGATTCAAGTTCATATCATAACCCCGTGGTAGGTCGTGGCCACAAGAGGAGATCAAACTTTTACTTGGGAATGTACAGGAAAAAATCTTTAAAAAATCTCCTCAAGAAGAGCAAAGCAATGATTAGTCATATTTATTTTGAAGCATCAAAAGATAATGTAGATTCAAGTTTGTTCAGAACATGAGGGTAGGGTGAGGCCACAATAGCTAAAACTTTCTTAAGGCTAGATTTTGGAATATGTAGTCAAATTGTTTTGTGAAATTAAAGAGGGAAATAAAATAAATCAGCTGATAAAGAAAAATAGGGCCAAAGTCACTCAGACGAGCGTTGTAGTCCAAGGACCTCTTGTTTTCTTTTATTTGACTTTTCGTTTTAATTTTTTAAAAGGATTTTATCTGTCTTTCCTAACTCATTTTTTTTTTTACACTGTATGTTTTTTCGTGTTTCATACGTTGTCATGTGCAGGTGACTTTGTTACACTTTCAAAGACTTCAATTACGTTATTTGAGGTTTTTCCGTCAGGGCATTTAAAAGTTCATTTACTAAGCTCTCTGATTTTACTTTAGTTCTTAATCTGTGTAATCTAGTTATCAAGTTTCTTAAATTAACAGGTGCTGAAACTATCTGAGAAAACAATTAACACATTTCTTCTTCACTTATACCCTTGGACTTTAAATATCCAAAAATGTCAGTTGCTAGTTTATTACTTAAAACAACTTTGATAGATTATATACACCAAGTTTTGACACTAGATCACCAATTTTTCATATTTCAATCAATGAAATATATGGAGATAACGAACAGTATTCAAGATCAAAAGTCCATTATACAATACAAAATAGGAGCAGAGCAAACACGGACCTCCAAACATCAGAGGTGGGATCAGGTGCCATGGAGGAGTGAGCATCCTCTGTCGACCGGTCACATCCGCCGTGTGCTCCTTGTCATGATCGGGAAATAACGGAAAAATCCGCCGACAATTCAGTGTGTAAATAATGGCCTAACAATTAGTATGAAAAACGTCAGTCAGCATATCACTTAATGATAAATTGTAATTGCTGACAAGGTTATTGTATCGACCATAGAACTTAGGAAATGATGACTTTAAACGAGACATCTGATATTCTTGTTTCATCAACTTATTTGTCAATAATTTACCTCGTTTTAGAAATTGTACATACGTAGAGCATGCTCTTGCGTATCGAATCAACTGAGAGATATATACCTCGTATGCAGGTGATGAAGGTATATTGCTGCATAAGTAAGGGAAGTTGACGATTGAAAGTTAAAGTCATCACGTTTATCATAAAGCTTGGTTGTTAGATTACCATTAACGTCTTTTTCAAGTAAAATATCCAAATATGAAACAGATGTGTCAGACTCTGTGGTATCTTTTATCTCAAGTTCACCAGGATATATCGTATCGACATAAGAATGGAAATAGCCATTGTTAATTGACAATACGTCGTCGATATATCTAAATGTCGAGTTGAACGCCACAGCAAGTGTTCTCTTCTTTTCACGTACAAGATTTTGGACAAATTCTGCTTCATATGAATTTCATTTTTCATCATTTATCTTTATTTTTGAAAATGAAATTAAATTGAAACTCTCAGCATGATTGATTGTCCCGTGTTTCTTCTTCATGGTGAGAACTTATAGCTTTCAGTTGAAACAATGCGACTTGATTTTCAAATGCAACCGCAAGTTTATTGTCAATGTTTATAGATATGCTCCTTGGGTGGGACAAGTGAGGAGACAGATGTATTGTTCTTCTCGTTGATCCTTTAAAATCGATCACGTTGATAATGTGTTCGTAAAAGTCTGCTATGTATATATGGTCATTCGTATCGGAGGTAATAGCTCCTGGGTAACAAAACTCTTCACGAGAAACCTGACCAGTTTCATCAAATAAGTAAACAAAGTCTTTTTCCCAATCAGATATTGCAAACTTGCCATCAGAAAGAAGGCAAGCAAATCGAGGCTGTCCAAGTTTCAGTGAATTTCCACATTTATCGGTAAATTTTATACATTGGATTTGCTCACTTTCTGATTTAACAATTGTTATCCTAGATCTTGAAATCAATGCAAGAAAGTGAGAACGTGGCGAACATGCTGAGACAACAGAGGCACTACCAATTGTATATTTGTAAGACAAATTGTGGTCAAGCAATTCAATTGCAGAAGAACTGGTTTTGACAGCAATACACCAACTGGTAACTGTAACTGCAACGCAGTTTGTCAATAACCCCATTATCCCACTTCCACCTGACAATGGACAAGATTGAATCGTTCCATTATGCTGGTCAACGGCAACAAAAGACTCGCCATCAATCCAAGCAATACTTGTAAGTTTTGGTCGTTGATAATTGTTATGTACTAACAAGGAACGGTATTTCAGAAAAGTGCGTTCAAGAAAATCACTTTCCATGGTAGTTTGCATTAAATCACACTGAGTTCCTTTATCCGAGGTTTCGTTGAAGGAAATTTTTGTTATCTGAGAAATATTCCTTATTTCATTTTCCATTTTGTCTTTTGTACATTCACTGTTAGATTTAGAAAAATCCGGTTTCTCTTTTGATATTTTAGTATCGTAAATCAGTTCCATGTTTGGTCCATTCCAAGAAGCAACCAAGCTCGGCATCACGTCCATACAGTCTTGGACGGGAGGATAATCTTTCGTTAAAGAAATTTTCGATAACCTATCTTTTATCACTCTTTGGAGTGAAAGAATTTCAAGATCTGTTCCATATTTTAGTAGATTTTTGCAAAATGTAACGCTATTTTCCAAACTATTAGCTCTGTTTTCAATACTTTCACTTTCTCTTTCTATGATTGATTTAGTGGGCTTGAATGCTTTTGTCAACTCCCTCTCTAAAGATCGCCTTCGGGCTGTTATCTTATTTATCATACTGTTACAGGTTGTTTCAATTTTTATTCTTAAAATTTTTTCGTTTTCTTTGATTTCTTTGGAGGTTTTACTCATCTCAGAATATTGACTTTTTAGTGAAAACAGTTTTTCATTAACTTCACTAAATGTTGATTCTAAATCCTTTTCAGTCTGTGTCCTGGCCTCTTTTGGAGTAATGAAGTCATGTTTTGCATGCTGCAGGACCATACAGTCTTTACACGCTAATTCATTACAGGTGTTGCAATAATACCTGAAGAACTCTTTCTTGTGGTCAGGACACATTATATTCTGCTGTAATCTAATTTCCTCGTAATATTTCCCACTTTTAATGTCCTCTATAGAAACTACTTGATGATCCCTGGTTTGGGTGGTGTACGTGTGACGATGTTCCCAGCATAGTTTGCACAAAAGGTCACCACAAGTCAAACATTTTGCTATTGCTTCATTTCTCTCATCCAGAAATTCACAAAAAGAACACAATTTTCCCTCGGAAAATTTTGTAATATTGATCGTAGCAATTACATTCTTTAACCAGTAATTCAATGGTAGACTTTCACAATCGGTCACAAAACACTCCTCGCTACATATCGGGCAATATATGTTTTTTCGATATCCATTGAATATTGAGCCTGTACACAAAGCGCAGATTGAATGTAGGCAAGGAAGAAGTTTGGGTTCCCTTAATAACTGATTACATATGGCACAAGTTAGAGTTTCCTCGTCGGACTCAAATCCTTCATAAGACATATCTACCTTTAAATATAGGTCGATCGATAATATCATGCAACGTGTGCCAGATTTGTGACGTAATGGGATATGAATATATTTGAAATTGTAGCCGACCATTGCAGGTCTATTGACTAACTGCTTTTATATTTGGATTCTGATTCGTGAATTTTTTTAAAGGCAAAGGAACATTATATTTAAAAAAGATAATAGAAAAAGACCTTAGTCGACCTTAATTTGATATCGCTGGAAAAATGCTGGTTATTGAAATATCTGACAGGACGTGGAGGAGTGTATCTCTTTTTTCCCTTCCTTCATCCTCTCCGTCTCTTCCTCTTAGATCAGATATGCAGTCCAAAGTAAATTGACCATCACCTTCATTTGTAACAAGGAAAGTATAGGTCCGTTTGAGGGAGGGGGTGTTTTCAGTTTGGTGGGGGTATTATCAAGCAAAACAGAGGGTCATAAGACGTTGTTATCAAGGGGGCACAAGCATAAATTAGCTATGTTTTTTATAATATACTAATCGGCAAAATTATGGGGGGGGGCACCCCTTCCCCCCCTTCGGCCCCGGTTCCGACGGTCATGAAGTATGTAAGTATATGTCCACATGCATCTTCTGCTCAAAACAATTTATATATATTTTTAATTATATTAAAACGCTATACTTCAGCTGATCATAAAAATGTTTCATAATATACTGCGTGATCGGAAGGTCATGTGTTTGAATCACGGCCGCGACTGACCTAAGTCGATAAAAAATAGGTAGCAACTATTCCTTCGCCAAGCGCTCGGTACTTTGAATTGAAAGTTGCTGGCCCTTTGGATGAGACTTTAAAAACCAAGGCCCCATGTCGCGGTGGGCTTTGGCACGATAAAGGACCCCACTGCTCAATGGCCCTGAGTGCCGATTAAGGTCTAAATTTGAAGCCCTTCACCTGTATATGGTGACATCTCTGTATTATTATAAAAATCTCGAACGGGACGTAAAACAACATACAATCAATCAATCATAATATGCCGCTGTGTAATATTTAGTAGATTCGTAACTAAACACACCCATACAAATGTGTTTGGAACCTTTTATTTTTTTCGGTGTTTGGCAAATTATAATTCACGAGGAATGAGACTGTTACAGCGAGACTGGAGGGCATAGATGAAAAGGAGAGGGTCTGAAAAAAATATGAAATTGATAATAATGGAAATTTTGCTTTTAAGTGCGTAGTATGAAGGGTGTAAAGAGGCCCATGTTTACCCTTTCCTCGAAGAGAAAGTGAAATAAGCAGGGTATGGGTTATTTGCGATGCCATAGCTGGACTTGCAGACTATGAATTTTCCCGAAAGCCTGAAAAATTTTGGACTTGAATTGTTCTAACTCTGTGAAAAGTTTCAGGTAAGTTGAGCCGGTGTGTTTTTTAAAATTATTTTTTACATTATGAAGGAATGTATAGCAAAATAATTGGTAGTCTGTGTGTCAAGATGGTACAATGTAGGCGAACACGATTTATCTTTTATGAACACGAGTTATCTTTCATTAGTGTGCGGATTACGTAGGATGAATATGTGCGGATTTATTCACTCGTTCTTGGAATATTCGACATGTGATAAAATATACGGAAAGAAATGAAATATTCTTATATAATATTTATTTCACTGTTAATTTACAAATGGGTAATTATATATTAAGTCTTACGCGTAAAAGTCGAAATGTCAGTCTATATTAACAATGTAAAAATTTAGATTAAGGACATGAGGGCCGCAAAAAAAAAATATAAGGTTTTAGATTTGTAAGGCAAGTTTACCGTGTGTACCGGTGTAAAGACGAATAACGACCCCCGTAGAAAAATGACCGGATTCATTTTTCGTTGTTGAAAAATGACCTCCTCCCAGCCGTAGAAAAATGTAATTAAAAAAAAAATCCTAGGGGCCAATGTTCTACACGTGCAACCCATAAAAAAATTGACCCTCGTTGAATAATGACCACCCCTCCCAACAGAGTGATATAAAGTTTTAAAAGAGGTAATAAATGACAAGGTTTTTTTTTTTATCTCAACGTTTAATTCTCTTGCATTTTCCCGACGAACACTGGGAGAACACGCAATTGAAATCTAATATAACAGCATTACACGTGTTTAGATCTATTTTACCTTTTGCATAGATTACTAGAGAAAGACACCAATGGCTAACAAAACATCTGTTATAGACATGACTTCAAATTTTCTATCGTCAACATCCCTTATTTTTGTAGCAATATAATAACATTATCGCCTGCATTTGGAGTTTATGCCTCCCAAATAATTCGATAATTTTGCTAATTATAAACAATTTCTGAAAACAAGGAAAGCGATTGACAAATAGGTTGATATAATAAGGATCTCAACAATCTCGTTTTGTCAACATTTCGCAAATTTTATGGTCAATACAATGATCTTGTCAGCATATACAATTTGTCGAATGTTGATTGACGTTTTTCATTCAAACGGTTAGGCCATTATTTTCACACTGAATTGTCTACTTTTTTTCGTTTGCCCGATCATAATAAGGAACAACAGCGGGTGTGACCGGTAGACAGGGGATGCTTACCCTTCTATGGCACCTAAACCTATCTCTGATGTTTTTAAAGATCCGTGTTTGCTCGCCTCCATTGCAATGTTCCAATGAACTTTTGAGCTTGAATACTGGTCGTTTATCTTCATATTTTACCTGTTGAGTTTTCAGCACACGATAAAAATCGCACAATAGGTATGTCACAGTGGCTATTGGTTATAACTATTATCTTAACCTTTCTTTTTCATCCATTTCATATTTGGATACTTTTTTAATTATAGACACTCATTTCCAACCAACAACTAAACTATTGACAAACGGTATGACTTCCGAATCGGCCGCTTCTTATATGTATTTATGTAGTAAAATCTACTATCGCCTATATATGGTGTTTAAGTCTCCTAACATATTCGGAACGCATGCTCTGAATACGATAAGCTTTTAAACAGGCAGGATACTGACAAATAAGCTGATGTATCAAGGCTTTTAACAGTCTCATACAAAGTAAACATTTCGAAAATTCCTGGGTCATTATAAAGACATTGTAATCATATACGTTTATTTTCCATTTTTTATTTGTAAGGTTATACACTTTGTAATTTTAGAATCTGAATAACTTTTACAAATTTACATAAATCCATGAAGGCCATAACTGTTATAATTACAAAATATAATACAATAGTATGATGCAATTAAAGCCAAGGAAAAATATATAATTGTTTGGAAGAAAATGTTCTAACAAATAAAGTAATAGTTCTGACAAGTTTGTTCTTCGTTCGGACGAGCAACTTAATTTGGTGGACAAATAAGTTCTTTCTTCGGACAAAGTAAATACAAATAGAAAAAAATAGATAAAATTATTTTTGAATTGTTCAGACGAACTGGGTATTTGCTTGGACAACTAAGCGAATTGTATATTTTTTCGAACAGATTTAATGTTTCTTTTTTTTTTTAAATCTACATACCTTGTCATTGGTCATTTGCGAAATTATTTAGTTTAAAAACATTCTGATTGTACACACAAGTACCCTGATGTTGATATTAAAAAGATGCCTGAGTTTTTGATTGACAATATCTTTGAAGTTTTTGGAGATCAGGTTTTTCAACAATCTGTCAGATTTCCCATGGGTAAATTGTGCCTCGTTATTAGAAGACCTATTTTTGTAATCATTTGAAGCAGAATTTATTCAAAAACTTATATATGAGAAGAAACACTTGCTGTGCTCTTGAATTCGACATCTAGATATATCGACGACGTATTAATAACAGTTATTATCAATCAATAATAGTTACTTCCATTCATATGTCGACTCCATATGACCAAGTGAACATGAAATAAAAGATATCACAGAATCTGATCATCTGTTTCATATTTTGATTTTTTACTAGAAAAAGGCGTTCATGGTAATCTCACAACAAATCTTTATGATAAACGTGATGACTTCATATTTTTAATTTCTATTGTCAACTTCCCTTACTTGTATAGCAATGTACCCTTATCATCACGCATATGGGGTTTATGTCTCCCAGTTGATTCAATACGAACAATTTCTAAAACGATGCAAGCTAGTGGAAAACAAGTTGATAAAACAAGGACAACAGTCTCGTTTGAAGTCATCATTTTGCAAGTTCTGTGGTCGATACAGTGACCTTGTCAGCAAGTTCTATCTATCATTAAGTCGAATGCTGAAACTGGCGTTTTTCCTACAAGTTGTTAGAACATTATTTACACTGAATTGTCTACAATTTTTTAGTTTGCCCGATCATGACAAGGAATAAAACGGCGAGTGTGACCTCTGATATGCTGGAGGCCCTTGTTTGCTCTGCTCCCGATTTGTATTAATTAAATGGACTTTTGAGCTTGAAAACTGTTCGTTATCTGCATATACCTGCATATGGGTTGTATATCTCTCAGTTGATTCGATACGCAAGAGCATGATCTACGTATGAACAATTTCTAAAACGAGGTAAGTTATTGACAAACAGTCTCGTTTAAAGTCATCATTTCGTACGTTCTATGGTCGATACAATGACCTTGTCAGCAAATACAATTTATCATTAAGTGATATGCTGACTGACGTTTTTCATACTAATTGTTAGGCCATTATTTACACACTGAATTGTCGACGGATTTTTCTGTTATTTACCGATCATGACAAGGAGCACACGGCGGGTGTGACCGGTCGGCATGGGATCTCATTCCTACATGAAACCTGATTCCACCTCTGCATGGACAAGTTTTATTTTATTGACTCCATCCCTCCGCGGTTTCTGAGGTTTCATGGAAGTTTTACTCGCAGTTTAGGTTAAAACTGCTTTTTATCTGCACTTTTGTTTGCTATATACAATGGATAGTTAATTAATGCTTTTTCTTTCGTTTTTGATAAAATGAACCAAAAGTATCTAAAACATTACACAAATCTTTTTATTTAAATTGTAAGATACTTTTGGTATATGTCTGAAAATTATACATG